ACTGCTACCTAACTTCGATATATCTTGATTTATAGTGCTACCTAACTTCGATATATCTTGATTTATACTGCTACCTAACTTCGATATATCTTGATTTATACTGCTACCTAACTTCAATATATCTTGATTTATACTGCTACCTAACTTCAATATATCTTGATTTATACTGCTACCTAACTTCCATATATCTTGATTTATACTGCTACCTAACTTCCATATATCTTGATTTATACTGCTACCTAACTTCAATATATCTTGATTTATACTGCTACCTAACTTCGATATATTTTGATTTATACTGCTACCTAACTTTTAAATTTCTTGATTTATACTGCTACCTAACTTTTATATTTCTTGATTTATACTGCTACCTAACTTCTAAATTTCTTGATTTATACTGCTTAGTGCTACCTAACATTTATAGTTCTTGATTTTTACTTCTACCTAACTTCTAAATTTCTTGATTTATACTGCTACCTAACTTTTAAATTTCTTGATTTATGCTGCGACCTAATTTTTATATATTTTGATTTTTACTTCTACCTGACTTCGATATATCTTGATTTATACTGCTACCTAACTTTGATATACCTTGATTTATACTGCTACCTAACTTCTATATTTCTTGATTTATACTGCTACCTAACTTTTAAATTTCTTGATTTATACTGCTACCTAACTTTTATATTTTTTGATTTTTACTTCTACCTGACTTCGATATATCTTGATTTATACTGCTACCTAACTTCGATATATCTCAATTTATACTGCTACCTAACTATGATATATCTTGATTTATACTGCTACCTAACTTCGATATATCTTGATTTATAGTACTACCTAACTTCGATATATCTTGATTTATAGTGCTACCTAACTTCGATATATCTTGATTTATACTGCTACCTAACTTCGATATATCTTGATTTATACTGCTACCTACTTCGATATATCTTGATTTATACTGCTACCTAACTTCCATATATCTTGATTTATACTGCTACCTAACTTTTATATCTCTTGATATTTAGCGCTGACACGATGCTTACAAGGCAGGCTGTTGATTTCTGCTGACACTATGCATTATTGATAAGACGGTGGCAGAGAAGGGGGGAGGTAGGAGAGAGGGGAAAGAGGGGGAGGTAGAAGAGAGGGGGGGTCTCTATTCTTTTACATTGTTTGATTCTCTCTAGTTCTCTAGACGTTAGCTAACCTTGTATATATGTATAACTAGACATATTAATGAGATGTATAATGCTAGTTGCCAAGAATGTATAATAAATTATCAAAACTAATTAAAAAGATATTTATAGGATAGACTCTTTAAAATATACCCTCACAAGTTTTGTTCGACAGAAAGATCAAAATGTGAAGGATTTATCACAAATTTCAATATATTTAACGTTTGGCTCGAAAAGCCTCTAATGTTAATAAAAAAGTAAAATGTTTATTTTAGAGCCCGACAGCAGATGCTTGCGACAACATCAGGTAAAAAGATATTTTTTTTTTTTATATTTTTCTTTATTTAAGGACTGTGTACGTAATTGACTATTTATAATTAGAGTAGAAAGGAGTTATTAGAATTAAACACTTTTCAGTTGCCAGAAAAACGACGATATCTTCTGCGTGGTTGATCATATGAAAGTTTCAAGGTTACTGATGAAAATTTTCTTGAAATTACAACGGCAAGCAATTTGAAAAAAGGGAAAGGGGACAATTAAGCCTTTACAGTTGGTAAGGATGAAAATCAAAAAACAAATGAATTGTGTCTATGACACAAACCAAATATTTCCGATCCCTGTATATATGCAACCAGATGGCGTAAACTTTTGATAATTCAAACTTAGAAAACTGAGTTTATTTGAACTAATATAATTCATAGGTTAAAATATCTAAGGTCTACGACAGTGGGTTGCAAAGTAATAGGGATTGATAATCAGATTGTGTGGCGAAAACTCAATTCCTGTCCAGTTTATGCTTTGAAAATTACTATATTTTTAAAAAAAAATTAAGTCCTGTTTTCAGATATTCTAAAATAACGAAGAAAATTTAAATTTTCTTTGAAGTTTTACAAAAGAAAAATTTGACATGAAAAATGCATTTTTCATAGCATTTTAATCGTTCCTTACTGTTTAGTGTTTACGTATATTATCTTCTGCCAGAGTAAAAGTTTTTCAAAGAGTTATAAATAAGAGAATACAAACGCCTAAAAATTCTAAATGTTAAAAAACGGATAAAAAGGATGCTTAATATTAGCAAGTGACTAGCAACGAATGGAAAGTGCAACTGAGCCAATTCTTACGCTAGGGTTGAGATAGTTTAAAGCTATTTCTTAGTTATAGATAAAGGGTGTCCCACGGAACATGGCAGTTGGTAAATAGTTTTGAATGTCGTCTTGCATACACTGTATTAGATATTAAGGGCTGCTTGCAGTTTATTTCGTTTAAAAAATCTTTTGCTCAAATATATTTTACTTTGGAGTTAATTTTATTATAATATGACTCCTATGTAACAGTTTTATTACTGTTTTTGGTATTAAACAACATAAAAACTATGGATGAAGACATTCTATTAAGTATTTACCAACTGTCATGTTTTGTGGGACACCCTGTAGTTAAATTTAAGTAACAGATAGGCGCATTAAGTATTTGTTTGTTGCTAATGATAATTTAACGAATCTTTCCGCAACTTAACAGAATTTTTCGTTGATTTCAAAAAATCCTTCAGTAATAACACCCTTTGGGGCCTGAAGACCCCGTACATAGATTCAGCCTCCTTATAAATAGTCTCATCAATTTTTAAGATAGCGTCGACTTTGAAGTGTCGCAACGCCTTGGGTTTGATTTTTCCGCTCTAACTCACTTATGCTTTTCTGTAGCCCGATAAATGTACATTTAAGCACTATAAAGCACTTGTTAGCTTTGGTATTCAAGAAGTGATTGGCAAAATTCTCATCAATTTTTGCTTGAAAGCGTGAGACCTTCATATTACAGTGCTCTGAAGCCATATGAAGATTGTACTGATCCAGGGGGGCTGCGCAAAGCCCAATAGCCCTCCCCCCTTGTGTACTTGGTTTCCAGAATTATTCAAATTGCAGCATTTAAAAATGACATTTATTAACGAGATTTTGTTTTTAGGTCGTCAGAGAAGAGAGCTTGTTGTGGCCACTGTACTCACAGCAATAGGTTGTACATTATACAGAGTGTTTCATTAAAAATGTCTTTCGAAAATCGACTACATTTTGCGCGAAAAAAAAACATCAATTTGGGCGTGCATCCTTTCGCAAAATGGTCTGCAAATCAGCTGATAGATTTAGATATTGGCTCAGGGTAAATTTCGAAAACTTAAAGTTTACATATATATTAGATCCAAAGTATGTTTATTTTATATATCTAGACAATTTTAACACAACACATATTTCTCGAGATTTTAAATGTAAAAATATAATAGTATTTATGAAATTTACGATCGCCAGTCTTTAGAGACTCGAGTAACTCGAGTCTCTCATGAGTTCTAAAGCCAACTATGATTGGGTTTTATTAAATCCAAAACTTGAGTCTTGGCAGGGGCTTAACTTGGACTTAAAAAGACTCAAAGACCGAGTTTCACTTTTAAAATATCATTCAGGCAAATTCTAAGCCCAGTAATGTTTTCAAAAAGATTACTTATCATTTTTTAAATCTCAAGAAATTGTCATCTTTCAATGCCAGCGTGCACCATAATTTCTTATCTTTAATCAACTTTTTGTAAATTCACTAATTAAGGACTTTCTCAACATTTATCATTTGATAAAATTAATGTTTGAATTAATAAAAGTTTAATATTTAAACTAATTATTCAAACTTTATAATTTATCATGCAAGTTCTTAAAAGAATGATAAATAACTAGGTTTAATTTTATATATATGTATAAATATATATAATACAGTTTTTTTTTCAAAAAGTTTCTACTTTTATTAAGTTTAAAAGTAGTTGCTTTTTAGGCACTAGGCAGTAGGCAGCTAATTTAAAATACTCAAAATACTCCCTTTGTTGGCCTGAAATTAAAAACACGCTGTTAGGTACTTTCCCAAAAACTTTTCCCCAAGTGACAACATTCCTAGGGGTTTTCCCAAGTGTTCCCAACCGTGCAAGTTCCCAAGCGGGAACTTTTCAAGCCACAGCGCTCGGTCATAATCCTGTTCTAGCCGCAGCGCTAGGCCCCCAGTTCATTCTAGCCGCTGCGTTCGGCCACCCATTGCAGCCTGCGGCGTTTAGAAGGTCTAACCTAACCTTTGGGAAGTTGACGCTTGGGAAATTGCCACTTAGGAAGTTGCCCTTGGGAAAGTGCCATTGGGAAAATACTAAACACCAAGCTATTAAAAGCTTTGATCATTCTGAGTTCAGAAAATGTTGAGAAGTAAAATTGGCATAATTTTTATTTTCATGGCTGACAACAATGTTTTGAGGTCACATATTATAATCCTGTTACGATAACAGAAGTTTAAACATTAGTCAATCTCAAGGAAATTACTTTTTCTTCAGATTGACAAAAAAAAACAATTAAATCCGGTAAAAAACTTGTTAATTATTTAATCATTTTTGTTTAGTTCTTGTTTTCCTGATCTGTCATAGCCTAAAGTTTTTTATAAACTTTGTAGAACTCTGGGCGGTTATTCGAGGTAAAAACCTGAATGATTTGAATTTTAAAAATGATAAATTTTCAAATTTAAAAACCAGTATTGCTCAGTCAAATATTTAAAGAGTCCCCTTGTGAATTGGTTTGTATAGTTTCAATATAAATGAAATGATATTACTTGAACTTAATGGATAATTGTTTTATATAAGAATATTTTATTTTAGAATTGAACCCACACAATGTTTGGAGTCCAAAAATGACTGTGGTAGTTAGGAAAGTTCAATAAATTATTGAAACAAAAATTTGACGCTTCATGTAATCATTTTGAAAATTTATTGGTGTAATATAAAACTTTCAGCTGTGAACATACAGAGCGTTCCATATCATATTAGATTATCTCCAAGTTTTAACGCCAAAATAAAAACTATAACACTCGAAAAAACCACTATTTTCCGCAAGAAGCCTTATTCAATTTTTCAAAATAATTCATTCTTCTGAAATTTTCTTTTTAGTCCCGAAAATCGTAATTTAGACCGATTGACGATTTAATATGATGTGGGACACCCTGTATATAAATAGGATTTTCAATCTGGATGGGATAAAGACCATAAGAAAAAACGTCTGCATAATTTAACAACAGTTGTGAAAAATTTGTAAAAAATTAAAAAGGGTATTGAATTCGGTTTCGAACACTTCTAATTTACTTTCACAGTGATAACCAGAAAACTCTGGAATATAAAGACGACGTTTATAATAAAATTATAACTTTTAAAAATTTAGTAAGCATGAGACACAGCAATTGTGCAGTGCAAACAGATAAATTTCACTAAATTAGTGCTTTAAAATTTGTCTTGTAAAACTGTTTGCTTTGAAACAACATAAAATTTACTTAATTGTATTGCTATAATGTCGTCTTTTATTCCATTGTTTTGTTTATTACTGTATATAAGAAGAAAAGAAGAAGAAGAAGTTAAGAACACTATTGCACAAAAACGTATACCCATATAAATTCACTTATCACTTAGTTGCGTTATTCCAACCAGACTGTAAATAATTTAATTTAATTTAAAACTAATCATTCAGAGCTGAAAACTTTGGAATGAGATATCCTTAATCCCGATTACTTAATCTGAGTATCCAATGGACACCCTTTTTTTCTTTTTAAATCGTTCTTTCATGGATAAAGTAGAGAAAAATCAAAAACCGGTTTTTAAAATTAGAGAGTCCCTCCCGTTTCTGTATATTAATCTTAAATGGCGCGCAAAATTTCAAATTTAACGGCTTCTTATACGCAACTCTGATTGGTTGAATTTTATACACAGGATACAAGTACAAGATTAGGTTAGTCTCGATATTAAGAAAAATGGAGGATCAAGCATTAATCTCGATGTCCATCATTCTAAAGTTTTCAGCTCAGATATTACAATTATGTCGGGATCAATTCCTGGCATTCGAATGTAGAAAATATTTCATAATCTATACAATTTATTTACATGAGCTCTACGCCTCGCTCTTAGGCACTAATAGTGTTTAGTTTCATCAAAGAAATAGAAATAAAATTAGTAGAAATAAAACCCGAATTCAATTATGAATCATCTAATAACCACTCTCATTTTTCGCAAACACTCCCTTTAAGTCTCATCCTTTGTGGGTAACCCTACTACTTATCCAGTCTACTATATTAGTTTCTGTAGAATGGAAAACAAATCCCATTTTATCCCATCTAAAGAATAAGATTTATTAGTGACGAATTTAGTAAACAAATAATATAAAGAATTTAAAGAAATGTTATGCCAATGCACTTTGTGAAATATGTTTTACCTGGACTTCAGTGTGTCCCATCTGCTGATCACAATCAACTGTTCAACAAACTTTATCATTTACTGCTGCAAGGACAACAAGTAAAATATTTTGTTTACTTTTTTATTTTGTTTAATGCTATTTATTTTATAATTTATAATATTTTTATTATAAAGCTCTTCACTTATATATATATATATATATATATATATATATATGTGTGTGTGTGGGTGTATATATAGTAGCAATAATTTCCCGAAAGTAGATGTAGACAATTTTATCGTCTTCAGAGATGAAAATGCGCGATTTATTTCTGGAAAACTTCGAAAAGCGGGTAGTTATTTTTCTAAGTTGTGCCAAGGGACGTAAAGTAACTTAACGTCCCTCTCCTGGGGAACTTATTGGTCGGTAATGTTGGTCCAAGGGCGGTAAAACAAATGCATATTTTTGTTTAGTTTGCCTCGAGTGTGGACTCATTACTCTGTATATATCCTTCCTCTACTCATCCCTCATATTCTTCCCCTGGCCCAGATCTCCCTCACCTCCAGCATCTACACAACCCTCGCCGTAGCCATCGAGAGGTTCATGTGCGTCTGTAGGCCACATACTAAGGTAATATCACCAAACTCTAAAATGGCGGAACAACACGAACTGTACATGCAAGTCGTACTGTCCAGTCTGGCTACCCTGTTTAGAATCGAACCAGCAAACTTTATGCAACAAATGCTTCTTGGCAAGAATACAGTGATATATAAATACTAGGCTTTCAGGGCGCTTCACACCGTTACTTTTTGCTCTTTAACGGTAACAGTTTAAAAAAGTAAAGTTTTGAAGATTTTTCAGTTTTTAACGGGGATTAGATGGTCATTAGGATAAGAAAAAAAATTTTCTAAGGCAGTTGGGTAGAAAATTGTTTTAACACTTTTTTTTATTTCTTAAACATACTGTTTAAAAAATTTCATAATTAGTTAAATTTTCCCAAGATCTTTGAAGGTCTTTGAATATATTATGTATTTGTAGGCTGCAACATTTCAACATATGGCGATCATTTAAATATTATAGAATATTCAGAAGATATTAAGAAATATAAAAACATGTTCTGCTCTTTTTTCATTTTGATCTAGTACAAGCATGGAATAGATTTATTTCTTTTATAATATTGTATTAATATTTATTGATATTTATTGATATTTATTTAATATATATATATAAATATCAATATATATTGATTTATAAATATTTAGGATGTTTTACCTACAAACCTATATCAATATATGCTCCATAAAAGATGTATCGAGTTTGAAGACTCTGTTGACCTTGAAGTGTTGCAACTTCACCAATAACTCAATTTTACGTTTTGGTAGCCCAAGTACATTTTATAACTCTTAAGTACTTCATAGTTTTAGCTTGAAAAGAGAATTTGAAAAAATTCTCATATAGGGTTTTTCCTTAGAGATTGCAACCATAGGATTACTGGAAGGGATCACAAAATATACAGGGTGTCCATTTAATCTTGCCAATTTTCGAATTGCTGTAACTTTGTTATTGTTTGGAATTTTTCCAATCTTTAAAAAAATGTTGAGTAGTAAAAATATGAACGTTTTGTTATATACAATGAAAACTCACAATTTCAATTTGAAACAGGCACAATTTTAGCTATTTCATTTGGCCCATATTCCAGTATGGTGTTTTCTAAAGAAGCCAAGTTTGGATTGTTCAGAACTATTCTTCTGATAAAGGATTACCTCAGCTTCGCAGGGATTACTAACTTTACCATCACTAACAAGTAGACTATTACTCTTGTGAAAGCCTTCAAGAGAGTGATTGCCAAGGGAATCTCACGAGATACTCTGCTGAGGGTTGCTGATCATTATTGTACCAGAGCCACATCATGCATTTAAGAGGAAGGTGGTCTTTTTGAATATCTGTTAAAGAAAAAGAACTAAACTAGTTGATTTGCCAAAAGGTTGATATTTTTATATTAAAAATGTCACAGAATAAATGTAACCAGATCTATATTTCTGTTCATTATTAAGATTTCAAAATTTGCACTATTAAAAGAACACCCTGTATATTAATGATTGATTGTTGGTTGCTAATGTCTTGTAGAATATAATATAGATTGTTTAATGTTTAGGTTCCAGAGAGTATGTGTTTAATGGTTGCTCTAGGAATCTGTATATTCTCTGCTGCTATCAATTCTACCAGGTTTAGAAAAGGAATTGAGTCGTCACCTCAAACTCATATTTTATTATCATTATATCTTTGCAACCTTGCAAAGATGTAGGGATGAGAAAATCAGAGTTTGTGGCCAAAACTCAATTCCTTTGCTATTACAGTTTTTTCAACTTATTCAAATAAGTAATAAACTAACAAATCAAATGAATGAAAAAAACTTTTTAATTTTATCTTTTAAATCATAATTATAGGCTTCCATGAAGCGACTAACACCTCTCCTGTTCTCTTGTTAGTTTATTATTCTTTTAGCTTTTAAATTTTACTTTATCTGCATTTTTCCTCTTAAAGGGACTGTAAGCGTAATTTTAAGTGACTCTCTGTGCAAAGATTTCAATGCCTAATTTACAGTTCCCTTGATCTGATCTGATTAAAATTATGGAACATGGAAAATATTTTTTTTGTGTAAACTTCTCCATTCCTTCTCATGGAATCAGTTGCTCAAGTCACAGCAAGGGAAACCGCAAACGAAAATAAACAGTTCAAAGAAATTAAAACATTGATATATAATTCATACTTGATCAGACAACGCTTTTAATTCAACGCTTTGTGAATCAGACATTGTCATCTTTGCATGGAGGGTCACTTTAAATTAAGATTCTTTTTAAACTAATGTATCTATACATCTCTTTTTCATTAACCATCCTAACAATCTAGATTTTATTAGATTATTTGATCAAACGTTATAGTGAATAGTTAATCACAGAAACCATAGTTAATCACAAAAACCACAGTGAATCATAGGGAAAATCCAAAGAAAGTTTTCTATCATTTCACACCGAAAAACAATTTTTATATTTTTATTTTTCTTATTTTTTTCAAACTGAAGAACTCAGATTGAAGTAATTTTTCCAAGCAAATGCACAAAAATATCAACAAAAATTTTTTTTACTTATTTTAGGTTTTTTGAATACGAACTGAAGGAGATTCCAGTAGTAAGGTTAGGCAAAAATGTTTAAATATCTCAAAATATTTTTTTCATTTAGAGATTTCCTAAATTTTTCGTTGTTTATGAAAAGATCTTGTTAGATTTATTTTTTTTTAGATAGAAAAATTCGTAATTACTTTGTTAGATTTTTTTTTAATTTGATAAATATTATCTGTATCTACTTGGTGTAATTATTTTCTAAGGTACAGAAATACAAGGAAAATCATTTTCTTTCAATCAATACATATTTGATCCTAATATAATGTTTTTAATAAGATTTTTTTGTTCGCAATAAGTGACTTTAACATTATAAAAATAAAACAACATATAAAATACATTTTTTCCAATTTTGTTAGCCAAATCTAATTTAAACCAATGGTATAATAATTGAAGAATTTGAATGATTGTTTAAAATGTAAAAAGCAGCTATCTAGTATTTTTGCTATTTTTTTCGTGGATTTTGACATTAATTTTGAGAATTTGGTTAATAAGCCATCAGTTGTTTCGTTCGTTTAAAAGTTTTCAGCTATGTTGTGTACCTCATGAGGAGATGATTAAAGCTGGTTGTATACAAAGTGAATAAATAGTATAAATAGTATTTATTCACTTTGGGTCGTATGTACTCACAAAGAGTTATCATTCACAAAAATGTTAAACCTAAAACACAAACGGAATTGAGTCTTTGTCCCAAACTCTGAATTTCTAAACCCTTTATCTTTGCAACCCAATGTCGTAGACCTTCGATATTTCAATCTATGAATTCTATAAAATTAAATAATCAAAATGAATTGATTCTTTGCCACAAACTCTGATTTTCTAATCCCTATATCTTTGCAACCCAATGTAGTAGACCTTAGATATTTCAAACTATGAATTTTGTTAGATCAAATAATCTAAGTTTGAAATATCAAAAGTTTATACTATCAAGTTTCAAGGATTTTGAATTGGAAAGAAATTGAGTCTTTGCCACATTTTCTAATTCCAATATCTTTACAATTTGATAGAGTACATTAGTTGATATTTCAAACTTAGATTATTTAATATAACAGCTTTCATAGTTTGAAATATCAAAGGTCTACGTCATTGGGTTCCAAAGATATAGGGATTAGAATATAAGAGTTTGTAGCAAAAACTCAATTCCTTTCTAGTTTGTGGCAAAGACTCAATTCCTTTGAAATATTAAATGTTTACACCTTCAGGTTAAAAAGATATAGGGAATAGAAAATTTGACTTTGTGGCAAAGACTTTGTCTGTAGTTCAGGAAATTAAAACAATCGACCTTTTGTTTAGTTATACTCAGTACGAAAATGGGACCTTGGAGAGCGCCAAAAATGAGTCAGTTTTTATTCCGTTCCCAACAGATATGAGACAACATCCCTTGTATTCCAAGGTAATTCCAAACTTAAAATTCCCAATCTGTTATTCACCAATCTGCCATTCCCAATCTGTCATTCCCAATCTTTAATTTCCTATTTGAAATTCCCAATCTGTAATTCCCAATTTGTGATTCCTAAACTAAAATCAACCAAAGAAAATGAGTTTTTACCATAAAAGTAATTTTTCAATTTCTATATCTTTGCAACCCAAACATGTAAAACTATAAATAGTAGAATGTCAAATTAAATTGACACTTTTATTTTACTATACTAAAGACCTCGAGGCCAAATATTTAAAAAGGATTTCAAATTGGCAAAAAAGAAAAACATTTCCTTTCACAGAGGATTAATAAGAGTTATTAGAGAGCTTAAAAGTTTTGCAAGTTTTTCTAATTTAAGAGATTAGTATCTTTAAATGTTCTGACTCATTTTCCTTAGGAAGAAAACTTATAAATCCTCCTGAGGCCGAATTTAAAGAATTTGAGCCGCAGACTAAATTTAAGCCTCGGCTCAAATATGGTTGGTTCCACATAAATTTATATTAAATTTTTCAAGATTTAAGCCAGCGATCAATTAAACCAGGTTTTTTGGGGATTTAAGACGTGGCCTAAATTCATTAAATTCGGACACAGGGTGTGCTATGCTGTTTAATCCAGAACTTCGGCAATATCGAGGAAAAATATAAAATGTCGTTATCTTTTTAATTTTAAAATTACTGAGATTTATGTGTAAAACTATGAAACCCATTAAACAACTGCCAAGACAACATTTTATAAATTATTTCGAGTACTGGGTTAAACAGTATCATAATGAAGCCGAAGGTTAGTGTACGAAATATAAAACATCGGTTAAACTGTAAGAAAAAATCATCTCTGTTTTGTTTCTCTATGACATTAACCCTATCCCTGCTGGGGTACTTAAAAACCAGGATTCAAAAATGCAAAATTTTTAATAACCCGACGTGTATTTAAGAAAAACCAAAAATGTGCAAATTTCTTTTGAGGGGTTGTATGAAAATAATGTGAACTAATTTTTTGCAAAACTTGTACGTCCGTTTCCTTGCGTTATGTTCTTTCAAAAAAGCTAAAAATATTTACCTCAAACCGTACCCTCAACCTATCATCTATTCACTTTGCTATCGGAGAATGTGGAAGCATAATACTTAAAAGAACTGTGAGGTTAATTACAAGTAGCTCTCCATGCAAAGATTAAAATGTCAGATTTACAATGGTAACCTTGAAATCAATATTGTGGAAGATATCATCGTTTTTCTAGGTTTAAATTGTTTGCAGAAGAATTGCGCAGGTCACTTTTGTAGAGAAACCACAGTTTTATATTTAGATCTCTACCGTAACCTCCATCCTTCTACTTCATCTGGTTCCTCTCATCAGTCTTTGCTACCTCAACTTTGCGATCTTTACAGCAATTAGGTGAGTAAGTTATCTTTACAGCAATTAGGTGAGTAAGTTATCTTTACAGCAATTAGGTGAGTCAGTAATCTTTACAGTTATTAGGTGAGTCAGTAATCTTTACAGTAATTAGGTGGGTCAGTAATCTTTACATTAATTAGGTGGGTCAGTAATCTTTACATTAATTGGGTGAGTCAGTGATCTTTACAGTAATTAAGTGAGTCTGTAAACTTTACAGCCATTAGGCAAGTTTTCAGTAATCTCTGCTAGCATCCAACAAGATTTCAGTAATCTCTGCTAGCATCCAACAAGTTTTTAGTAATCTCTGCTAACATCCAACACGTTTTCAGTAATCTCTGCTAGCATCCAACAAGTTTTCAGTAATCTCTGCTAGCATCCAACAAGTTTTCAGTAATCTCTGTTAGCATCCAAATAGTTTTCAGTAATCTCTGCTAGCATCCAACAAGTTTTCAGTAATCGCTGCTACTATCCAACAAGATTTCCATAATCTCTGTTAGCATCCAACAAGTTTTCAGTAATCTCTGCTAGCATCCAATAAGTTTTCAGTAATCTCTGCTAGCATCCAACACGTTTTCAGTAATCTCTGCTAGCATCCAATAAGTTTTCAGTAATCTCTGCTAGCATCTAACAAGATTTCAGTAATCTCTGCTAGCATCCAACACGTTTTCAGTAATCTCTGCTAGCATCCAACAAGTTTTCAGTAATCGCTGCTACTATCCAACAAGATTTACATAATCTCTGCTAGAATCCAACAAGTTTTCAGTAATCTCTGCTAGCATCCAAAACGTTTTCATTAATCTCTGCTAGCATCCAACAAGTTTTCAGTAATCTCTACTAGCATACAACAAGATTTCAGTAATCTCTGCTAGCATCCAATAAGTTTTCAGTAATCTCTGCTAGCATCTAACAAGATTTCAGTAATCTCTGCTAGCATGCAACAAGTTTTCAGTAATCTCTGCTAGCATCCAACATTAACAAGTTTTCAGTAATCTCTGCTAGCATCCAACAAGTTTTCAGTAATCGCTGCTAGCAATCCAATAAGATTTCAGTAATCTCTGCTAGCATCCAACAAGTTTGTTTTTAACGATGAACACTTAAACATTCAGACGTCAAAAAGTTTTAACTCTGAAGCTTCCATGTCAAATACCAAAATGTTTCAAATTATTAAATCCAAAATTAGACAAGTTTGAAAAGTTGAATTATGAAATGTCAGTAGAACCCTGTCATTCTCATTCAAACTTTCCAATTATTCATTATTTATAGCTTACTAGCGCTGCCCAGATGTTACTCTTGCCGTTTACCCCCACTTGAACTATTTTTACGGGAATCTAAATTCCCGTGGGTCTCTCGACTTTACCAATCATAATTTGAGGCAAATCGGTCCATGGGTTCCCAAGTTATGATCGGACGAACAAACAGACAGACAGGCAAACAGAATTCACAACTATATATATGTAAACTATTTATAATAAAAGTTAAGAGCAGAATGTGTAAAGAGTATTACGATTATAAAAATGTATTAATTGGTATTTTATCTTTATTAAGTTTTGCTTAAAGGGACTGTAAAGGAAAAATGAAAGGGGGTATGAGCTGAAACCTAAGCGTTTTAGGAGTTGATCGAAACCCATAGAAGTTCCTATCTGATGTTCATTTCTTGAGAAATTGATATAAAACTGTGTCAAATTTATACGAAAATCTATATATTGATTTTTACTGCTACCTAACTTCTATACATCTTGATTTATACTGCTAACTAACTTCTTTATATCTTGATTTAAACTGCTACCTAACTTCGATATATCTTGATTTATACTGCTACCTAACTTCATCCTAATATATTATGCTAGCTGAATCGCCCGGTGTTGCCCGTGGAATTTTAAAAACTCTTGGGAAAAAAAGTTTCGATTTTCCCAAAATATTTTAGCCAATTTGATCGGAGTCCCGCGGTTGATCCATCTAACATATATATATAATCTTTGGTCGAGTTAAAGCAAGAAGATGGTTAAAACAACGATAATTTGGCAAAAAGAGTTTTTGTTTCACGGATCTCAGAGTGTTAGATTTAGAAGAATTGTATATTTAATATATATATATATAGCTGAAAGCTCTTCGCTCATATGTATATTTATTAATTTGGTATACCTACTTTGAGTCCCACTTTTTCAAAATTCGATTTATTTTAATTCCACTGGCAACGCCGGGCAATATATGATATATATGAGCGAAGAGCTTTAGTATAAAAATAATATAAAACATTTTTAACAAGTAAAGCAAATCCCTTTTCTTGTCACCAGATTAAGCTGAATACATTTGATTTTCTTTTCACGTTGGATTGGAATCCAATAAAACATTTTAAATTGCAATGAGAAACAAGTAACATTCAGATTTTGTTTTGAACCAATATTTTTTCTTATACAATATCCTCCTCTTTCCAACCGGTTCTTATACAAAATGTTATCTTTCAAAAAAAAGAAGAAATAATTATATTTGTTTTGCTTTTATGTTTATTTTTGTTCGTGCATCACTGCTAGAAGATATAATTTTACTTAAATCAAAGTTTGATAATCTTCCAAGTTCGAGAGCTAAGGTTTATCAAGGAAAGAGTTCAAATTAACAAATTATGCATATGTTCGCAATTTCAAGTCACCCTGCATTGATAGAGTGACATGTACGATCCCAATGGTATCCTTCAAAGCTTGGTCTGATCAAGTATGAATTAGATATCCTAGTTTTTGTTTGTGAAAACATACTTTTTCCTTTGCGGAAAAATAACAGAATTTTTCAACTTAAGAGTACTGTTGTGAACCAGGAATGCCACTCAGATAATTTCAAATTACAGCGACCAGTCCCTTTGATTAAGAACGTATTTAGGTTCCGTGGTGTGATATCAACAGCTCTAATCAGGATACACGTGTTTAGGTTCCGTGGTGTGATATCAACAGCTCTAATCAGGATACACAAAGTATTCTCTAGAAAGTCACAAAACAGCACTCTTCCCCCACATTTGTAAGTATATCTAATTATCCATGAACCATCGTTTGGTTTTCTTTTAAATCAGTTTTATTTTTAAATATCTTTGCAACCAGATGTCATAAGCCTTTGATATTTAAACCATTGTCAATAAGATCTTGCAGATGTAAAAAAAGCTGGGTAAAAGGGGTTAAATGCAATATTAAAGGGGAGACCATTCTTACCCTTAAAACACCTTAATATTTTTGTTAAAACTCCTTGATAAGTAAGGTGAATCTCCTTAAGTCAAGTTTCTCTAGACCAGTTCCAATGGTATCTTCTTTTATTCAGCAATATATTAATAGAACTGTCAAATCTTAAAATGTATAATTGGTTCTCTTTATTATTCATGGGTTAAAAAATGCGTAATATTTAATAGTCTTTCCGACAAAAAAAGAATTACTACACACTTTTTCAAAATTCCCATTATTTCAGAAATATAGAGAATTGCTCTGACCCAGAGAACTCCGGGTTTAGGATGGAACCCCTAAACATTACTCCATCTCCCTCCATTCTTTCCAAAACCCATTCAGCTGTTTCCCAAGCGGGAATGAACGTAACCCCGACTAAACCTCCGTCCACCAATCTTCTTATTCTTAGTCCAACTGATGCTACCCCTCTTTTTCCGTGCTCTTCTCCCAACCCTCAAGGTTCAAGCACATCTAACCCACCAGAACCTAAACTGTCAAACCCGCAGAGTTCCATCACCATCCAAGGATCTGGCAGCGCCCACGAAGTGGGTTCAAGGAACGGAAGCTTACAGCGCTCTATGACCATGACCCCAACACTTCTATATCCTACACCGACTCCAAAGCTGCAATTCCGTTCTAGTAGTCTGAAGCCTACTGATGATGTTAAAACCTATCCAATCGAACTGCAACCCCCACATCCGACCAGCTCAACTAAGCATAACTATCCCAGAAACCGGTTATATATGCAGACAAGTATATAGTTACATGGACGCTGTACATAACATCAGTATATACTGGTCTCACAGTTACAAATGCGTACACTATTACTCATTGAAGTACTGGACTGACTGATAAAGCTGGTTTAAGAGAGTATTGTTGAACGAAAGCCAAACTCTTGAATTTCCTTTTTGGGGTCTATTCATTTGGATAGATATTAATTTAAGAACTCGGGAAGCTACAGAGAATGCAAATGTAAAGAAACCACATCTATATATAAATTTGGCTTGTCTGTCTGTTTGTCTGTCTGTCTGTCTGTCTGTCTGTTTGTATCCAATAAACGTCAAAACGGCTGAACCGATCGGGCCCAAATTTTTGTGGGACATCTAGGGACCCCAGGGAAGGTATATGAATGATTGAAATTTTAAATATTTGTCTCCACCAAAATTCGATCGTCATTAAATTTTTTATAATTTTGAAAATCCGCGAATTATTTTTGTTTTGTTTTACGATGTACAGAAAGAGAACATGTTCACAATTAATTTAGAAGATGGGCGCGAAGCGCCCTCTAAGGCTAGTAAAATAATATTTCTGGTCAAAAAAATTGGTATCTTCAAAACTGCCTGCACAAAAATCTATTTTTATTTTCAGCAAGTAAATACAATTTTTAACAAAATAAATGAGATTCACCATTTTTTAAAAACACATCATATTTTTTAAAAACACATCATATTTTTTAAAAACACATCATATTTTTTCTCCAGTCATAAATTTTTCCCCCAACACGGCTATTTTTGTTAGTTAACAATTTCAAAGTTAACAAACTGTTTTTGTCAACGATCGAAACTCTGCCCAGCCATCACTAAACCTAAAGATTGCAATGCAGACAAGTATTCAAACCATTTATGCATAAGCAAACTTTGCTCCACATGCAGAATGTATAGAGTATGTTTATAATTATAATTATGCAGTTTGCAACATACTTTATAAACTTAGATTGAACGTAAACAAAAAGTTCACTCTAAAATTCAATTCATTAAGTTAATTTGTAAATATAGTAATTTGTTGTTATTATTTTTAGAAACAATTCCCAAAAGTATTGTTGTTGTTTTTAAATGTAAACATAAGAAAACTATATTATTGGTCTCTTTAATCTGGAGTTGAAAACAAGCTATAGAACTTGATATTTATAGAAAAATATTTAAAAACTTCAGAAATTTCTTCTTTCCAATTTATTTAGAATTTTCACCAGATTAAAAATAACAAAGTGAAGTGAACACTTTTTTAAGATGAGAATTTGAGAAATGTCCGTTTTGATCATAGAGAATAGAATATATATTAGAGGAGAATTTACTGAAAAAAGTGTAAAACGGCCATTTTGTTGTACTGTTTCCATATTGCAGGTGTACTTCACATATTTGTGCTATATAACCTGTTGGGCCCTGGAATATCATTTTATAGAAAATCTAAAATTATTGTTAAAAGAAAAACAAATTATGAAATAGGCTGGTTTCATAATTGACCAATGATCATTTCACATAGACTCTATGCCTTCCACTTTACAAACGATGATTTTCCGTTATAACTATAAATCAAATGATGTTTTTATTCACCTAATTCATTATGAAGTTTATTTAACAGTTTAAAAATTTCGAAATTTAAATGGATAGTCTAGGGAGCATACTGTATTAATGTACTCATACTGCATATAATTTGTGAACATTTACATGATTAGTACACTTTGAACTCCCCGTCAGGCTGAAAGGGACTGAAAAAATTCATACCGAGAGATTCTTTTAATTCCTCTCTAATATATTCTATTCTCTATGGTTTTGATATTCCCCCATTATTGTTTTACATTAGAAATATACTGCATATTTTGGAGGAATAAAATCAAACTTGATGCTGTTCATGTCGAGTTTTTTTATTTCCTCCTAGAATATGCAATATACCTTTATGAATACACAGGGAGATCTTGGTATTTATATTCCTTGGAAAAAAATTCTTTAAACTTCTTATTTGTGATGACAATACTTCAGGACACTTCCTAAGTTCCTATATTAATATTCTTGACTGAATCCAGTCATAAATTGAGAGGAAATTTTTGTCACATTTTATTTTTAGATTATAAGCTGTTGAATTCACGTGTTTTTATCGTTCGATTGCCCCCCCCCCCATTCCCTAACCTATCAAATATTGAATCCCACCCCCATCACATGGGAGGTTGATTAGGGTGCATGTTTCAAGTTTCTTATTTCAAATCGTCAAATATGTTTTCATTTGTAAAACTGTATTTACTACGCACCTGTGCCCCTGTAGTAAAAGTAAATTCAACCTATATGAAGCATAAAGTCTGACCGCGTCAACCTTGTTGCACCGGCTAGTCCTGTCCATAGAGCTAAGTACAGTACAAACTGGGACCGGAAAGGTTGATCCGGCTCGAAAATTCAAATGTAATACGGCTGTCCGTGTACGGTTGTACAGAGTTACCCACAAAGGATGAGACTTTAGAGAAAAATCTACGGAATTTATTCAGTCATTTTTCTTAAAGTCTAATTTTTTCTTTGAAAAACAAATACAAAGCTGAATTATAAACGATTTGTGTGAAGTCTAACATGAAAACTCTAGAAATATTTCCCTGACATCTGCATTATCGGAACTATTGTCGGGTTAAATGTTTCCCGGGATAGTTTTTATGTCAACTGATCTAAATATCCAGTTTTGAGATCGAATTTAATAAATAATGAGAAGTTTCTAAATTAGGTGTTGCTAGTTAAACTATGTATAGTTCAACTATCTCTCTGTTATACCTCTTGTTCAGTATAATAGTATATGTTTGTAAATAAAAAACAGTGTGACACAGTTATTTAGATTTTTAAAAAATAGTTTGTATATATATTTTTTCCGAAAATTATATATTTTAACGTGTATGATGTTAATGTTATAAAGTTTATAAATGTTTAAATGTCTGTTTTTAATAAATAAAAAATATTTAACTTTTTTATATTTTTCCAGAAATGCTTCCACTTCAATATTTTTTGCTCTCACTTTTCTTTGTTTAGATTCAGAAAATAAGGTTTCAGCATTTTTAGATGTCACAGAATAGAGAATATTTTATAGAAGGAAAATAGTACTATCCCCCAAGGTGTAATGCTAGAAAAGTTAATTGCACTTGCAGATACTCTGCGTACGTATTGAAACCAGTTCTCTCTGGGCGGAATTTGTAAATTTGTAGATGCATAAGAGTACGTTTTTTTAACCAGAGCGTAGCGAGGGTTAACCCAGCAGTATTTTCAGAAAAACTTTGTCCCATTGCATGATTGAAAGCAAACATTTGTTGAACATCTTCAAACCAGCGGTTAAAAGAAAAAAGTTGCAGAAAAAAACCAGTGGTTGAAAGCTAAAAAGTTGCCAAAAAAGTTGCAGTTGAAAAAAGAAAAGAAAAAAAATCTGAAAAAACTGAAACCCAGTGATTGAAAGAAAAACGTTTCTGAAAAAAACTTAAAACAAGCGGTTGAAAAGAAAAAATGTTGCGAAAAAAAAAACTAAAAAATCAGAGGTTGAAAGCATATAAATTATCTTAAATGTTAAACCCAGCAGTATTTTTAAAAAAAACTTTGTCCCATTGATTGAAAGCAAAAAGCTGCTGAAAAATCTTAAACCCAGTGGTCAACAGCAAAAAATTGTAGTATCTCAGCGGTTGAACTTACTAAAAAGTTTTAAAAAGTAGATAAAAATGTAAACGAATAAAGTGCGAATTTAGTGGTTAAACAAAGCTTAAAGAAAAAAGTTGCATTTCTTTTTCTAAACTGCGTAGAGTCTAAGCTAGATTTCAACCGCTAATTCAACCGCTCCCGCTGAGTTTTTTTCTAGAAAGTATTTATCATTGGAAGATTATAAGATTGTGTAATGCTATCATTCAAAAACATTAAAAAAAAACCTAAATTCATATTTTAAATATCTATAAAAACCTAAAATGTTAAGAAAGGAATATACCATATATATACTATATGTATTCAAAAAACATCCAAACTCAATTTAAGAAACACTTATTGAAAAAAAAAAAGTTATAAAAAAGTTGTGGCACTTTTTTCTCAGCGTGCTAAAGGATGATGTTTATTTCTATACGGAGGCCGAAATTATAAAGTTGAGCCGCGGTTGAATTTTAAGCGTTGGCTCAAGTATGGTTGGTTCCACTTGAAATTGTATTAAATTTTTCAAGATTTAAGCCGGCGCTCAATTGAAGCCGGTTTTTGTGGGATTTGAGACGCGGCTTAAATTCATTAAATTCGGACACAGATTACTTTACCTTTAGATATTTTGATTTCTAAACGTTTTTGTTTCCAATTGAAGGACAAACTTTAGTTGAAATTTAATCAAATTAAAATGAATGATGTACAAGTTTACAATAAATGGATTTATGTTCAGAATAAACTAGCTTGAGAACCCAGATTTGCCCAGGGTGCTCCCGCCGTTTACCCGCGCTGGGTCGTAAATTACAATTTTAGCTATTTTTCCAAATCAAGATTAGAACATTCCTGTAGCTCTCCCAAAAACTTAAATCAAATCAAAATTTGAGGCAAATCGGTCCAGGGTTTTTGAGATATGATAGGAAAAACAAACAAACAAACAACTATATATATATATAGATACATTATCAATGTGTGTATCTATATAATAATATATATCATGTGTATATCTATATAATAATATATATCATGTGTGTATATCTATATAATAATATGTATCATGTGTGTATCTATTTAATAATATATATATATATATATATATGTAATGTATGTACTGAGAGGGGTCGAAGATTATCTGAATCTGGATTTCAAGTCACACATCACATGACACAACATTATTTCAATGTGCTCTCAAGCTGAATTCAAAGCATTAGTTCGCGTTGTGGGCTTGTGGCTCATCTCTAATACCAAGTAAATATTAAATGATTTTTCAAAAACTTTAAACTTATATTTTATCTTCAAACGTAAGACTGGACAGATGAAAAAGTATATTTACCCCGGATTCACAACGATACCCGTTAATCTTTTCTCTGTCCAAGCAAAAAGATTAGTGGTTTTTTAATCTCAACACGTGTTTAATTCTGTCTATTGTATTCCTTCTCTTTTCCGCACAAATCCGCAAGTTAAAAGAGAAGCTACTCACGCACACCTGACCATTTAGTAAAAGTAAATTCAACCTAAGGTCTGACTGTGTCAACCTTATTGCACAAGCCAGTCCTATTGAGTGTCTGCGTTATTTACCCGATGTCCGGGCGATACAGTACAAACTGGGACCGGAAAGGTTGACCCGGCTCGGAAATTGAAATGTACTACGGCTGCCCGTGTACTATTGAAGTATACTGATTGTAAAACGAGAGGTATCGTTGTAAATCGTGAATTGCGTTTAATAGAATAAGATCAAAGATTAAGATCAAATGTGTAAACATTATTAAATAAAAAAAATCTTTTATTTTCTTCAAGTTAAGCTTTATTGTTCTGAGGAAAAATTTGTTCAGAATTTATGGTAAGTATAATGTTCCAATTATTATTATTCATATCTCAGACCTCACATGACATATATTTTAATGTCAATAATTTACTAAAGGGGCTGTTGTTGTAGTTTCAAGTGACCCTCCATCTAAACAGGGGTATATCTTCAAATATAAAGTTTGTATATATGTCCGATCATAACTCATGAACCCCTTGACCGATATGCCTTAAATTTCAAATGGGGAACTCGGGATCGAACCACCGGAATGTTCTTAGTTTTGAGATTCTAAGTTTAGTAAGTCTAAAATAGTATTTTACGACCAAGCGCGGGTAAACGGCAGGAGTATAACTATTAACTATGAGTTAACTGGGCAACGCTGGGTTTCCAATTATAATATAAAATAGATTTAGATTGGATGAGAATGGCAAACGACTACACGCCTATAGACGAGTATTCCCGTGACCGGCTTGCTAGCTGGCACAGATGGCAACAGGTTGGGACATTATTAAATTAGAAACTTCTTCTCCAGCACTTTTTTATATATAAAAAAGTTTACAAGATAATAAATGCACTTAGCTCTATCTATTATTCAGGAAAAATCAAACATGACAATTTTTTTTTAAGTAGTAACATATTTATAAATTTTGTTACAATGATTACAATTTTGACGAATGTACAGAGAAAGGATTATGTAACAATGTAAACTCGATTTGATTGGCAGAAATTCAATAAAATTATAGAGTTAGATTGTATCATAGTTTTAAACTGTATTTAATTCTAACCTAATTGTAAATTTCAACCCTTTAAAGTCTGGGGAGTCTAAATCTATGTATAGACTATAGAAAATGGTTTAAGATTAAAGCTGAAGAGTAGCATGATCATGATCCAAATTTTTCAATTGAAAAAAGTTAAACCGCTAAATTTAATGATTCGAATGTTAGGAAGGTTTAAAAAAATGTCAAAAAAAGGTCGGACAAAGAAATTGAGTCTTTGCCACAAACTCAAATATTCTCATCCCTATATCTTTACAACCTGATGGTATTTCAAACCTATGATTATTTGATCTAGAAGAATTCAAAGTTTAAAATATCTAAGGTCTACGGCATTGTCTTGCAAATCTTTAGGGATTAGAAAATCAGAGTTTGTGGCAAAGATTTAATTCCTTAAAAAAATTTAGTTTTTAGTTTTCGAAAAATATTAATATAATACACATGTTTTGAAATCCATTTTTAGATCTCAAGCTTTAGCAAGAATAGAATTTTTTCGCCGAGCAGCCTTTTTATCTTTTTGTAAAACATAACACAACATCCTTTTCATTATAATGCCTTTCAAGTAAACATATCAATGTGATATTTGTACAGTCTAGGAGAGTACATCTGTTTATTGTTAATTGTTTACTTAAAAATAATTGTAAAAAATATTTTGGAAATATCCTAAATTTTTTTAGAGAAAATCCGGGAACCGATCAGAACTTTAAAGCACACTTGCCATAGTATACAGCTAATTTAACATTAAAGCACGATGAATAGCACGTGACGTGCATTATGAAATTCACGATGAATTGAGTAATGATGATAAAGTACACTAAAGTTTCATAAAAAACTTTCAGAATCATATTTATATCAACTCTTCAATTGAATGTTAAGAAAAAACACAAAATCATTTTAGGAAAACTTTTTGTCTTTTTCTTCCAACTTTTGCAATTTCATTCCTTAAACCATTCTGTTGTCAACCAAATATGTATATTTGGAAATAAAAGTTGTCTTTCTTATTTAGAAATAATATTTGAAATATATTTCTGGATAAATTTTAAAATCTCAAAAATTCGAAATTTTTACAAAAAACAGAATTGATTGCATTTTTATAAATTTTCTTTTCCTTTCCAAGAATATGTTTCGGATATATTTGAAATCTAAAAAGAAAGCATAAAAACTTATATCGTGTGATTTAATTTTATTTAAAAAAAATAAAAAACTGGAACTTTATTTGCTTATCCGAAACACCCTATATTTTGATTTATCCCTACATTAATCCTTCTGATCTCAGCGTGCCATAGATCACCTGACAATCTCTTTCCTTTCTATCCAAAAACATAACTTGATGTGTGTAACCAATTATATTCAGTATTGTTAACTAACTTAAAGCCAACCACTCAAAACAACCTACTCTGGTTAGGCGGGTCCAAACTGCATAGTAAATTGTGATTGCTTATTCGTAATATCTCATGTTTTGTAGTTGAATGCAAATATGAATGAAATGAACTTTCCTATGAAAATTAACTGACTTTTTTAATGACAATTTTTGCTTAGACAATTTAAAATTATTTATTAATGATTTTTTAGTTCGATTAGTTATGCATATATATGAATATGAATAAATTTTATATTGAGTAAACATCTAATTTACTTAAGTAAATTTTCACTTTATATCGATTAGGTTTTCACTGTATATCGAGTAGGTTTTCACTTTATATCGAGTAGGTTTTCACTTTATATCGAGTAGGTTTTTACTTCATATCGAGTAGATGTTGATATCATATTTTTGTTTAGTTATCTATGATGGGCGTGGCTATTGGGTGTGTTGCCTCTGTTGTGGTTTGTGTCTGCTTGTCAGTCAGCTATGCTAGAAACGACTTCGACAGGAACGCCACTATGCTCAAAAAGGGACTGTTCGTGATTTTTAATATGATGCTACAGTGAGAACCAGAACACAGTAAAATTCTCGATCTTCATTTTCCTTTAACTTCAATTTTACCCTGCACTTTGGAGAAATTGAAAGAATTTATATAATGTCGTCTTTTAAACCTGTTTATAATGGAATGCTGCAAATATTTAGGTTTTTAATTGAATTGTTATATATATAGAGCTCTTAAAAACTGTTCCACATATTTCATGGCTATTAATTCTTCCAATTACTGAGATATAATCGTATAAAAATATAAAAAATTGACGACAATTTATAAATTCTCTCGATTGCCCGAAGTTCTGGGTTAAACTATAGGAAAATGATAAATCAGATGCAACAATTGTAGAAAGTAAAATTAAGATCAAATTTGACATTTATCTGGTTCTCACCGTATATATTTATTATATTTATTAAGGACAAATAAAAAACATGCTTTAAATAGTTCAAACAAGAATGACTTGGCAAAATCTCAAACCTTTTAAAATTTTGAAAACATTTTGTTAAAATAATTGTAATGTGTTTTTTAAATGTCTGAAACCAAGGTGTTCAAATTTTTTTTTTATTATCTTAAGAAATTTGGGATGCGTTGAATAATTTTTAGAAAAAAATCAAAGATTAATCATCAATCTATATACCCCCCCCCTACCCCCCTCTTCTCAGATATTATATTATAATAATGGGAAAAAACATCTATATTTGTCAGACAATTACCATACAAAATATACATGTACATAAATTTACAATTCCAATACAACATACATGTACTTGTTAATTATCTATATATGTAAATAACAGGAAATAGACATTGTCTACATCAATATACTAAACTAATTAATGAAAGCAATAATGAAAACAAAGGGCTAAGGGGCCCTTTAAGAAACAACAAAAGTCAATTACTCTGTCCTGTATTTGTTTAGTATATATTTATGCAAATGTAAAAACTGAGTTATGTCTAGCTACTAGGCACATTAATAACAACCTGTAGTAAACACCTACTCCATAACAATTTCTCAAGACGTATCTATCCAGGTACAGTTTGTCCGATATCAAACTCACCCAGGACTGATCCACACAGCTACAATCCCATGACTAATCACAGCCACTACTACACAGGGCGCAATTTCATTAGCTATCCATGTAGATGCAAACACTAGCAATCAATTGATCAATGTCTCAACCAGGACACAATCCACACGGCTACAATCCCATGACAAATCAACGCCACTACACAGGGCGCAATCTCTACAGCTATCGATTTCAATACAGACAAAAGCAATCAATTAATCAATGTCTCAATCAGGACATGATCCACACGGCTGCAATCCAGTGACTAATCAACACCACTATATAGGACAAGGTCTTGTTAGCTATCAATGACATTACAGACACTAGCAATCAAATAGATCAATACCATTACTCAAGACATGATCTCCGCTCGTATGTTTCAATGAGAACTTCTATTACTTCTAATACCATAATCAAAGCAGAGTCTCAATCAACTGAGGTTTATATGGGTATGTCAGAGTTATATATATCTTTGTACATGGAATGGGTTAATAGCGATACAGGATTTGTGTAATTGCTAAATGAACAAGATACAATGTAAATTACAATGGGCCTCATTTTTTGCTACAAACCTAAAAAACCTCAAGAAAAAGACTATCAAGGTTTTGTTATTTTTTGCATTTTTTTCAATGCCGATGATACAATAATTATTTACAACTATTTTACAGGGAATTTAACCTTACCAAGGGTTCCCCCAAATTTGCATACTTAACACCCAGAGAAAAGCAAGTGCTGTTTTGTACGCAAAATTGGTCGAGAAAACCCATAGTTACCGAAAAAGTAGTTGCACTTGCATTGCATTCACAATTTTACCTTGGTAATGTTGGTCAAAAGAGGGTAAACTTAATAACAACTTGAGCCCATTTTAATAACAAAAACGAATATTTGATTGGAACTAAATAACAACCTGAGCCCAATTTAATAACAAAAATGAATATTTGATTGGAACTAAATAACAACCTGGGCCCAATTTGATAACAAAAATGAATATTGCATTGGCTTTCATTTTGTACAATTTATTATCAATTTACTGAAAGTGCTTTTAAAGTACTGTGAAGGTTAGAAAATATCAGTCAACCGGTTAAAAAATAAAAAATGATAATGCCCCTAATAAGTATACGCTAATATTTCAATTTGATTTTGACAAAGCTTTTGCCAACATGCCCTATAATGCTCGCATAATAGAATGCATTTTAAAGTTCTAGAGAAATGTTTTCCAATCAAAAATACTTTTAAGTTAAACATACGTCACTTAATTTAATGAAACTAGTTTAAATCCTCAAAAATATTTTCCAATATGGCGGCGCTCCTGTAGACATCATGAGCACGTGACCCAACCACAGCTGATGTCTTTACTCAATATAGATCTGGATTTGGATATTTTAAACAAACTAAAAGGTAAATTAAACATGGTAAAAATAAAGGAAAATCTTTTAGTTTCCTTTAAAACAGCAAGTATTTGGAATCTGTATGCTTTTACATAATAAACTATAATTATTAAAAATTCTTCAAAGTGGAAATATTGTATTAAATTCTTTAGATCAACAATGACCTTATTTGAATCCATTATTACATTTTACATCCAAGAGCGAAAAGGGCTAATTTACTTTTTAGAGAGCTTAAAAAATGTTCCTTAAAAGAGAAATTGGGAACTGCATGAAAGATTCAATTTAAAATTTAATTTTTCAATATTTTGGTTTATCTTTTCAAAAGTTCAAAAGTTGCTGTGCAATTCATTTTTTAAAGGAAATATGTTTTGACCCTTCATCATATGGTACAGGGTTACCCACAAAGGATGAGACTTCAGAGACAACTGTTTCTTTATACTTTTAATTCCTTGCTGTGCAACTATAAACTTCTTTCTCACTTTGCCAAATTATTGAGTAAGCCATTTAAAAACTCCATTCCAGGCAGGACACTTAAATGTAACATTAGGATCGTCTTATTTTACAAGTTTCTAATAATTGCAGCAAAGTATTCTGGACTGACAGATGCTAGTCCCCCACCAAGTAATGATGCTAAACAACATAAACATTCATTAAAGGGCTTACCCCCTCCTAACACTCCGGACCCACAGGTACTTTTTTTCAAATAAATAACCCATAAGAAATTAATAATCAATTTCAATTTTCCTTTACAATTATTTCACATAAACTTTAATTTCAGACAATTCCTATTTGTATATAGAATAATGATTAAAAATACTTAGAAAATTTATGTGATTGCCAAAAAAGTATTTTTTGTATAATTAATCACTTATGTTCTAAAGATTTACAAACCATAATTAATTAGAAGGCCTTTCCTCCTAAAATACATCTTTTTTTGGTTTATCTAGGCAAAGAATTTAAGGTTTTTTAGTCTTTCATATCTACAATAATCTGTGAAATGTAAAATGTTAAAGTCACAAATGGTTGGGGGGAAATAAAGAACACTGTTGCATTAAACAACAGGAAGTGGTAAACTGGTAATTTATTCTAGGGGGTGGGGATGACCTTACATTCCAGGGGAGCTTAGTCCCCAGAGCCCCTTGTCAAGATGTTAATATTGCTAAATCATAAGAAGTCTTCACTTCAAAGAAAAATGTGATTAATAAGAAATAAGACTGAATTTAATGAACTTAAGCTAGGTCCTACTGCTCTGGTCAAAAACTTAAATCACCTTTTCAAAGTATAAATTCATCATTTATATTTGTCTTAAGCAAAATTTCATTGAACAATATAAAAGTTTACAAACTAATACTCTTTTTTCTGGATATCACACTTTATACTTTGACAGGGTTTGCCAAAAAACAGGCGCAATACAAGACTTTTAGCGTGAGTATAGTTTAGTTATTCAGAGGTGGTTTTCAGAAATGGAGTTTCTTGATCCCAGTCTAGTGTTATTCGTTTTCTAAAAATGTGGTATGATGACAGTACTGCAAGGCTTGATAGATTTTCACACATTGCTTTGAAACTAACACTGGGTTTGCAGAACTTATGCAGTTACTTTATATTTGCTTTATTTGATGGTGAGATATATCCTCTTGAGCCGATTTCAAAAGGGTGAACAGACACATCCCTAGTTGTTATATCTGTGATAAAATGTTCATACTTGTTCATCTTTTGAGAATTGGCATTTTTGATATTTGTTTCCAAGGGGACAGTAAGCTCAGAAATAAAAAGTAAAGATATATGAGGGTTTGAATTGGTGTATTTAAACCAGCAGTAAGCATAGTTCAGCAACCTCGCTAGTTCATTATATTTTGCCCAGATTGACCAAACAACAGTTTCTATTTTATTCTAATGTAAAATATTTTTAAAAATTAATTGGCTAGATTATAAAGTATTTTCTTGACAGTTTCATAGACCTAAGTGACATCTTGTTAATAAAGCAATAGAGTCTCAGATCTCTCCTGGGAGGATATAATCCATAAAATTATCAAATATCATAGTATTTACAAATAAACACAGGTAGAGCAATGAGAAACAAAAGTTAACTATTTCAGTCCTACAGATCAAGTAATTTTCTTTAAATACTTGAAATAAATAATTATTCACTTCCAGGTGGATCCAGAACCAAGTGAATCTATAAAAGGGGAGTTTGAGTATGGAGCAGTATCAGTTGATTCAATTCCTTGTGCTAAAATTGGAAAGTAAGCAATTAATAGTATTTAATAAGGCCCCGTAACATTTGATTCTCAAAACTCACTTGTCTAAATTTAGGTTTCATTTGCTGTTTAGATTGAATGTATTTTTAAGCAAAATCATACAGCTTCATAGTAATCTTTTCTTTTCTCCAGAAGTTAATTAAACCCATATTTTCTTTGTAAGTTACAATTTTCTTTGTTAGTTATATCAATAATTCTATGCCACGCCAGTTTAATAAACCATGCATTTCAAGGGATGTGATGCTGCGCGGAGGAAACTCTATTGACTCAGCAGTGGCCACTATGTATTGTAATTCAGTAATCAACTCCCAGGGATGTTTATGAATTAATATAGACTTCTTATCGGAGCCCGTGATTTAAAAACTTTGGCTCAAGCCGTAATTCCTTAAACCATACTTTAAGACCCAATCTTTGACCCAACTCTGACAACAGCTTGTGTCATGTGATTGACAGCTGCAAGATCTTTGGCTTGACTTAAGGAGTTAGGTCCAATGAAAATAAAACCGACCTTTGTAGGTTTTAGTGGAGAATAAGGGTCAATGTTGAGTATTGTTCTCATAAAAACCTGAAATGTGTCAATTCCTACCGTGAAGATCCCCCAAATAGTATATTAAAACGGTTTTTGAACTCAACTCTGTGGAAAATAAGATGCAGCTTGAATCAGAAAGCTCAAACAGTAAATAAGGCCCAACGACAGCTTAGACCTGAGCCTTATTTTCCTGATTTTATTTTATTGCGAGCTCTGGACAGAGTATGGGATTAGGAGGTGGATTTATTATGACAATCTATCCAAGTTATTACATTTATAAATACATTTACCTGGACAGGGTATGGGATTAGGAGGTGGATTTATTATGACGATCTATCCAAGTTATTACATTTATAAATACATTTACCTGGACAGAGTATGGGATTAGGAGGTGGATTTATTATGACAATCTATCTTGCTAATGGAACTAGGTAATAGTCTAAGGTTGCAAGTTCTCACACAAAAATCAATGAGAATTTTGCCAATTACTTTTAAAATACTGTAGATAGACATAGGTCTTTAAAAAAATGTATATAATTAAGTGAGATAAAAAATGGTCACAGAGTTGCAACTAGGGATGAGCAATTGCTAGATTTGTTTTGAAGAAACTTTTAACGTGTTTACACTTTAAAAGGTTTCATGACAATTTTAAACATTTATTCTGTGGAAGTTTGTTGTTATCATGCAAATTTGTTACTCTTGGAGAAAATAAAAGGCAACATTTTGGGGATTTTTGTTCTTAATGTCTTATATTTTCAACTAGGATAAAAAATTTGCATGTTTGATAAAATTGTTGAAAAGTCTTTTAGAAATCCAAAAATATTAAAAGTTTCTGTAAATGAATCTAGCTATTGTCCATTGCTAGCTGCCACATCCTAAAGTCAACCGAGTCCTAAAAATAACCTTGTTTTGAAGAAAATTTAAAAATTCAAGCACAGCAAATGTGTAATTTTTACATACTCTCATCTACATCTCTGCTTTAATTAGTATTATTTATTAAAAACAGTGTCTACAACAAATGTTTCTTAATTAATAAGTAATAATTAAATCTGTCAAAATTTTCATCAAATTTTCATCAATTACCTATTTGATGATTTATAATATTTTTAGTTTAGCTTTGATAGCAAGAGAAACTGCCCCTGCTGCTGCAACTAAGGTAAAAAAAAAAGAATTTACAGGAAATTATCTTTTTCAAAATGGCTTTTCATGTTAGAAATGAATTTCCTGTCTAAGGAACTGAAAACATGCCATGAACTGTAATTTTCTAATCCTAACAACTTTACAACCTGGGTTGTAGTCATGTATCTTTTATATTTTAAACTGTGACTATTACTGGATTAGATAGCGAAAGTTTGGAATATTTAAGAGTTACACATTATCATCTTCAATGGTAAGTTGTCAATTCCATTATACCAGTTACCAGGTGGTGTTTGATGAATAATAAGATAAACCGCTTTTTAGCTTTGGGGAAACTAAAAAAACATGTCTTTTTACCTTTATCTCATTTTCTTACATATTACAGGAGAAAAACATGTATGAGGAGGTGAGGGGGGAATAGATTTATAAGAAAATATTTACCCTAGAACTAATATATTGACAAATTTATTTACTAGGACATGTTTGAGGGAAATGCTAATCTCAGTCATTATGGTAATTTTTCTTTTGCATTTTAGACCAAGCTAACTTTTGTCAAAGCTTTTCATTGTTTTTAAAACTATGTTTGGTGAAAAGAACGTTTCTTCTGTCAAAAACCTGTCAAAAACTCTTTTCTATTTAGACTTTTTAAATTTTTAATGTCTAGACATCTAATAAAATTTGTTCCAATCAGTAGAAATAAAAAAACCACCATCACTTGTTGAACTTTGCAAAATAGTGGGTTTTTTAAACCTCTTAGACCTCGGAAATTGTAAACATTTACATGAATTCACACTTTGAACTTGCCTTTGATATATAATCCACTTTATTTATTTATCATTTTACAACATGTGTATTAAGGACCTTTGGCAAGTGGAGTGCCAGGATTTATTCTTGGAACTTGGGAGTTGAAGCAACGTCTTGGCAATCCATCAATCACATGGGAAAGTTTACTACAGCCCTCTGTAGATCTATGCTTTAATGGTATAGAAGTCAACTTCCATGCTTACCAGTAAGTTTTAATTATCCTTAGGCCTAACTTTCTCCTGAAATTCCTTTATTTAGACCCAAATGGTCCAATTTTAAAATTTGGATCTATAGTCTAGACTAGGGTTTCCATTTTTCCGGAAAAAAATTTCCATTTTGGAAATGGAATGATCCGGAAATTTGTTGCGTAAACCGGAATTCCGGGATAATTCCGGTAAAAATTTTCCGTTTTACAGAATGGAAACTGTAAAAATTTTCAGTTTCCATTTCGTAAACTGGGAAAATTTCCGGTTTCCATTTTACGGAATGGAAACCGTAAAATTTCCAGTTTCCATTTCGTAAACCGGAAAAATTTCCGGTTTCCATTCCGTAAAATTTCCAGTTTCCATTTCGTAAACCGGAAAAATTTCCATTTCGTAAACCGGAACTTAAAGAATTTTTCTTATTTTAATTAAATTCATATTTACAAAGTTTGAAAATTTGAAGAAAAAAATTGAGGAGCAATTAGCTACTGCCCTGCTAGTGGTAGAGTCCCCCCCCTCGGTTTATCAGTTACATTTCACACTATAGTAACTTTGAATATTGATTATTGAGTATAACTTTTTCTACCGTCCGGCATCCATCCATATATTGTTAGTGTTACTAACTGGTGTTGTATTTACATATGTAAGACTTTAATGTAATTCTGGTACAAAATGTTCCGGAAACCAGAAATTTCCGGAACGATTTTCGGGAAAATTTCTGTAACGATCCGTAATTCCGGAACAACGTTCCGGAAATTTCCGTTTTACGGAAAAAAAATCGTTCCGGAAATTGTTCCTGAATTCCGGTTTTCCGGAACCTTTTCTATAATGGAAATGTAAAAAATTTCCAGATCATTTCTGTATGTAAACCGTAACCTGGAATTTTGGTGGAAACCCTAGTCTAGACCTTACGTAATCTTTCTTGACAGCTTTAGGAAAGGTTCCAAAATGCCATTATGGATCCAAATTTATCCGGAAGTCATTGTAAACTCTAGAACATATTGATTGGAACAATTGAAAATGTTCTGTTAGCTGGATAATCTGTTTTTTGATTTGTAATATTTTAGTTCCAAAACTTATGAAATAATATAATAATGGTATTATCAGAGATGGAATTCTTTTAATTATAACTAGTTTTTTTTAATACTTTCAAGGGTTTTTGACTTTGTATTGCAGGGTTTCCAGCTAAATTCCTAAGCCTTAAAATTTGTAAAAATGTTGATACTCTTCTGACTAAATTGCTTGCTGCATTTGCTACCCTATTATTTCAATTTCATAAACTGAGTTTAGTGTTATTTATTATTTAGATGGTCCATTTGGTCCACTTAATTTAAATACTTATTAACAAACAAATATATATAGAAGTACCCATGAGCCCAGCTCTACTCCTCAGGGAATAGATTTCTTTAAAAGCTTTTCAGTTACTCTTTATATCAAAGACTCAAAACCATTGGGAACTTACAGGAAGGAGCCATCACAGCACATGTATCTTCTAATCTATCTATAAATATCTTTTGATAAATTACAAATATTTTTAGTGCTATTATTATTTTGAATTTGTAATCTTATAAATTGGATACGGTTGATACAGAAAAATTTTGTGCAAATATTTTTTTTAATTAATTGATAGTGAAGAAGAATTCATTTAAAGACAAATGAAAAAGAACATCTTAATAAAGTTTGTATATTATATTTTTATTAATATTAACGGAAAGTTTTTTCAATTCTATAATTTTACATGTTTTGAAATAGAAAATGGGTCGACTGTACACATATGATCCTCCATTTGAAGGTTGGAATTTCTTGATTAAAATGGTACTTTTAACAATCTATTTAACAATGAGGAAGATGTTGGCATTCTAAAAAATTTCCCTTCATTCCCAGTGGAGTATAAATCTGCTAGTCACTTTTAACAAGAAACCACAATTTAAATTATTTAAAATAAGGATATCTTGATCAGATAAAAGGTACGGTTGTAAATTGGACAACCCACTGTTAGGGTTTCCATTTGCAAAACTTTTGCGCAATTTTTGCGGAACGAAACGCAAAATTTGTCTTTCTTTGCACATGAGTTTGTCGCGAAAAAACAACAATTTGCGCTATCATTCGCAAAAGTCATTTTGTGCAAAATTGCCCTATTCTGTTTTTGCGAAACTCAAGTTTTGCGCAATTCTTCAACTAGAGTTTTGCGCAATTCTCAAATTTTGTAAAAATCAAACGGTTGGTGACGGTGTGTGTTTCTTAGAATTCAATTCTTCCAGTGTTGGAAGGTTTTGTACCAAAATCCGAAACAGATTGTCCAGTAAAAGTCTCGACAGTTTTAGTTGTGGACATGCATTGCATATTTCCTAAAAGTGGATTCTTCAGGCATTGGTTACTTTCTTGCATTATTTTATATGAGATTAAAAAGATTTCAGAAATTGATTAAAAAAATTTAAGAATATAATTCATACTTGATTAGGCGAAGCTTTTAATGAAATTATTTAATAGGATTAAAATATTGCCAAGTTTCACACTCTCTAATTTCTATTTTATTAATTTTGGTCCCTTAATTTAAACTTTTTATAACTGGAAGTAACCAATTGAGTGTAGTATAATCGTTATCATACTCGTATGTTAATATTTTTCATGTTTGGAATAAATCTTCAGTTGTTTAATTCTAAGCTTAGAATATCAATTTTTGACAATTTGCCTAAAAAGTTACATTTTGCGCAAATTGCACAAGAAAATTGCGCAAAACTAAAATTTCGTTTCATGCCCAACTTTCGCAAAAAACATTTCCGGTTTTGCGCAAATTTTGCAAAAAAAAATAGCGCAAAACTCATTGCGTTTCATGCGCAAAAATAGCGCAAATTTTGCGCAAAAGATTTAGCCATTATTTGGAAACCCTACCCACTGCGTAAATGGAGAGACTATTATTATTAAGTGTACAGTCCCTTTAATATGTTAAAACGTTAAAAAAAAATTCAAACAATTTTATTCACAGAATTATCATTCCTGGAACATTTGTATGATTCAAGAAAATAATAGTCAGCAACTCCTTTTCAGAATAACAAAGCCTTTCACATTCATTTTAGTCAGCAAATGCCACTCTAGCTTTCCTTTTCACAGTGCCCCCCCCCCCCTTCACTTTTGTAGATGTAGATTTAATGTAGAATTAAGAAATTATTCAAATAAATTTTTAAGGGGTACAGATTCTAAAATTTGTATCTCTAGCAGCCTTCATTGCTCTGATTAAAAATCCCTTTGAACTTAAATTATACTGGTCATTAAACAGCATCAAAAGAATTTAATTCTAAACCTAAAGCTAAGTAAAGAGCTAAGAAAAATGAGTTTTAAAGGAAAGTTTACCCCTGAATATTAAGTCTTCTCCCAAATAGAGGCCCTTCTTTTTATGATTTAAAAATGCTGAGGTTCTAGGGAGAGAGAAACTGTAGAATGAAATATTCTGTAAGAACAAGGTTCTTATTTAATTTCTGAAGAAAAGTGAAATGATAAAATTAACTTAGATTTAAAATGGGTGATAAAGACAAAGCAGGAATTAAAATTGAAACATTTAGACAACAAATTCTAGACATTTTTTTATTTTTGCTTCTTCATTAACATATTCTGAACATGGCATTTTTGTGTAAACTGTACTAGGTATATAAATATAGGTAAATATCTAGGTGTAATCCCTTTTTTATTTTATTAATTAGCTAAAACAGAGTCCATTGACAAGAGAGTATATTAATATAGAGTGGAATTAAGTAGGAAAAAGTGTAAAACCGCCATTTTGTTTTACTGTTTCCATACTGCAGGTGTATTTTATACATTTGTTGTATATAACATTTTGGGCCCTGGACCATCTATTTTTTTGCTGTGATCTCTTGACAAACCTTTATTATTTTTCTTATTTAGTATGATGCATCAAGAGAGAGAGAGAATATATGCAGACCCTGGTCTCTCTGCTGTGTTTGTTAATCCTAAAACTGGAAAAATATGGAATGAGGTATGTGTATGTATACAAGGATGATGTAATATGATGTGAAAAATCTCTGTTGTACGCATGTCATTTTATCCTCTGAGCCCAAAACTTAAGACAGGGTATATTTATGAAAACCAGTTTTAAAACCCGGGTTTTACGAATGGGATTAAGCAGTTTTGTGGATATCGATATTTTTGTTATGAAATATTTGTTTCTTCCTATTCTCCATTTTTCTCGAATCTCTCAAATAAAAATCTACAAAATGTTAAGACCCCAAAAAGGAAACTCAAGGGTTTCGTTGAACGATACTCTTTTAAATTTCGGGCTCTGGAGTGATTTATCACTTTGTTTCTACTTGATAACTTCAAATGTGTACTGAAGTATCAACAATGTAAACTGCAAATTGTACTTAATGGAAGAAGTTTATCAATACAAATTATACAACGGTAGGAAGTTGACTAGACAAACGTAAAATGTGCAAGTTGTACTTGATGACTACTCCCTTCCTTAATAAAAGAAGGTAAAAGTCTGCAAAAATTTAAATATATATGAAAGTTTTTAATTTCAAAATATGTTCAATTAAAGAAATTATCTAAATTTTTTGAAAAGACCTCCAATCAAAGTTTTTAAGAATTATGATGTGCTTGACATTACAAATCTCTATTTAGAGATATTTCTACACTTATACATTTTTTTAATGAGATCTTTTTCGAGAGATGTTTTAACTTTTGAATATATTTTTGGAGAGATGTTTAAAATTATAAATCTCTTTTTATCTCTTTATTTAAATATCTTTTTATCTTTTAGTAAATATGTTTTTATAATCTCTTTTACGGGCGATGTTTTGAAGTATAAATATCTCCTTTTGGAGAGATATTTACAGTTACAAATATCTTTTTATTTTTTATAAATATCTTTAATAATATGTATATATTTTTCGGGCGATGTTAACGCCAAATACATATCTTTTTAAGTATAAATATCTCCTTTTGGAGAGATATTTACAGTTACAAATATCTTTTTATTTTTTATAAATATCTTTAATAATATATATTTTAGGGAGATGTTTACACGTATAAATCTCTTGGTGAAACTATTCAATCTATTGCAAAGTAAGTATAACAGATATAAATTTTTTTAAATTGTATATTATTAATTTTATATTATTTCTACATTTTAAAAGTTTTAGATTCATAAAAGAAAATTAAAAATATTGCTTATTTGAATTGGATTGTGAGTATAACTTTAAAATTTTGTTAAAATTAATAATTTGCCCTAGTGTCCTGAAAACAACAACCCTGGAAATTAAATAGTTTTTCCGTCTACTAAAGAAAAAATATTTGATTTTCCCACCATAAAGGACATTGCTGTCATTAGTTACAAATTAATGTGAATCATTAATGAAAATATTTATTTGAAAAAACTTAAACAATCCTCTTTTTCAGTTGCATTGCATGCACTAGTAAAATAAGTCCAAAGATCATATAAATGTTGAAGGATTCATCTATTGCTTTCTATTAAATTATTACATAGACTTATTCTTAATTCACTAAAGACAATTTTATTGATACTTTTTTCCAAAATGAAATGAAAAATTATATAAAATGATATTTAGCTAGTTGTTGGGAATCAATACATTAACAATTTTCATTTTTGTTTCTTCATTCAGGGAGGGGCCTGGTGTTTTTTATAATGGACATATTGGAGAGAATATGGTAAAAGATGTTCAAGCCGCCGGGGGTATTCTTACAGTTAAAGACCTTCAATCTTACAGGTAGCAGTAGCAGTAGCTGTAGCAGTAGCAGTAGCAGTAGCAGTAGCAGTAACAGTAGCTGTAGCTGTAGCAGTAGCAGTAGCTGTAGCAGTAGCAGTAGCAGTAGCAGTAGCAGTACCAGCAGCAGTAAAAATAGCAGTGGCGGACCTGGCAGCATCACTGGTAGCGGTAGCCATAGTTTTGGCCGTAGCAGTAGCCATAACCATAGCCATAGTCGTAGTCGTAGTCGTAGCCATAGCCATAACCATAGTCAAAACCATAGTCAAAGCCGTATTCATAGCCATAGCCATAGCTGTAGCCAAAATGATAGTAGCAATGTTTACAGTATTGGGAGTGGTAACAGTAGCAGTTATGGGAGTGGTAACAGTAGCAGTTATGGGAGTGGTAACAGTAGATTCTAGAGTACAGTCTTGGTTTCGGGTACAGGCATCATAGAATGCTTATCTTTAATGGGCTGATATATTCTAGAGTACAGTCTTGGTTTCGGGTACAGACATCATAGAATATTTATCTTAAATTGTCTGATATATTCTAGAGTACAGTCTTGGTTTTGGGTACAGACATCATAGAATGCTTATCTTTAATAGGCAGATATATTCTAGAGTACAATGGGAGGAGACTGTGAGTTATAAGCTGAAGAACAGCGGATTCACCTTGATCTCCTCTCCACCCCCGGGCAGCGGGGTGATCACCAACTCCATCCTGGCTATCATGGACCTTTACAAACCTTCTCCAATGGATAAACATAGGCCTCTACTCTGGCATAGGTAAACAGAAATATTGCTATAGCACTGTAAGCTTGGGTTTATATTAAGTACCAGACAGAATTTTCACGAGTTCGAGCAAGCTGTACAGTACAATTACAGACTATATAAGACAACCCGGGACAGTACTTCAAATGAATGATCCTTGGGAAATCTATGTGATGGGAGTGCATGCACTTTTTAAAATGACTATCTTTTGTCTTCACTCTAAGAAATTTCAAATTTTTACCTAAAAAAAACTGTTGGAGCACCGGCATCAAATTCGCCATAGCAGAATCATTCGTCAAATTTTGTTGAATGATTCTGCTAATGTGAATTTGTTGCCAGTGTTCCAACAAATTTTGTTGGATGAAGATTTTAAATTTCTAAGAGTGTAGTTATTAGAGATGGGTATCATTTTTGTGTAGGACCAAACGGTGCAGATATTTCCTGAACAAATGATTTTTCAAAATAACTTTTGAAAAAAGCGAGCATTTTGTTACTAAACGAACAATTTTGTGAACAAACTTTAAAAAAAAAAAATATCGTTTTTTTTACAAAGGGAACAACTTTACTAAACGAATGATCGGACTGAATGAACAATTTAATATAACGATTTGAATTTATTAAAAAAATTTTGTTCAGGAACAACAAACGAACAATTTGAAAAATAAATACGGACGTGTCCATCTTTAACAGTCAGAACCATTTTATTTTTTATTTATCTTTAAATGTTGTAAAAATCATTTGTCATCTGTTCGATTTAATCTGGATGATGTCAGTATTGTACAAATGATAAATTTGAGAACTTTTTACAATGGATTTATTTTAGAACTGTATGATTTTTAATGAATTAACCATTTTTATCAAGGTTTATTGAGGCTTGCAAATTTTCTTTTGCAAAGAGAACCGAGATGGGAGACTGGACTTATGCACCAATTAGGTGAAGATGAAATTCAATGTTTTTATTAACAGTTTGCATTATGTCACTGATTTACCTGCCTTGTTTATGTATTTAATCTTAGATTCTTTAATGGATTCATGTAATATAAAACCCTTTTTCAGACATTTGGGGGCCGCCGCTCATTGAGGTTGATTTTAAAGAGAAACAATATTCTAAGAAATTTAAAATTTTCAACTAACAAAATTTGATGGAACACCGGCATCAAATTCAACTTAGCACTTGCAGAATAATTTAACAACATTTCACGAATATTTAAGGTCAATTTGATGCTGGTGCTTCAACAAATTTTGTTAGATAAAAATTTGAAATTTCTTAAAGTGAAATTATATGATCTTTTAAAGATCAGCATTTCTTTCTCTAGGGATGAAGTGAAGCAGATTGTGAAGGATCTGTCAAGTCATCATCATACAATGAAAATAAAGTAAATAACTTTTTATTCTTTTTTCTTTGTACTTTTGGACCATTAACTGTAGTTCGGTAAATTTTGGTGTTTTTTTTTATTTTCGCCGGAACCTTTTGGTTTTTCCTTTTGGCCGGCACCTGACAGTTTTTAGTTGATACTTTTTGGTAATTTTTATACAGAACCCATTAACACATTTTCTGATTTTTATACAGAACCTATTAACACATTTTCTGATTTTTATACAGAACCTATTAACACATTTTCTGATTTTTATACAGAACAATCTCTTGGAAAAAACAGAATTTCAGGTTTTCTTAATTGAATGATTATCTTGCTTTATTTACAAAGATAAATAACAAAAGAAATAGAAATTGCGCCTTGTTATGGAAAAATATTACATTGGCAAAGCACGTTGGCACATCAACAATGGCACATAGTTGACAATGGAACGTTGACAATGGAACGCTGACAATGCAACGTTGACAATGGATTGTTGGCAATGCAACGTTGATAATGGAACGTTGACAATGGAACGTTTACAATAAAACATTGACAATGGAACGTTAACAATGGAACATTGACAATGGAACGTTCGCAATGGAACGTCGACAATGGAACATTGACAATGGAACAGTCCATTGANCGTTGACAATGGAACGTTGACAATGGAACGTTGACAATGGAACGTTGACAATGGAACGTTGACAATGGAACGTTGACAATAGAACGTCGACAATGGAACGTTGACAATGGAACATTGATAATAGAACGTTGACAATGGAACGTTATTTTAATCTGCACGGACTGTATGCATTATTTCAAGTGATTCTCAATTTATAAATTAACAATGGTATCCTGAAAAGCTATTTCTGATTAAGATACATACTACAAATTTTCTTAAAATTTGATACTTTTCGATCATGGTTTTCCAATAAGTAATTTGAAAATTTTAGCATTCAGAAACATGGAAGGAAACTGTTAGAATGAAAAAAATTTCAAGCTGGATAAACAATACTTATTATTATTGATCAGATCAAGCCTAGATTTATAACAAAACAGATAGAACACTAGATGTCGTTTTTTCCAGATTTACGGGTTTTCGTTCACAATAACCCTGAGACAGAAGCCCAAATGAGTAACGCTTGTGCCACTGTGGGTTTTATGTGAAAGAAAAATCCATAAATCTTGAAAATATGACATCGAGTGTTCTTTCTGTATTGTTATTAATTGATCTACGAGATCAAGGTTTAAAGGTATTGTTATAAATCTTTATTTGTTACTTAAAATTTGTCTTGAAAGTTTTGCATGCTGTGGGGGGAGCAGGGGGGTTTAATTGGACCAGAAGGAAAAAAAAAATAGAAAAACCATGTTTTTTAAACATTTTGTTTAGAGAGAAGATCAATGATTTCCAGACCAGCCAGGACCCAGAGTTTTATGGAGCTAAGGTGAAAATTAACATTTTAAGTTACAGAAATCCAATCAAGTGATTTTGTTCTTCAGAATATATTGAAATTAGTTAAAATCAATGTATTAGATTAGTGTTAATTATTTTTTACAACATTTGTTTAAGAATTAGTATTTGAAAAAGTGTTCAAAGAATAAACGTTGATCACAAAGACTGTTTAGAAAACATTAGACAAAAAAGTCACATGAAATCGTTGGTTGGAACTCATTGAATAAAAAAGTTGTTAAAACTATATATTGCCCAACATTTAAAGAAAAACGTTGTTCTAGACAACCTTCGAAGAAGATCATGGAACTTGTCATCATTGTTTCCTTTCACCTCAGGGAGATGCCATCTCAGGTATCTCAACATAAACGAACATTAATTTGCGACGAAATTAAAGGGAGTGTTCACCAAAAAACAAAGGGGATATAGAACAAACCAAAGATTGATAAAACAATGAAATTTTTTTAACCAGATATTTGAGATCAAAATCACTTTAGATTTTTTTTGAATAGCTTTAAGGGGTCGCAGGGATACCTCTTGTTCTTTGAACCTTCATTTTTTTAAAAGGTAGCTCAACATATACGTATCAATATGCGACGGAATTAAAGAGCGTGTTCACCAAAAGGGGTTTTAGGATAAATCAAGGAGTTCAAAAATAGAGAGAAAAAAATTTGTAAAAAAAAAGCTATCTAAGATCAAAGTCTCTTTGTTTTTTCAAGACCAAATAATGTGAAAAGGCCCTTTAAATCGTTTAAATTCTAGAAAGGGACCTTAGGGATACTTTTAGATCTCTGAAGCTTCATTTTGGTAAACAAAACATAATAAAAACAAAATACATCGGAAACCATTAAAAAACCTAAATAAAATGTTTTTATGCACACCCTTCATAGTTATCTATATAATAAAGGTATTTGCACATACTTTTATGTTTATATGTATAGCTTTAGCTGGCCAAACCGTTGGATCTAATTGGCTGACAATTTTTTAGTTAAGCCATGGGTACCCTGGGGATGACAAGAGCTTGAAAAATGTAGTTTTTTTTAAATTCGATTTTTAAAAGTCCACGGGCAACGCCAAGCACTTTAGCTAGTAGTAGTATTTTATATTTGTAGTGACTGCTTCTGTGAACCTGATCTGGGGCTGCAAGTTTATGTCCCCAAGCACTGGTATTATCATGAACAATCAGGAACAATTTCAATCTTTAATTTAAACATTTTTATCCGGAGATGGGATTTAATGAATACCAAGAAGTAGTGAGCAAAAGATTAACTAATTCTCTGGTGTTCATCAAATCTGAACTCTGGCCATTTTTTAAAAAAAAAATTTTATTTTTATTTTTTTGATTTTGTACAATATTTAAACAAATCCACACATGATATTTTAAGATTATTTGATAAATTGAAAAAATTTGTTTAAACTTAAAAACTTAAGTTTCAGCTTTTAAATAATAGATTTGTTTTAAATGTTACAAAGTTTGAATTTAAAAAATTTAGATGGATGACTTTGCTTCACCCAACATTACCAGGTTAGACATTAATTTTTTTTGCTTCAATTTGCAGAAATATTTTTGGCAAGAGTAGTTCCAAGTATTTTTACTCAGCTAAATATTTTCCCAAAATGAAAGAGACTTTTTTGATGAGCCTGAAAATTTCACGAAAAACGATAAAATTTGGTATTATGCATCGCAAATCTGGAAACCAAAAGAAAGTATCTGAAAACTAATCGTCTCTATGATCTCATCATATGGAACCATGAACTTTTAACATTTTTAATAACATAAAAATTGATTTTATCTCAAATGCATCTTCATGTAATCAACATTCATGATTCATTGAGGGGAAAAAATGGATTCTCGTATTGGACAACTATATTGGAAAAATGTCCAAGTTGGGTCAAAAATTTGAGAAAAAAATTAATTATTTCCCCCAAAAAATCTTGAATCCAAGAAAGTATCGTAGGATGTAAATGCGGGGAGGCGAGAAAGAAGAATGAAATTTTGAATGACTTTTTAGTTTTGGTTTTTAACTTTTATTTGCTGTTTAGTGCCTATAACGTCTCGCCTGCCCTGAACAACTTTATATACCCGGGTATTTATTGTTTAGTGCCTATAATGTCCCGCCTGCCCCGAACAACTTTATCTACCCGGGTAAACGACCGATGAGCAGTATGTCCACCACCATCGTAGTTGACGACCAGGAAACAATAAAATGACATCAAAAATATCAAAAACATTTCTAAAATTATTTTTTTAAAAATCCACTTCTCTGTTTTTTCTCTGGCCAAGCCTAAACTTCATTTTAAGTATTTCTAAATTAAAAAAGGCAGTTTATATTCCTTTGGTGGGGGGGGGGGGGTTTCTTTGTAAGGAAATTCAGCAAATGTTTACATAGAGCCAACAGTACACGATATACTGAATGAAGTGCGCTGCTTAACTATATACAGGAAGTTTGGTTTTGTCATTGGGTTACTAAATAAGATAAGAGATAAAGTGTAAGATAATATAAGAGATAAAATTACCCTCCATTTGTAAAGTAGCTTATATCAAATTAACAATGATACTCTTTATACCTTTATCTAATCAAGGGAGACCTGGAGATTCCTTATATTTCTAACAAAAAGGGTGTCGTTAGGAATAGGCTTTTTAACAAAACTTGGAACACAAAATACAATTTCAAGTGGAACCAACCAAATTTGGGCCACGTCTCAAACTTGAGACGCGGCTCAAATTCTTTAAATTCATCATTTTGGAGCAAGTTTAACTCATTCTGCCCATTCAAAAATTCCTGTCTCTTGATTCTGAACAACTTGTTGATTGTTGTTTAAACCAGGGACGAGTTGTTGCTGTTGCTGGAGCTAGCGGTGGAACTAAGATTATATCTGCAACAGCACAGGTAGTTGTACAGTACTGTATAGATACACGAGTATAGTAGTAGAGTACTATACATAGGGTTGTTGTACAGTACTGTGAAGATACAAGGGGTAGTTTTACAGTTATGTACTGGAACAAGGGATAGTTTTAAAGTACTCAATTTTGTGCAGATACAAGATCAATAGTTTTAGACTATTTTACAGATACAAGGCGTTGTTTACAGTAAAGTATAGATAAAAGGTTAGTTCACTACAGTACAGATACAAAAGGTAGTTTTACAGTACTGTACAGGTACACGGGGTTGTTCAGTACAGTACAGACACCAGGGGTAGTTTTACAGTACTGTGCAGTTACAATGGGTATTTGCACAGTATTGTATAGGTACAAGGGGTAGTTGTACAGTGCTGTGCAGATACAAGAAGTAGTTGTACATTACTGTACAGATACAAGGGGTAGTTGTACAGTACTGTACGGGTAAAAGGCTATGTTTTTGAGTACTTTAAAGATACAGGGGGCAGTTTTCAGTAAAGTACTGCTACAAGGGGTAGTTGTAGAGTACTGTACAGATACAGGGGGTAGTTGCACAGTAATGTACAGATACGAAGCCCAGTTGTGCAGTACTTTACAGATACAAGGGGTAGTTGTACAGTAATTTTCAGATGCAAGGAGTAGTTGTACAGTAATTTACAGATGCAAGGGGTAGTAGTACTGCACTGTACAGATACAAGGGGTAGTTGTACAGTTCTGTACAGATACAAGGGGTAGTTGTAGATTACTCTACATGTATAACTGAACAGTACTGTATAGTACTGTACAATTGTAAAGTCATGTTTAGATACAATAGTTTTCAGTAAAGTATTGCTACAAGGGGTAAAAGTAGAGCACTGCACAGATACAGTGAGTAGTTTTATAGGAATCTATGTAAGAAAGTCCCGGGAAAAAAAGTTTCTGGAAAAAAAACCTGGAAATAAAAACTTTGGAAAAAAGTCCGAATTTTCTCAAGTCCTTGGAAAAAATGTCACTGGAAATAAAGTCCTGTGTTTTGGATTCCTGTGACTTTTTTTCCTAAAATAGTATGGGGGCTGCCAATAAAGTCTCAGGAAATAAGATCTCAGGAAAAAAGTCCGGAAGAAAATAAATCCGAGGAAAAGAAAACCTAAAAAAACAGGACTTTTTTCCATTGTGAATCATGCATTTTCACTTGTTAGAGGACTTTTTTGTATAAAATCATACTGGAGCCACAAAAAAGTCCTAGAAAATAAAGTCTCGAATTGGTAGGACTTTATTTCCGGGTACTTTGTTTTAGATAAAAGGACTTTTTTTCCACAGGACTTTTTTAGTGTGAAATTTTAGGACTTTTTTTCCGGAAACTTTTTTTCTAAGGACTTTTTTGGCGGTTACCGTTTTATAGTAGTTATAGATTTAAGGGCCCGTTGTACAGTACTTTACAGATACAAGGGTTAGTTTATAAGTACTTTACAGGTACACAGGGTAGTTGTACAGAACTGTACATATACAAGAAGTATTTGTATAGTACTGTGCAGATTCAAGGCGTTGCTGTAGAATACTGTACAGAAACAGGGGGTCGTTGTACAGTATAATACATGTACGGGGAGTAGTTGTACATTACTGTACAGATACAAGAGGTAGTTGTACAGTACTGTAAAGTTACAAGGGGTAGTTTCACAGTACTGTACAGGCACACGGGGTAGTGGTACAGTATTGTACAGATACAAGGGGTAGTTATACAGTAAAGATACAAAGGTTAGATTTACAGTACGGTACTGTGCAGATAAAAGGGGTAGTTACACATTAGTTGTAGTTATACAGTACTGTGCATAAGAAGAAAGTATCTGTACAACAGGTACAGGGAATCCATTACAGTAAAGCATAGGTACAGAGGACAGTTGTACAATGCACAGTACTGTACAGATACAGAAAGTGGTTGTACAACAGGGACAGGGGATAGTTGTGCACTGTAAAGTACTGTGCAGATACATAGAGTAATTTTACAACAGATATAGTGGTACAGAAAAGTATAGGTGCAGGGAATAGTTGAACAGTACTAAGCAGGTACTGAGAGTAGTGTACAAGTAGTGTTCAGATATAAGTTTTATGGTGCGCTAATTTACTGGCATAGGGGAATTAATTGTACAGCACTATAAAGATACTGTGGTTGTTAATGTACAATAATACCTGGGTATATGTACATTGAAATTTGGCGGTTTTTGTTAAACACATCGTAGAAGATTTAATAAAGCTTTACTTTTTATATTTATTTTTATTACTTATGACAAATTCATTCTGCAAAAGTTATAAGCTTCAGATTTCCTGCAGTTTGAGTAAATAGAAAAAGAAATATATTTTTTATTTTTCTAAAAATTCTTGAAAACTTACGTTTTGTTTAGTCAAAACGAATGAATAAATCATACACAATGCAAGACACCCTACATTTATAGAGCAACATGTCAGATCGTCCTAACTTCCTAGCTTTAAAAAATGTTTAATTTAAAAGTTTGTTGAATATCTATTGTAAATGTCTTATATAAAGGTTTTGATGAAAGTCTAATATAAATGTCTAATGTAAAGGTTTTGATGAAAGTCTAATATAAATGTCTAATGTAAAGGTTTTGATGAAAGTCTAATATAAATGTCTTATATAAAGGTTTTGATGAAAGTCTAATATAAATGTCTTATATAAAGGTTTTGATGAAAGTCTAATATAAATGTCTAATATAAAGGTTTTGATGAAAGTCTAATATAAATGTCTAATATAAAGGTTTTGATGAATGTCTAAAATACATGTCTAATACAAAGGTTTGATGAATGTCTAAATCTAATATAAATGGCTAATATAAAATTTGATGAATGTCTAATGTAAATGTTTAATTTTAAAGTTTTGATGAATATCTGATTTAAATGTCTAATATAAAGGTGTTGATGAATGTCTAATATAAAGGTTTTGATGAAAGTCTAGTATAAATGTCTAATGTAAAGGTTTGGATGAAAGTCTAATATAAATGTCTAATATAAAGGTTTGATGAATGTCTAATGTAAATGTTTAATTTTAAAAGTTTGATGAATGTCTAATGTAAATGTTTAATTTTAAAGGTTTGATGAATATCTATTGTAAATGTCTAATATACATGTCTAATATAAAGGTGTTGATGAATGTCTAAAATAAATGTCTAATATAAAGGTGTTGATGAATGTCTAATATAAATGTCCAATATAAAGGTGTTGATGAATGTCTAATATAAATGTCTAATATAAAGGTGTTGACGAATGTCTAATATAAATGTCTAATATAAAGGTGTTGATGAATGTCTAATATAAAGGTGTTGATGAATGTCTAATATAAAGGTGTTGATGAATGTCTAATATAAAGATGTTGATGAATGTCTAATGTAAATGTCTAATATAAATGTCTAATATAAAGGTGTTGATGAATGTCTAATGTAAAGGTGTTGATGAATGTCTAATATAAAGGTGTTGATGAATGTCTAATGTAAATGTCTAATAAAAATGTCTAATATAAAGGTGTTGATGAATGTCTAATGTAAATGTCTAATATAAATGTCTAATATAAAGGTGTTGATGAATGTTCTCTACCTGGGTAAGGATGTTAAAGAAGCTGTTGATGCACGAAGGAATTTATTTTTAACATTTTTATTGAAAATATCATAATTTAGAAAAATATTTAATATTATACATTTTAAATACATCTATGCAAAGAATATTACATATTTGAATGGCAATCTAAGAGTTTTCATTCTCATTTTTTTTTCTAAAAGTCAAATGTATGTTGAATTATAGATGTCCATGTTACACGCAAAGGATAATACTACAGAGACGACAGTACGGATTTTAATATTCCATTCAAATAATATATTCCAGGAAAAATGTAAGACACAAAAATCCTTTATATTTAAAGAGTTTTCAGTCGCATTCTTATTGAACTAACCATGCACCTTATTGGACTAACCATGTACCTTATTGGACTAACCATGCACCTTATTAGACTAACCATGCACCTTATTGGACTAACCATGCACCTTATTGGACTAACCATGTACCTTATTGGACTAACCATGTACCTTACTGGACTAACCATGTACATTATTCCTTTTATCAAGGAAAATAAACAAATAGTTGGAAATTAAAAATTCAAAATACCGAGCTAAAGCTAAGTCACATTTTATCAGTAAAAAATGTTAAAAATTTATTTTACAGACTTCATCATCAACTGTTCCCAATGAACCTAAATTATGAAGATGGAACCACTACGGTAAGAATTTAAGAGATTGTTTGCGAAAAATTAAAAATTAGAAAAAATAAAAATATTTCCAACCCAATTTTTGTTGGAAAGACGAACTAATCCTTTATTTAAATTTTGGTTAAAGGGAGTAACCGGCTATAAAAGGTAGTCGAACTGAGTATGCAGTGTTGTGGAAAGCTTTTTTCGGATTTATTTGAGACATATAAAACTTTATAGAGATCTGTAAATCCTGAGTTTGAGCGCAAATTCGACGTTCAAAACTCCTACTTTGGTTTGATACGTTTTCAAAAAAAATTTTTTTTTTAATTATTAAATAACGACGACAATAAATGTAAACAAAATTCTACATTAAACTGATTAGTTGTTTAGGAACAGGTTGTCTTAAATGAATCCTTGAGAATTTGTCCACAACACTGCATACTCAGTTCAACTACCTTACATAGCCGGTCTGTCCCTTTAAATAAAAGTAAATTTTTTAAAAAATTACAGATATATTTGATTTATAATTTTATAATTTTATTATAGTGGATAATTGATGCATTGAAGGGATACGGACACAATATGACGTATTCTAAATACAGGGTGGGAGGTGCAGCAGTACAGGTAAATAAAATTCTACAGGGTGGTCCACAAAACGTGATAGTTATAGGACAATTGGAAAATCGTTTTTGATCTTTGAATTTAATATCTTGAAAGTCGAACAACCATTGTCGATTCAATTTTTGTCATTATATAGCTTTACAAGATCAAAAACTATTAATAAGGCGTCTCTCAACTGATATGTTAAGTGGAACACCCTGTATATCTGGACAAAAAAAAATTTCAAATAATTAATACCTACATAATATATACAAATATACAATTTTTCTATTGAACCGCATGTTAGACCCAGAGAATCTTTCTTTTCAAACGCCAAAATTTTAAGATTAAAGATTAAGCTAAAATTAAGCCGTTTTTAGCAATTTTCTCCTTATAGACGCAACAGATAAAAGTATGATTAGTAGCAATCAAAAGAGCTTATTTTTCGCCGTAAGCCTATACCCCCTTTCAATTTCGCGAACACTCCCTTTAAGGCAACCCGAGACTGGGCTTTTTCAAACTTTTCTGTTTTAACTACTTTTTTCAGCCGTATGCTGAGACAGACAGAAAATAGTTTTAATAATGGCACTTTAAATGTAATTTCAAGTAACCCTCCATGCAAAGATGACAATGCCCGATTTACAACGATACCCTTTTAACCTTGATCTTATCAAAAATGTGGAAGATATTGTCGTTTTTCTGACTCAAAGTTTTTTTTCTTGGAGCTTTGCTTCTTAGAAGTAAGAAATGCGCAAGTCACTTTCGCAGAGAAACCTCAGTTGAAAATAAACAGTTCAAAGGGAGTGACCGGCAATGCCAATGTATGATAGTTGAACTGAGATTGCGGTATTGTAGAGTAATCTTTTAGGATTCACATGACACATAGATTCGGCTGCTTATAAAAAGTCTCATCAATTTTAAGACAGGGTCGACTTTGATTTACCGCTCTAACTCACTTATGCTTTTCTGTATGTTCATTTGAATACTAACAAGCACTTTTTGTTAGCTTTGGTTTTTAAAAAGTAATTGGCAAAATTCTCATAGATTCTTGCTTGAGAGCTTGACACCTTTAAATCACAGTGATGAGACCTATCAGAAGCGCAAATTCAATCTTTATGCATTTTGTAGGGATGATTTTGAAAATTGGTTTTCTACAAATTATTGAAAAGACGACATTAAAAAAATTCTAAGAAATCTGCGAAAAAATTTGTAAAAAGAAGAAATTCAATATAATGATAAAAAGAGAATAATTGATTCTAACATTGATTTGTTGACAAATTTCTATTGAGAAATATGTTTCTAAACATCCAATAGGTATATTTTAGAATTTTTGTTACATTTTCGTCGTTGTTATTGAATAATTTTTAAAATACCGATTCTCAAAATCATCTCTCCAGAATTTTCAGATCAGTTTAGCGGGTTTTCCTGTTTCAACGTTTGTGAGTGTTACAAGAAAATCATGGTTTAGGCGAAAAATACACTTCAATGTTTTGTAAGCAAACTGTTATACAGGCAAACTGTTATACAGGCAAACTGTTATACAGGCAAACTGGTTTACAGGCAAACTGTTGAACAGGCAAACTGTTATACAGACAAACTGTTATTCAGGCAACCTGTATACAGGCAAACTGTTATACAGGCAAACTGTTCTATAGGCAAACTGTTTGCATGGAGGGTCACTTGAAATTATGTTTACAGTCCTTTCAACTGCTTGTAACATGAAACTAAGAATATTTAAATAAAAGGAAAAAAACGTTTTTTGTCTAGCACATTCGTTCTATTTAAAAAACAACACGCGGTTTTAAAAAATCAGACATTGAAAGCCATTAAAAAACTAAATGGAATTATTTTCATTCACAGAGAAACAATATTTTTGGACGGTTATTGTTATATTTTTGTAATGAACATGTTGTCTTATTCTTTTTTAGTCAATTCTACAAAATATTTTTCGAACAGTTTTTATTTTTTATACAATTAATTTATTGTAACATTTCAAAGAGAGCAGGTCTGTTTGAGTCCAATACACGTCAAAACGGCTGAACCGATCCGGTCCAATTTTTGCGTGGGTACTCACATTTCCTGAGGAGGCATGAAAAGTGTATTGCATGTCAGAATTTACGAATGTTGCCGTATAAAAAAAAAAATTTTTTTAAAAAATTCAAAAATTTTATTTTTATGATTTGTACATATTTATCAAATAAAATAATTATGTTTGTTTTGTTTTTAGGCTATCGTAGTAGACCCTGAAACTGGGTCTATAACTGCTAATGCTGACTTTAGAAAAAGGGGGGCGGTGGACGGATTCTAATATTGTTAAATATTTGTTGCTATATTTTATATTTTTGCGGGTCAAAATTCAAAAAATCTAATAAAGTCTCGATTTGAATTTGAGTAGAAGTGATTTTGTTTTGTAAAATTGTTTAGTGTAATATATAATGTAAATAGTTTAATAAAATAAAGTATTTAAAAATACAAGCTAGCTTTATTGTTTGATCTTAAGGTTTTCAATGTGTAAGAGAAAAAGGGTTTTTAAATCTGTAAACTGTAAACATTTTCTTCTTTGAACTGCAAGGTTACTCACAAAGGATGAAACTGTAAAGACGACCTAAAACTCTAGAAATATGAAACTTGATATCTGGTTTCCAAATTGATTATTTTGATGGTTTCCTGAATTATTAAGAAAAAAGCCAGTTTTGGCCCACAAGGAAACCTAAATGCAAGAAAACGTACTAAACTAATGTCGTACAATCGTCTCTGAAATCTTATCCTGTGTGGGTAGGGATGGATCGTTTTCATTTTCATGGATCGTTAACATATTTATCGAGGACAAATTGTTTTTTTTAAAAACGATCATTTTTTCAAAAACGGTCGTTTTTTAAAACAAAGGTTCTTTTTTTAAAACAGTTACATAAAAAACGGTCGCTTATCTTTTTATAAAAACTATTGTTCTCAATAAACGATCGTTATTCGTTTTCTAAAAGTTCAACACGAGTGGGTCGTTTTTAAAAAACGATCGTTTTTTCCGAAAACGAAACGGTCGTTTTGAAAACGATTGAAAAACGAAACAAAAAACGATCGTTTTCAAAAACGGTTATCAATGAGTAACCCTGTATGTTTTATGACTGGGGTATCCTTGAATGCAAAATTGTTATTTAAAGAGAACGTATAACGAGAAACAATAATAAAGTATAAAAAGTGCCATTTGTTATTTTTCTCTGATTGCTATGGGACCTTTTTAACTTTATTTTAAACTTATTTACTAACCCGGACGAAACACGTGACAAAATTCCTCTATAAACTTGTTTGTTTACAAATTGAAACATAATTAAACTTATACTATACTATAGGGCATATTTATTAAACCTATAGGGCATATTTATTTCTCATATAATTTGTGTAACATATTTATAGCATTGATTATAAAAATAAGACTTGTGTGGAGTTTTCGTCAAAAAGATTGGTAATATTAACCACATTGATTGAACCATTGTGTTGTTGTTGGTACTATTGTGGTAATATTGAACACATTGATTAAACCATTGTAATTGTGGTACTATTATGATAATATTGATTGAACCATTGTGGTTGTGGTATTATTTGGTAATATTGACCACAAGGATTGAACCATTGTAGTTATGGTATTATATTGATAATATTGACCACATGGATTGAACCAATGTGTAGTTGTGGTACTATTATGATAATATTGATTGAACCATTGTGGTTGTGGTATTATTTGGTAATATTGACCACATGGATTGAACCAATGTGTAGTTGTGGTACTCTTATGGTAATATTGACCACATGGATTGAACCAATGTGTATTTGTGGTACTATTATGGTAATATTAACCAAATGGATTGAAAAATTGTGGAGTTTTGGTACTTTTATGGTAATATTGACCACTATATTGAACCATTGTGTAGTTGTGGTGCTAGAATGGTAATTTTAACCACATGGATTGAACAATTGTGGAGTTATGGTACTATTATGGTAAAATTGACCACATTGATTGAACCATTGTGTAGTTGGAATAATCTAAATAGTTAGCGGTCCAGAATCCTACCCCAGCCAAACCAAGATCAGTTCCAACCTAAAAAAAATGAAATTATAAAAAAAAATTTAAAATAAAAATTTGATTTGCTGTTAATATTGAATTACTGGAAGCATTTTAAATTGACAAAACATTTTTTGTCTTCTTCATTTCCTGTAAAAAAAGCTTTGAGATTACGAATGTTATATCTTACTTTGTATTTGATAAATAGACTTGAAGGATCATCAAACCATATCTGATAAATTGTAGAATTCAATGTCACCTCAAAGTATGGAGTCTAAAATAGGGCAGAATTAAAATATATCATCTTTATTTAAAGATATATGAAACAATGTATTTCACACTTTCGTTTTATCTTTTATTAACATTCGTTCATTAGGAAATTACCTTAAAATAGTTCGCAGATTTTGTTTTCTTTGTGTTAATTTTGAAAAATGTAAATGAAAGAGTATAAAGAAGAAACAACTCCTATAAAAAAAAGCTTTTAACTAAGGAAACAGGTACAAATTTATAAATTCTCTTTCAAGGGTTTACATCCTTTTTAAAGTATTTTAACAGGTACAAATTTATATATTCTATTTCAAGGTTCACATACGATACTTTTTCAAACAGTAAAGTGATTCAAGATCCTTCAAAATAAATATATAAAATCTATGTATTAAACACTTTTCATTTTTAAACTTTCAAATTGTATAAAAAGATTTTTCTTTTTTACTTGCTTTTCCAGGGTTTTTTTTAAACACTCTTTATATTGAAGTTTTAGCTTCCTGCAATGTCAAATTGAAATTCAACAAATTCTTAAGCGGAGAAATTTTGCAATTTCAGATTACATTCCTTGTACTGCACACTAATAGGAAATACAATTGATGGTCGGTCAGTCTGTAACAGCAAGGGAACAACTGACCTAATATCAAATGATACCTCATTTCAAGAGTGGCATATCCGATTCACACATGAGAAACAATTTTCTTTTTATTTCTTGAAAAGTGTCATTTTTTACCATAATTTTAACAAAAATAAATTTTGAGCTTGAGGTTAAATTTTCATTGATTCAAATTTTCTGGGAGTAAATGATACAATCATCATTCATCGATAACGTAGTAAATCTAGATAAATTATGTTATTCATTGATCATGTAATAAATACAGAGGCCCCGTAGTAAATCTAGATAAATTATGTTATACATTGATCATGTAATAAATACAGAGGCCCCGTAGTAAATGATACAATCATCATTCATTGATCATGTAATAAATAGAGGCCCCGTAGTAAATCTAGATAAATTACGTTATACATTGTCCAAATAGCGATTTTTTGCGATTAACCCAATCTAGATACCTAGATATATATATATAAATTCGTCATACACATATTGTGATTGCTTAACTACGCTATATATTACAGCACATAACTTGTAATTATGCTGTTAAAACCTGACTTTAATCTAATATATAGAAATATACTCAGCTAGTTGATATAGAGACTCCGCTTTGATTACTGCGTGAGAGTAATCATGTCCTTGCTCTAAACGAATGACTTGAAGATATTGCCCATTGGTTTGGCATAGATAGTTACAAGCTAGTGTCTAGAGGACATCGATAGCTAATGAGATCATGCCCATTGGTTTGGCATTGATAGTTACGAGCTACTGTCTATAGGAAATCGATAGCTAATGAGATCATGCTCATTGGTTTGGCATTGATAGTTACGAACTAGTATCTAGAGGACATCAATAGCTTATGAGATCGTGTCCATTGGTTTGGCATTGATTTTTACGAGCTAGTATCTAGAAGACATTATAAGCTAATGAGATTGTGCCCATTGGCTTGGCATTGATAGTTTACAAGCTAGTGTCTGGGTGACATCGATATCCTACGAAATTGTCCTCTTTGGTTTGGCATTGATAGTTTACAAGCCCGGGTTGATATCAATAGCTGACAAGATTGTGTCCAGGTTTAGACATTGATAGCTAAGTGAAACTGAGTTGTACCTGGATAGATACAGGTTCCAGAAACCGTTATGGAGTAGGGTTCTTCTTTTTATTTTACCTGTGAGACCGCATCCCATTTTCTACCGGTCAATGATAGCTTCTCAAAATTCAAAATATCCTAAAAATAATTGTTTACTCTGAAATCATAATTTTACATTTATTTCACAAGGCAAACAAACAAAATAAGATTTTTTTAATTTTTAAAACCGCGATTATCGTTTTTTCTTAAAACAGAAACAAATTTCTCCCGGGGTCAAAAAAATATCAAATTTTAATTATCAAAATGCAAAAATAGTTTTGGTATATTGAAAAAAAAAACCGAAGAAACCTTTTTTTGTATTAAAAAATATTATAAAAAAACTTCGCAGATATGTTTTCATTTTTTCAAGTCTTATTTTAATTTATTCTTTAAACAAACTTCCATAAATAAAAATCTTGAAATATCTAAAATTACTTTATAGGTCTCTGTCTGCTCTAAAATATTTATAAATAGAAAATTGGAAGTTTCTCAAAACAAAGATTAAAATGCGGAAAACAGCATCATTTTACTTTCTTCATTTTCGTGAGATGAAAAAGAGTTTTAAATAAAGAAATTTTTCACATATTTCAATTATAAAGTACGGAATTTAAAGAGAATTCCACTGTAATTTTTATTAACCTCTTTTATACACTGTGAGAAGTGTATTTTAAATTGTTTCTGTTAAATAACAATGTGACTTCAATGTTGTTTTATACAGCCAATCAGAGGTGATATGCGATAAAACCAGCCAATTAGAGGTGATAGGTGATAAAACCAGCCAATGAAACAGAATCAGTGTCAAACTCACTAGGGAGCAAGGTTATAATGCAAGGAAAGTTATTTCAGAGGTATACGCCTCTTTTGTACTGCAGTAGTATACTGTCTCAAGACGGATGTCGAAGCCTGACATGGGATCCATCTTTCACATAAAAAAATCAATGAAATATTCTGGTCATTGGGAAACTTTCATGTTAACAACTGCAATTAACTTTCCTTGCATTACAACCTCGCTAGGGATGGGGTGAAGGGATGCCATGAGCCCTGCGAATTTGTCCAGGGGGGGGGCTTTAATAATTTTTCTTTCCAGGGGGGGATGCTCAGCTCCCGTTGGGGCCTGAAATTCCACAGCAATCAAACAATTTTACTGTTCCAGGGGGGGGTTTAGCCCCCATAGCCCATCCCTGACTACGCCTCTACTGCGAAATGGTCTTCAAGCCTCTGAATTCGCAAATGAGTATTTAAAATGACCAGGCGCTACCCCTACCATTTAGAATAGATATTAAAGAAGTAAAGTATAAAAAAATAGAAAAAATATTTATTATTTTAATATATATGCAATGTTTTTGGTTATTAAAAAAACACTGCATTAAAAAGTGTTATTTATTACTCCTAATATCTTTTCTACTGTTTAGGTGTAGCTCCAGGAACCTTATAAGGAATTTCAACACCTGCTGCATCACTACAATTGCATCCTCGAAATGGAACCTAGATCAAAATTGAAAACAAAATTTCAGAATTCTATTTTCGTAGATTTTTAGGCATCACCTTTTTGATAAAGCAGATTCCAGCGTTAAAAGACTCACAAGGATATCTGTACCCATACCAGGGGACCCCAAGAATCATCTTAAACATTTTATATTTAGGGCTGGACATATCAGAGACTTTTTAAATCTGTTTCTTATAGGTGAAATCAATGTATGTAATCAACGTAACAGACACCGTTCGGTTTAACCCTATTATACGGCTTGGGGGATCGGGTGTTTCCCCCAATGTTGTGTTTTCTAAATAACTTAAAAACGGCTTATATTAGAACGCTTGAACTTCTTCACTTGTCATAGTTGTGAAAAATTTTTGCCAACAATTTTTTTTTTATTCGTAGAGTAGGGTGGAGTGCAGTCAAATGGCGAGTTGGTGTTTTTAAAAAAATGAATGTAAAAATCTGAAAATTATAAGATAAAACAAAATTAATTATCTCAAATAATATTTCAAACCAAAAACTTCATATTTACAAAATTGTCTTTCTCAATTTCCGAAACGTGTGTGCCAAAATGGCTGGTTTCAAAACAATACTATGTAAAGTGCTATCTATTGTACTTGATAATTAGGTACATGTTTACTTATGCCTAGAACTGTACCTTTTTTACTGGAATACCAAGCTGTACATATTTGCGAATTCCACTAAAAAATAAAATCTAATTTTTAAGAAAAATGTAAAACATTTGTTGAGGAATATTTAAGGAACTAGGTAAATATAATATCATCAAAAATTCTTTGAAGTAATAATTTGCAACTCTGGTATTTTATTCATTGCCATTTTCCTTCAAGGGATTGTAGCACAATTTTAGGGCGCTACCCTACAAATCTTTGTATGATCAATGATGTTATAGATATTCTTGTTTTCTATCTTAAACATAGTACTGAAATATTCTTGTTTTTCTATCTTAAACATAGTATTGAGATATTCTTGTTTTCTATCTTAAACATAGTACTGAGATATTCTTGTTTTTCTATCTTAAACATAGTGCTGAGATATTCTTGTTTTTCTATTTTAAACATAGTACTGAGATATTCTTGTTTTTCTATCTTAAACATAGTACTGAGATATTCTTGTTTTCTATCTTAAACATAGAACTGAGATATTCTTGTTTTTCTATCTTAAACATAGTACTGAGATATTTTTGTTTTTCTATCTTAAACATAGTACTGAGATATTTTTGTTTTTCTATCTTAAACATAGTACTGAGATATTCTTGTTTTTCTATCTAAAAAAAAGTTCTGAGAAGATTTTCTCTGTATTTACACGAAAATGAATAATTTCTTTCCCCATCATTGAATTGTAATGAATAGATAATGCTGAAATATGAAAACTTTGTATTGAAGTCAAATGAGCATATTCCTCGTTGACGGTAGATTAGTAGAAATTGAATTTTATTAGCGGTTTAATTTTTTAATCTTAAGGTTGCTGTAAGTGTACATTTTTGCAAAAAAATCGCTCAAGTTTAAACTTTTCTTATCTCACCAATTTAATAAAACAAAATTTTTTAAATCTAAATATTGAAAAGATTTTTATTTAAAAGATTTGCTTGTTTACCCTTTATTTTAAATAAAATGACACTCACCAGACACTCCGTCAGAAATTCGATAATTTTCTTAATGCGAAATGGAACGAACGAAAATTTCGCGAAAATGAGGTCGAAAATTTTGCTGAAAGTACATTGAAATTCGCGAACATTTTGAGCAAAATTCTTTTAGTTTCGTTCTTTCATTTTGCGAATTTCGTTCAACGAAAATTTTGTTAGAAACCCTAAAACAAAGACAATGCCTGTAAGCGTTTTTACGTTTAAAATGCGCAAGCACTCTATGTTTTAGGTAGAATAAAAGCAGGATAACTCCATCATCATTGATCAGACAAAGGTTTAAATTGATTGATTAATTGATTAAATGATTGATTGACCTGAATATTCTCCTGAGTGGGGAATTCGGCCTGGCTTGGCAAGAAGTTTCAAACATTTGACTCTGGAAATTAATAAAAAAAAATTAGAAGAACTAGAAAAAAAAATATTAGATTGATAAGAATAATAAGAATAATATTTAACAAATTTTGACATCATTTCTAAAATATCAAAATTGTAAAAATTGTATTTTAAAAGTTGATCATTGTGCCAATCTCAAATTAATGATTTTATAATATTGCTGAGGATATGATAATTATTATTCTACAACCTGAGTATCATAAGCCGTTATAAAAACAAGATCAACAATATTCGCCAACTTCTCATATTGAAACATCCGCCTGTCCGCCCCTAAACATAAAAAGAGCTTCATTAAGAATGTCCGCCATTTTATTAAGCCAATCCGCCCCAAAGAAGAAATAAAAATGTATCATTTATGTCTTTTTTCAATCAACATTTTATTATTTGCCTTTGTATAGATGAAAGTGCAGTATTGTGGAAAAAACTATTGAATTTATTTGATACCAATGCGACATTTTTACGCTGTATAACTTTTAAATAAAAGAGCGTAAAGTCGTTTGTAATATTTCACCAGCTGATTCAGTCAGTATAAGAAACATTTTTTACAACTGTTTAATTAGCTAGACAGAACGTGTAAAAAAAAATATTTGATAAACTAATTTGCTGTTTAGGAACATATTTTTTAACAGAAATTATCGATGAAAGCCATAACAGTAGAATCAAATATTTCATTATCATCATTTCCTTTGCTGTTTCTATTATTTTATTCGCAGATTTCTTCAAAATGTAATTTTCACAATTAAAATAAAGAAAACCTCCAACAAGCGATCCTAGCTGAATGAATTTGCATAAACCTTCGAGATTTTAAAATGAATTTTAATAACTTATTTTCAAACTTTTCTTGACCTCTTTTATGCATGCAACTAGTTTGTTTAATAGTATTTTTTGCATGTTATTTATGAACTGTAAAAAAAAAAAATATTTCTTCTCCTGATTGAAACAACTGGTGAAATATTACAAACGACTTTACGCTCTTATCTAAAATTGTACAACGTAAAATTTTTCAGTTTTTTTCTTCAAAACGTCACTTTCATCTCAACTCTCAGGTCTCTTCCTTTAAATAACTACTTTATTAAGAACCCAGGGAACCAAGTCAATGCTGACATGAAAAATTACCTGGTTTCCAACCAAAGTCAATGCTGACATGAAAGATTACCTGGACTTCAACTAAAGTCAATGTTGACATGAAAAATTACCTGGACTCCAACCAAAGTCAATGCTGACATGAAAATTATCTGGTCTCCAACCAAAGGCAATGCTGACATGAAAAATTACCTGGTCTCCAACCAAAGTCAATGCTGACATGAAAAATTACCTGGACTCCAACCAAAGTCAATGCTAATCTAAAATGTAATAAATAAAAAATCACGATTATATAAAAAATCCTAAATTAAAATTAAAATAATTTCATCACTGTTAAAACCCGTACAAAGCCGTAAACACCCCTTAATCAACCATTGTATTTGGGGATACTCAGTATTTCCAGTATCCTCCAGGGAGGTTTTTTTGTCAATTTTTTTTACAATGTCCATTGTACTTGCACATTCTAGAGATTTTTGCAGTACAGAAAAAAATGTTGAATAGAAATATTTAAAAAGTTATGAAAATTATCATCAAAACATTAAGATCTAATTAAACGATGTCAAATTACTATATGATCTTAATCTTTAGACGACTTTTTATTAAAACCACGCGAGAGTCTAAAACATTGATTTGGCGGACTTTCCCGCCATTTATTTTAACAATAACAACGAATAGCCTACACACATTGAAGACCGATGTGTGGCATATTATGGGGTAGAAAGTTAGGGTTTATAATTTCTGAGAATTCCAAATCCATGTTTATTTTTCTAATCGATTTTTTCTTATTTTTTTGACCTATATTTAATTTAAACTTTTAATTTTTAAGGTAATAATATCATCGGTTGCAAATTCTTTTTTCTTGTTTTGTTTAGGGGAAAAAGTTCAATTAAGATTTAAGATTTTCTTTTTTTTTTACAAAAAACCAAAATCCTTGTCAAATTCTAACCTGACAGCTGGGGATTTTTCCCCTGAAAACCTCTGCAGTCTCCTGGGGAATACAGAATTTAATTAACTATACAAAGAAATAATATAGAGTAGTAGAAATAAAACTGTGGAATACGAAGACCGCGGCTATGATTCTATAAATAGTACAAAGAACCTGAATCACAGCTATTTTAATTGTGCACATTTTCGAAAATTATTATTTTGGAAACTGCACCAATTTAAAGAGAAAAAATCCATGAAAATTATAAATGGTGATATTCAGGGTTCAAAGCTAAAATTATGAACTGGAAAGCTCAGAATATTAAAATTACAGCTGACCTTAACAAGACTAGTATAAGCCAATGCCTCCACGCTATTTTCTTTAACTTCATCCTAGAAACAAATCTTAATAAAAAATAGAAATAAAGTTTTCCAAACTTAGTTTTAGAGAAGTTGTAAAGATAATAAATTCAATTTGAAGAAGCATTTGATTTTGCAGGAAGGTTTCACCAAATTGTTGAACTATTGGAGATTGACAAATCATTCATAGAATAAGTATTGATCAATGACTCTCAAAGAGTTACATGACGATTCACAACAGTATTTCTTTCAACCTTTATTAAAAAAATGGGATATATATCTTCGTTCTACAATAGTAATCTCCTTCCTTATCTCTGTTGCACAAAATAAATTACTTCCATTAAAACCAAAATAGAAAATAAGAAATTTTTAGCTAGAAAAACAGAGTACCCCTAAAATGTTTTGCTAGTACAATTATGAATCAGACATGGAACTCTGAAATGTACAATTATGAATCAGACATGGAACTCTGAAATGTACAATTGTGAATCAGATATGGAACTCTGAAATGTACAATTATGAATCAGACATGGAACTCTGAAATGTACAATTGTGAATCAGACATGGAACTCTAAAATGTACAATTGTGAATCAGATATGGAACTCTGAAATGTACAATTATGAATCAGATATGGAACTCTGAAATGTACCGTTATGAATCAGACATGGAACTCTGAAATGAATGTCATTTAATATAACGGCAATTATTTGCAATCTTAAAGGGAGTGACCGGCTTTGGGGTGGATACGTTTTCAGAATTAGTTTTTTAGATTATTAGATAACGACGACATAAAATGTAAAAAAGTTCTTCAATAAACTACAGACGTCATGTAAAGGAACATGTTGAGAAGATAAAAATTAATCTTATCGTCGAAAATAAATAATCTTGTCTAATTATTAGTTTCTATTTTCTCATTATTCACAAAGATCTTCCACAGATTTTCTAGAATTATTATAGAAAAGACGACATTTGAAGAATTTGAAGAAATCTGCGAATAAATTCAAAGAAGATAAGAAATTCAATATAATAATGAAAACGAAATAATTGATTTTAGCATTGATTTATTGACAAATTTCTTTTGAGAAATATATTGCTAATCATCTAATTAGATTACTGTATAATTTTTACTTTATTTTTCGTTGTCGTTATTTAATAATTTAAAAACTAATTCTGAAAACGTATCAAACCAAAGTATGACTTTTGAACGTTGAATTTGCGCTCAAACTCAGGATTTAAAGATCTTTAAATAGTTTAATATGCCTCAAATGAATCCGAAAGAAGTTTTCCACAACACTGCATACTCAGTTCAACTACCTTACATAGCCGGTTACTCCCTTTAATAAATCATTTATTTTCCTATTTTCCTGAATTCGGAAAAGTAGAAATAATTACAATCTAAATTTATCTCCAGTTTCAGATTATATTTGGAGGATTTTAGATGACAGAATAAACAGTAATAAACAGTTCCAGTTGTTAGAAATGCACTTTAAAGAGACTGTTAGCGTAATTTCAAGTGATCATAATTTTAAAAAGGGGCATTCCAGATTCAATTCAATTCTGCGTAAAAAGTCGGATAAATTTGGAGTGTACGCTACGCGTACTTTGTAAAATCAACAAGAATGACGTCACATTTTTTCCTGGAACATCTAGAATATTCTATTTCCAACGGTTTCAAACATTTGAATATTGATGTTCTACGACTTTTAGAGAGTTTCAATATTCCTTCAGTATGAAAACAGCTTTTTCTTGAGATAAATCAGGAAAGGGTACTGATGTAAATCAGGGATACCCTATATTAAATGGAAGTTTACGCTTACAATCCCTTTAAGCAGCAAACAATCTGCAACTTTGATTAAATAACAGCTTCTAAATCAATAAGATTGAATATCCTGGTTGTAAATTATAAATTAGTAAAAAAAACTTTAGGTTTTTAAGCATAAAATGTTTATAATTTTGAACCTCTGGTTACCTCAAAATCAAAGTTCAACCCATCCATGTTGTACATCATGCTTTAAGTGTGAATAGATTTGATAAATACAAAGAAAATAGACTTTATATACATTTACATGGTTAGGAATGTCAGGAGTGACTCAAAGCAACCCTTGAATCAGAGAACTCTAGACTGTCAGACCTAATTCTTTAATTCCCAACTTTGATACTCGCCAAAATATTGGCTAATTGCTCCCCAAAAAACAAGGTAATTAGGTCAAATAATTTCGATTATAACAAATATGCTTTCATTACAATCTGTAAAAAATTTTATTGAAACCAAACCAAATTATTGTTTTAATGTTTTATTTTCAAACAAAACCATAACACCAATGGTTAAATAGTATGGTTTTCTAAATATACATAGTTTGTGTATATCCTCAGAAAATATTTTATCCTCTACATTCTGCGGCAAACACATTGAATAGATTCAATATCTGAATCAAGATGAAGAAACTCGGCATGTTCAGCAAGAACCCACCATTGGTCACTTGCATCCGCTCTAAATGTTCCTCGATTACCAGAAAATCCCGTATCAGAAAAGCCGGTAAGAGTGCAACCTGCTTTGACCCCGATTAGATCGATATCATTCCTGTACTTCCAGTAGGAACTGAAGTATGGAAAGCTGATTGCACCTTCAGCAATGATCAGCTTCCATCCCCCGGAGCAGCTGGAGCTGTCGTAGACAACACCGCAAGCAGTTCGGGGAACAGGGTCACAGTTGGGTGGTTTACCATCATCAACATTCAAGTCAAAGCTGAAGGCATCAACATCACGACAAAAGGCCTCCTTTAAATCATTGGCAGTTGCTTGGTCTCTGTCAAGCTTTGATAAAAGGCTGGTGCTTAAACTTTCTTCAATGGTTGGTGTTCTATCCTCCGGAATTGTAAAGTTGCTCTCTTGAGGAATTGTTGAAATTAAAGTTTGATTTCCGTCTTGAACAGTTCCGGGTGAAACAGTTGCAGGAACTGCAGGAGTCTGTGCACTTTGTACAGCAGCTAGTATGAGTTTTGATGGTGGCGTATCATATGTTATCGAGCTGCAATCGACATCTATAAATATTTGACATTCTCCAGTTGCTTCGTTCCACTTCATGTCAGGTTTGCATTGACATTTTCCTCCAGATTGTATAGTTAGGTTTGTATTACATATCATGTTCATATCCAACTTCTGGCAGTTTTCGGTAGCAGCACAAGCAATGAACGGATCAAAGTTAGAAGGTCGAGAAATAAATTCTCCACCCAATCTTCCACATTGTCCAAATTTTCTCTCATAACCAGCATTGCACTCACAAAAGCCCCATTCACAATGAGAATTCATGGGACATCCTCCAAAGCATTGATTATTTTTGTAATATGAGGAACGGTAATCATTTCCAAATCCGCCATTGTCATAGTTTCCAAATCCTCTCATCATCATCATATTTTTAAACTCCTGATATCTATGGTAAGCACTATAGGTTGCCATAGTACCAGCAACTCCCAGAGCAGCACCCCCAACAAATCCAGCTGCTACTCCAAGTCCCAATGCCTTCTTGGAAAATCCTTTTTTTTGTTTATACATGTTTGCAGAAGTAAAACTAGTGCCATAATTACTTCCATATCCAGGACTGTAAGCAGATTTATGTGTTTTACTTAAGCCCGGACTTAAAACGGAAGGTTTTGGCCATGTATATCTGTTGGTTTTTCCTAAACCATATCCTCCGGCAGCACCAGCTGCTCCGGCTAGACCATGACTGGCTAGGCCACCTCCTCCAAAACTATTAGATGAACCCATGCTGGGGGCAGATGGTTGAGGATAACCAGAGCCATGAAACCCAGGTTTACCCTGTGATGGGTTTACAAATCCACCTCCTCCTATTCCACCAGTGCTGGTCAATCCAGGTTTGTTCATGTTTCCAGCTGCAAAACCTCCTGCAGCACCTAGTCCTCCGGCAGCTACATATCCTCCTGCATTTGATCCTGCAGGTTTTGGTGCAACAAACCCACCTCCTCCAATAGCTCCTGGAGACCCTCCAACCGCACCACCGCCAAAAGATCCTGGAGATCCTGCAGCAAAGCCACCACCTCCTACAGCATTAGGTTTACCTCCATACTGGGACACTCCACTCGAACCTCCAAGATTACTTCCTCCTGTTTGTTGCTTGGGATAAGAGCTCCCAGAGCTGCTCCATTGTTGCTTGGGATAGGAACTTGCTGAACTTCCTGGTAAAAAGCAAAAATTAAATCCAAGTTACAGAATATTAGATAATTTGAACTTCTATGTATCATCTGATTTGTTTACCAATGTTATTTTGTAAATTGTAAAAAGTATAAACTCATGAATATATTCAGAGTTTAACGCTTCAAAAGTACAAACTTTTAATCTCATCAAATCAATAAGATGGTGGCCCTTTAAATATTTCCTAAATACTTTAGCACTTGCAGTATTTGTTTTTGAGTCACTTTCTAGAAGAAAATGCGATTGATGTTTATTGTAAAGCATACAAAAATTTCCATAAATCTATTCAGTTGCCATTTTTAGTTTTAGTATAAAATATGGCAAGGGTTCTTTTGCAGACAATTTATAAAATAAGGAGAAAATGATAGAAATATATTTGTAAGAATTAACTCTAGACCTCGATTTCACTAAGTAAAAATGTATAAAAATGTTGCTCAAGAAATGATATTTTGAAATTAAAAGAAGGTCTGGAAAAAGGAAGCAAAAAAACGCAATAAAATTTTACATGATAAAAATCTTTAAATTTAAGATTAGTTCTTATAATCTTTATACATAGCCATCAATGTAACAATTTTTAGATTTTATCAAATCTTTTGTCTGATTAAAATTTCACTCTTAAAACAAAGAAAGTGAACTTAGGTAAAAAACAACTACGTTTCTAGACTTTTTCAAATAATCTTTTTTAAACTATTTATGAAAAATCAACGATGTATAATAAAAACAGGAAGATTCTGTTAACAAACAGAAAAAATGTTAATTTTTAATTTGTTATTTATTGAAAAAAACGTTCAATAAAAGAAAACAGAGCATTTTTGAAAAAAGATTATTTTGTATGCTTTATAATTGCATGAATTGCAAACTTTGGAACGTATCCACTGTCCATTTCTTTTTCTAAGTGGATATAAAGTGTCTGCAGTCCTACTCCTAACTGGATATCAAATGTCCAGTCCTACTTCTAAGTGGATATCACGTGTCTGCAGTCCTACTTCTAACTGGATATCACATGTCCAGTCCTAATCCTAACTAGATACAAGGTGTCTAGTCCTACTCCTAACTGGATATCAAATGTCCAGTCCTACTCCTAACTGGACATCACGTGTCTGCAGTCCTACTTCTAACTGGATATCAAAAGTCCAGTCATACTCCCAACTAGATATCACGTGTCCAGTCCTACTCCTAACTGAATATCACGCGTCCAGTCCTACTCCTAACTGGATATCAAGTGTCTAGTCCTACTCCTAACTGGATATCACGTGCCTAGTCCTACTCCTAACTGGATATCACGTGCCCAGTCCTACTCCTAACTTGATATCACTTGTACTCCTAACTGGATATCACGTGTCTAGTTCCACTTCTAACTGGATATCACGTGTCAAGTCCTAGTTCTAACTGGATATCATGTGCCCAGTTCAACTTCTAACTAGATATCACATGTCTAGTTCTCTTTTAACTGGAAATCACGTGTCCAGTCTTACTTCTTACTAGATATCACAAGTTCAGACCAACGTCCAAATGGATATCATGTGTCTAGTCCTACTCTTAACTGGATATCTCGTGTCTAGCTCTACTTCTAACTGGAAATCACATGGCCAGTCCTACTTCTAACTGAATATACCTACTTCTAACTGTCTATACCTACTCCTAAGTGTTTATCACGTGTCTACGCCTACTCCTAACTGGATATCAAGTGTTCCTGAGCTGGGAACTTTAGAATGGTGGATATCGGGATTAATGCTTGATCCACTCTTTTTCTTAATATCCAGATTAAATATTGCTTGTTTTCCTCATAAATTTAATCTCCAGATTAATTAACAGATCGGGATTAAGGATATCACATTCTAAAGTTTTCAGCTCTGGTCCTACTTATGTGATATCATCATGACTCCCTAATGTTGATCATTAAATCTCATAATCAAAAGTTATTTCCATTTTTGTTTATCAAAAAAATGAAATATTTAAATTTTTCATTCCAAAATTGTAGTAAGATTAAAGATTCCATGATTTTGAATTTTTGCTTTCCTGATGACGAACTACTACTGCTACTTCTTCTAAACCATGAAGACCCTGATGACCCTGAGGATCCTGAAGATGATGATCTTGAAGAAGATGAGCTACGACGACACTCAAGACTAACTATGAGAGCACACAGGAACACTATGGTAAGCTTCATATCTGTGAGTCTACTGAAAACGTATCTGTAGTAGCAGATTGAAGCATATGATAACAGATCTATTCAAGTTTTCACGGTTCGACTAGTAGGACCTATATCTACAACTGTGCTATTGGGTAATATTATAAACACAGCTGAGTTAGCTTGGGATTTTCGAACATTTTCCAGGAAGCTGAAGTGGGGGGGGGAGAGGTAGGGGGCCACGGGTATAGGAGGCAACTGGAGGGAAGGGGTGATTAGGGTGGGATACAGAATACCGTCTTCCCTGATTTCATGCATCTTAAGTTCAATACGTAGTTATCAGTAGCGTAACTAGGGGGGGGGGTGAACCGGTTTCGCCCCCCCCCCCATCAGCATATTATTGCCCACACACCCCAATTACTTGACTCCAGCATGATCAAGATTGTGGACCATCTTCACCAAATTTTCTCAATTAAGCAAAAAAAAATAACAAAATTCTTGACGCTTTAGGCATCATTTCTGATGAAGTCATTCTTAATTTATCCTCTTAGAAAAACCTTATGAGTGAATTAACATTACAAACATATCATTTAAGGTTACACAAAACCTAACAACTAAAGAAGAATAATAAAAATATAAAAAGGATTGTATCGGACTATTAGGACTTTTGCAGACTATAAGAGGAAAACAGGGACAGGCCCCTTACTGGCAAACAAGGACAGAGGTACTTTGATCAGAAAGACTATAATGGATTATGGAAAAACGAAATATAGTCAAGTACTGCCAGGATCTACTTAACGCTAAGGACTTCACAGACCTACGATTAAGAAACTATATAGTGGACAAATATGACTAGTGGATGAATTACAAAAAACTGCTTTAGAATGTAATAGGGGACTTTATATACATAACACAAGAACAAGACATGGATATAAGATAACTGAAAATTGTGGTTTCACATTACACTGCATTGGCTTCTGAATTCTGAGTCCTGACTCATGAATTAGCTTTATAAACGTAGATACGCTATTTAGACGAGGGAATTTCATGCTCGCCACAAACTCTAATTTTCAACCATATATCGTTGCAACTTGATGGTTTAAACCTATAGAATAGGAAATAATGGCTACAAAATAGAATACAAAAATATCAATAATTTGGTTCTTTTTCTTCTTGGGTTTGGACTTTTTAAAGGCAAAACAAAAATACTGTGTAACTATTACTTACCTTACATCTGTATTTGACGTCATTGGTTAATTTGGTTCAAGCTCGAACGGTAGTAATTTGAAAAAATCATATTTTTGTGCTAAAAGTGAAGGAAAACAAATCATATGAATTTGTATTTCAAACTGTATTAAATTATCAATAATCAAGAATCGTCTGTTGAAATAAAAATGGATTTGAGAATAATATTTACGCATCTATTTTGTATAAAAAATAGACAATCACTGTTAATGAAAATTTTCGGGCGTATTCAAATATGTTATGTGGTATCTAAACTGATTACATCAAAACAATTCATGGATTACTTTGGCAATGAACAATGCACATAAGACAGTATCAAATGAATCGGATTAAGACATCTTTAAATATCTACTCCAATAAAAATTTAAATTCTTAAAAAGGGAGTGTTCATGAAAAATCTACCTTAAGTCATCGATAATCTTTCGTCCCATTCGTGTATAGTTGATATTTCATAATATTTTTGATTTTGTTTTTTAAATAATATTTCAATTACAACCTTTTTTCGAACATTCCTGGAAAATATTAAAATGTTGTCTTCATTATCAAAAATCCTCGAAACAGGTATAAATGTTTTCAAAAGTAACTCTCAAATCATGAAAGAAAAAAAAATTATGAAATAGTCCCGAATGGTTTGAAGGTAATGGAGTGGGTAGAGTCCCAGATAGGTTGAAGGTAATGGACTGGGTAGAGTCCCGGATAGGTTGAAGGTATTGGAGTGGGTAGAGTGCCGGATAGTTTAAAGGTAATGGACTGGGTAGAGAGCCAGATAGTTAGAAGGTAATGGACTGGGTAGAGTGCCAGATAGTTAGAAGGTAATGGAGTGGGTAGAGTGCTGGATAGTTAGAAGGTAATGGAGTGGGTAGAGGGCCAGATAGTTTAAAGGTAATGGAGTGGGTAGAGTGCCGGATAGCTTAAAGGTATTGGAGTGGGTAGAGTGCCGGATAATTTAAAGGTAATGGACTGGGTAGAGTGCCAGATAGTTTAAAGGTAATGGACTGGGTAGAGTGCTGGATAGTTTAAAGGTATTAGAGTGGGTAGAGTGCCGGATAGTTTAAAGGTAGTGGACTGGGTAGAGTCCCAGATAGTTTAAGGTATTGGAGTGGGTAGAGTGCCGGATAGTTTAAAGGTAATGGACTGGGTAGAGTCCCAGATTGGTTGAAGGTAATGGACTGGGTAAAGAGCCGGATAGTTTAAAGGTAATGGACTGGGTAGAGTGCCAGATAGTTAGAAGGTAATGGACTGGGTAGAGTGCCAGATAGTTAGAAGGTAATGGAGTGGGTAGAGTGCTGGATAGTTAGAAGGTAATGGAGTGGGTAGAGGGCCAGATAGTTTAAAGGTAATGGAGTGGGTAGAGGGCCGGATAATTTAAAGGTAATGGACTGGGTAGAGGGCCGGATAGTTAGAAGGTAATGGACTGGGTAGAGTGCCAGATAGTTAGAAGGTAATGGAGTGGGTAGAGTGCCGGATAGTTAGAAGGTAACGTATTCAGAAAGATTGCCCCCAACTTTTTATTAATTAAGTTACTGATCTAAAATTTAGTTTTTAGACAAGCCTGAATATAGACATTTTATTTAGATTTGTTTGAATTATGTTTTGTTTATCTAAATGTAAAAGTTTAATTTTTTAACATTAAAGGAGTTGCCTTGAAAAATTGACTGTATAATGTAGATCTTCAGTTTTCTGTTTATCACTTTATTTGTTGCATCTGCAGGGTGACTCAAAAAAATGTGTGAATTGCGGCACATGGTGCAAAATTGTACCTTTTTTGTGCAACTCTCCTTTTTAGTTTTTTAAATATTTTTTGAACATTTTTTTGGTATTCCAATGGCCCAAAAGAAAATCCGCGAACCTTTTTTTCTCTCAAAATCAAAAGTACAGAAAAGCAAAAATGTGTATATAAATTATTTCTATCCAAATCTCAAATTTTTTAAAGAATCAATCAAAGAATCACAGAAAATTTGAAAAATTGCAAAAAGAAAATTCGCAATTTTTAGTTCTGGTCAAATTTTTCAGGAAAACTTATTTGGATTATCTAGTTCCTTTCTTCTTAGTATACTCTAAATAATACATTGGTCAGTTGAAATCCTAAGAACCATTATGAAATTAACAATTTTTCCGTAAAAATTATGCCAGAACTAAAAATTGAAAATTTTCTAATTACAATTTTGCTAATTTTTTGAGATTCTGTGATTCAATCTTTCAAAAATTTTAGATTTCGATAGAAACAATTTATTTATACATTTTGTTTTTCTGAACTTTTGGTTTTGAGATAAAAATAGGTTCGCGGATTTTTATTGGGGCCATTGAAGTATACAAAAAAATTAAAACTTTCAAAAAATATTGAAAGGCACTATACAGGAGAATTGCACAAAAAAGGTACAATTTTGCACCAGGCGCTAAAAATCCCACTTTTTTTGACTCACCCTGTAAAATCAAGTTTTTTTTATCAAATTGAGAGTTTGAGAAATTAGAGTATAGTTTAACCCTAAAACATAACTAGCATGTAACTTTGCACTTGCCATGCTAGTGCCATGTGTCACTGAAAATATTTAAAAATATGATATTTCAGCTTTGTGAATGGATTAAAATTAAACAACGCCAAGTTCATAAATTGTTGAGTACCTAGTAGAGATGTCAACGTTTTGATTTTTTCTAATTTTAGCTTTCAATACGATAGTGTTCATCATTAGCATAAAACGTTTGAAATGTTACGTTGCACGTTTTGAAATTGTTTGGCAAAGAGTAACGTTTCGTTTTGAATTTTCTGTCCTTGAATAGCTTATGCAACGTTAAGCTTTTGTAAATGTTAAAGGGACTGCACAGGAAAGGGCGTATAGAATGAAACCTGAGAATCTCAGGCGTTAAACGATACATATAAGACATCTATCTTATGTTCCTGTCTCGAGAAATTGATATAAAACTGTGTCAAATTTGTACAAAACTTTATATATATGCAATTTTGTATAACAGTTGTAGTATTAAACAGATCATATTCAACAAATATGCAACCAATCTGAAAACGACTATATCCCACAGGAGCCTGAGAATCTCAGGTTTGCTCCTATCATAATTTTTTTGCATTTTTAATAGATATAATCAATAATACTATTACATATAGTCTGTATAATCTGTATTACGTCACTATAACTCCAGCCAATGGCAGTGCAGTATACTGGTCACGTGATTGTAAGGCAATAAAAAAGTGAGTGTGTGAGGTAAAACCGAAGGCCATGGCGTTGCGACACTTTCTAGATTTCAGTATATATCTTCACACAACTAGATGGTTTAAAACTTTGACAGTTCAAACTTTGACTTTCTCCACTACCAGAATTCATGGTTTGAAATACCGACATCAGTCTATAACATCAGTTTGCAAAGATAAAGATTAGAAAGTTATAATTTCTAGCGAATTTTAGTTCTTTTTGTGTTGTTTTTTATGTAACTTTCATTGATAGTAAAAATCGTGATTAGTCTAAAAAAACACGATGAAAATTGCAGAATTCTATTTTTTTGTTTGTCTTATGTTACACTTTGAAATTAATACTTAACCCTCGACATTACCTCACGTTTTATGAACAACGTTTTCATCAGACATATATCAAATGTTAGATTAATAAATTTAATATTCAGAGAATAGTTGTGAAATATTTTAATTTACAGAATTACATCTTTTTAAATGTTAAACATTAATCTATTAAAATTTATACTCTGTATCATAAGAAAACCTTTGTTTCATGATTGTTTTATTAAAAACCATTTCTGAAATGTTATATTTTTCATTTAAATGTTCAACACGTTTTTATAAACAGAAATGTATTTTTCAGTTCATAAACGTTAAACTTTGTAAAACTTGAACTTATGCAATCAAATCACAATTGATTTTCTAACATTAGACTTTCATGCTCCCCATTAAAATAAAATGTTACTCTACTGCTTGCGCTAAGTCATTAAGGTGAATTTTCTATTTAATTTTTCCAGTAATTTGTGTTGATTTAATTATCTGACAGCAATTTCTAACATTAAATAACTATCTTCACTGTACATGGTTAGTAAGTCTGTTAATGGTTAGTAGGTCTGTTAATAATTTGTAAGTCTGTTAATGGTTAGTAAGTCTGTTAATGGTTAGTAAGTCTGTTAATGGTTTGTAGGTCTGTTAATGGTTAGTAAGTCTGTTAATGGTTTGTAGGTCTGTTAATGGTTTGTAGGTCTGTTAATGGTTTGTAGGTCTGTTAATGGTTAGTAAGTCTGTTAATGGTTAGTAAGTCTGTTAATGGTTTGTAGGTCTATTAATGGTTAGTAAGTCTGTTAATGGCTAGAGGTGTACTGCTATTAAATTTTATTATAGGTATATATTATTTAGGTATATATATATTTATTAGGTATGTTATATAGGTAGGTTGAGTGAGGGGTACTTTAAATTTAAAAGAAATCAGAGTTTGAACTTAATGAATTTAAGCCGCGTCTCAAATCCGCCAAAAACCGGTTCAAATGATTGCCCGCTTAAATCTTGAAACATTGAATACAATTTTAAGTGGAACCAACAATATTAAAGCCTCATCTCAAATTTAAGGTGCGGCTCTAATTCTTTAAATTTGGCCTCAATTAGCAATATTCAAAAACGTCAGGAAATGTTAAAAGAAAAAGATTATCTGAAATGCAATTAAAAGCATGAAAATTATCTTTTATCTTTAGTTAGATTAAGTAGGAATAAGTTTTAGTATAAAAGGTTTATACAATCATGGATTAAAAAAACTAAAGTTTCAGTCTAGTAATCAGTTTTTTTAAATGTATGGTATATATTATTAAGGGTGAAACATTTTCATGAAACAAAAATCAAGTAGCAAATACTAATGTATTTTTTTATTTTAAACAGCATTTACTAAAAGCATTTTCGATAACATCAAAACTAATCATTGCAAATGGCTTTTTTGGCCAAAAACCTTGTTATACAAGTGTTTTCAAAATATGTTGATTATCAAAAGATATGTCTTGAAAAGCCGAATTCAACACAGCAAACGGTTTGTGAACATATTAAACAAACATGCAATCTAGCAGCATAAAAGTGAAAAAAATAAGGAAATTTCAAAATCAGCTAGTTTTTCAGCTCCAACTTGGCTATGTTTCATTATTTTGTAAAAAGGTTTTTTCCCTTAAATATGGCTTTTGATGCCCATTTCGGCATATTTTGAGAAGAAAAAACTCTTTTACTGGCGTTTTTTATCACAAAAGGTCATTTTCGATGGTCAATTTTGATTTTAGGGAAAATGTAATGTTTCTCAGGATTTAAAAATATATGAGTATTTATTACTTGAAATTGATTCCTTTCAAATTTACGAAAACTCTTTCACCCATGATGTATTATGTCCTCATTCTGATTATAGAGCCTCACTAGCTACCATTAGTCTCCTCTGTCAAGCAACCACTCAAGACATATTATCATTAACTTTTGATATTGATAAAATTTTGGCTTGACATCTCTGTCTCTCAAATTTCTCTTAAAATAATGTGTGTCCCTTCATTTATTTGCATGTTTTAACTGAAAATAGCTATGTGTGGGCAGAGTAAATATATTTACATATTAAAAATGACAGAGCCTCATCATGAGATTTGAATATTAATTTTACTTTTATAAATAACAAAACATGGAGCAAAATTTCAAACGAAAAAGTTTAAATCCATAGTTTTACTTTTATCTATCAGTTCTTTATACACATGCAAACTAAAGATTCTATATCTTCGTCCAAATGTTTGTATTGTAAATGCTCACTGAGTACCCACCACTGGTCTATTGATTCTGCTCTAAAGATTTCACTTTTCCCAATAAATTCTGTATTAGAAAAGGCAGTTATGGAACATCCAGCTTTAACTCCAAGAAGATCAATATCATTCCGATATTTCCAGTAGGAACTGAAATACGGGAAATTGATTCCACCTTCATTTAGATAAATACCCCATCCTCCTGAACAACTTGAGCTATCATATGCTACTCCACAGGCTGATTCAGGAATTTTTTCACAGTTTTGGAGTTTGCGATCTTTTAATCTGGGATCTTCTGTATTCATGTCAAAGCTAAAAGAATCCACATCCCGACAAAAAGCTTCAGTTAAATCATTTGCAGTAGCTCTATCTTTATCAAGTTTTAAAAGAAGGCTGTTACTCAAACTTTCCTCAATAGTCGGAGTTAAGTTATCTGCCAACCTAGAAGTAGTATTTTGCACAGTTTGATTATTATCAATGGATTTACTCTTTTCAGTTAAAGTTGTGTTTACTTCTTGTGGGATTGTATTATTTATTAAGAAGTTTACTGGATGTAGATTTGTTTCATTTTTTATAGAATCTAAAATCAATGGTGAAGGTTGAGTCTCATATGTAAAAGCAGTGCAATTAACATTTATGTAAATTTGACATTCTTGAGCTTTTTCATTATACTTCATATCTGGTTTGCATTTGCATGTTCCTGACATTTCATTTTCTACACAGATCATGTTAATGTCATAAATTGATTGACATACAGCAGTGTTCAGACAAGGGAAAAAATCAAAATTCATTAGATCAAAAGTCACAGGATCATATTCTGCGCTTTTTGAATGACATTTTCCATATTTTTTTTCAAAACCTGAGTTACATTCACAGAATCCCCATTCACAGTGAGCATCTGTTGGACATCCTCCAAGACATTGGTTTCTCTCATAGTAGGAGGAATAGTAATTGGTATCCGTCCCAATAGTATCACTTTCATAGCTTTCAAATCCTTTGGACTGCATCATATTCCTGTATGCTTGATACCTATGATACACACTGTATGTAGCCAAAGCGCCTCCTGCTCCCAATGCAGCTCCACCAACAAATCCAGCTGCTACCCCTAATCCTAATATTTTCTTAGAAAATCCTGGTTTCTGTCTATACTGGTCATCCTTACTAAAGCTTGTACCATAGTTTGTTCCATACCCAGGTTGTGTATATCTGGGCCTACTGCTTATGCTTGGTTTTATTTGGCCAACTCCTGGAACACTTGTGGCCCATTTTTGCTTTGGATATGAATTACTGGGAATACCGTTACCTAATTAAGAGGAAACTCTATTTTTAAATATTTTCATACATTTTTCTAAGAAAGTTTTAACACTAATGGTTTAGGTTTTAATTATTTTTTCAAAAGTATAAATTATCTAAAGAAACTAATGGCAATTTCTATTTACAAAGTTTAAATTATTTAAGCTGCTAAAATTTGATATAAAAATAATATTGTTCTTCCCTGAGCTGCTTCGCAACCAAGTAACACTTGATCTGTGAGTACCTCCACTTGAGTAGCCTCTTCCTCCAAATATGCCTCCACCTCTACTACCACTTGACCTGCGAAAACTTCCACTAAATCTGCCTCCACCTCTTCCTCCTCTCCCACCTCCAACTCTGCCTCCACCACCCTTCCCTTCTACCAGTACAAAAGCAAGAAAAAGAAGGATGTGTATCCTCATCCTTGCACTTAAGTCAACTACTAATGTCAGTTCAGATGAGACAAACATTAAGCATCTAATTTTGAAGTGACCAAAGGTCAGAGTCTATCATATTTATTAAAAATGTGAATTTTGTTCAGAAACCCCAGCAAGTTCTGTATACTCAAAGCTCTTTATTACTATTTTGAAAATTACATGGGTAAAGTATAGCCATGGTAAATGCAACTACATTATAAATGATCTAACTTTCCTTAAATAGATTACAAAATTGATGGGTTTGCATTTGAAAAATGGATCTATTGTACACGCCATTCCACATCATAATGAATTGCTGAAGGAGCTCACATATGAAAAAAGAAGCAATATCTATTAAAGGCCCGCTTACAAAGTTTTTGAAATATTTATGGCTCTAAATATAAAATTACAAGCATACTAATTTTTAAGTTTAATGCAAACATGGTGACAGAGTTCAGAATAAGTCTCCAACAACATTTACATTAATTTTAATGAATCATTAAGTTACATTGATCAGAAACCTTTTCTGGAAATTCAACAATGTTTATGCTTGTCTGTTTGTTTGGATGGCAGTATATCTTTATCAAATAAACAGAACTGATTTGGCCCAAAACATGACCCCAGGGAAAATTTATGGACTGTCAAAGATGAAAGACTTTGTCCCAAAAAATGTCTGTAATTAATAGTTTTAATTTTTCAATTATTACAGAAAAATCCGTAATTTGAGAAGGATTAAAAATTGTGAATTTTAGAGAAACAGTTAGCAGAAATGTAATCATTGTAGGCTTATATGAGGCCTTGTGAAATGAATACATTTCTTTATTTTTTAATGTGGTAATACAAGATTCATTTAAACTTAATAAAACCCGCTTTAACTGTTGAAGCAGTTTTAAGCAATTATAAAAAAGATTGAATTAAAAAGATACTACTATTTCTGTCTTAGATTATAATAAGTTGTCTTCCAGAACTAATAATTTAAAGAGTTCATTTTATATTTAGTTTTTTAATTCCTAGCAAATAAATCAAAGCTTCAAGATAATATTAAGTTTTCCTCCAATAAATATCTATCTAACTCCCTATATCTTTAAAAATCTTTATTTCAAATAAAGATTTAACCATTCGTGAAAATCATCTCATTAAACTCCAGTTTGAACCAGAATACTATGTGTTCCAAGGTTCCAAGATTAACAAGAAAAGGTTAGATTAAGATTGTTAAGATCAATAAATCATCTGTTATTGAGGGCGATTCGTCAAATTCAAAGCTAAAACTTGAGAATGAACAATCCTCGAAAACCATGTAACTTTGGCTTAGGTTTATTAACAGCAATGGTTTGAATCATGGGACACCAAACAATAGGGTTGTATATAGAGCATAGAAAATTAAGTGGACTTATATTTGCCATCTAAGTAGTTACTACTTGTTATGTTTATTATTATTTGAATATGAGATCTGATAAAGTGCGTCCACATTAACCCTGTAGCTGCAGATCACAAAATCATGCACCTACCACACGGCCTATCACATGGCTGATCTAAGGTCAACACAGATCAGTTCAACCTATGCCTTGGTTGTATGAAGTATTCTTCTCGCAGTTTTAAAGAAAATTAAAGTAAACCCGTCCCCAATTGTAAAAATAAACTTTAGAACTTTTTCAATCAATAACTGTGACATAATTTTACTGATATTCCTAATACTACACCTATGGAGTCTCTTCCTCCGATTATGCATCTACCTCTAATACCACCTCTACCACCAGATCTACCTCACCTCCTCTTCCACCACTCCCACCTCACCTCCACCTCCACCTCCACCTCTGCCTCCTCCTCCAGGATATGTGTCCTCATCCTTGCACTGGCGTTAACGGTATCTACTGTTAACAGTCGAGTTCTTACAAACATGACACAACTAACTTTATGGGAATTAAAGGTTATGTTTCATTTGTATTCTTTAATAACTCAGCATGGGAGCCAGAGGCTATTCTTGGCTTCACATTAAAAAACCCCAAAACAATCTGAACCAAAAATACAAGCATATATGAGTCAAATTTAATATTTAAAATTTTTTTTTGCTACAAAATTCCGAACTAAAGGTCTGAAGCCAAAAAGTGTTTCCAGTATTTCTGGACATTAATCTCGGTGTAACAGGGTTAAAGATTTTACAGCAGTATACTGGAAATTGAATTTTATGTAAAAACAGTGTCACACAGCACATTCACACATTCAATATTGTGTATTAAGTAATATTAAGTATTATATCATTTTTAGCCAAACTACAATAAGATACTTTATAATTATGTTCATCATATTTTGATTAAATTTTATACTTTTTACAAATTGAAGTATATTAAACCCTTTGACAACAGCAAGGGGGGAGGGAAGGTGGTGATTTTAAGAATATACACCCTTAGCCTCAACTTTAAAACTTTTTGTGTCACTTGACTTGAAGAAAATTTAAGCGTAATTTCAAGGTAACTTTCCATTCTTAGATAGAAATACCCTATTTCAATGGTTCCATTTAAACCTTAGACTGATCATTAAGGCCAGATGTTCAAGAATCAATTAAAAAATTTACATTGAATGGATTCTAAGCTAATAGAATTTCAAAAGTATCTAAAATCTAAAACATAAATAAAAAAAAGAATTTTGCTCAATCAAAAAAAAGAACTAGAAGATTCCGGTTTCAGAGAGCCTACAGTTGCAAACCTATAAAGAAAGAAAAGGTAGAATAATCTAAAATGGAAAGTGGAGTTATAGCAAGAAACCAAATCCAACCAGATATTGTATTTAATAGACAGCATTTTATTATTTTGCTTGTCATCATTTCTTCCTTTATTTTTTTTCTTCTGTTGACTGTCCCCTTTCTGATAATTTTGAAAAAAAAAACTAATTTGGTTAAACCATTTTTTTAAGACACTCACTAAGGTTGTTTGTAATTGTATTGTCACCATTAAATAGTGGTCAGACCCTCAGTGCTTTCTCCACCTCGTTTGAGGGGTTAATCCTATTCCTTTTGCTTCTTCATGGACACTAACCCCATTTGGGTTCTAGTCTTGCAAACCTTATTTTCCACTCCCTCCTGTGTCTAAGCCTTGTGGCCTGAGTTTTAGAAATAGATTTTAAAGGCAAGTAAAATTTTCCAGGCGTTAAAAGCATTCCACGCATTGAAAACATGATTTCTGTATGGAATCTTTTAACAGACAGACTCTGAATTCACTATACATGAGGTGACTTATCATCTTATTATCTTATTATCTTATCGTCATCACTTTCTGTCAGGCCTATAGCCAATACAAAAGAGCTAATAAGCTGTCATGCTTATAGGCTGGACAGCTTGCAATCCGACCTTAGCTCCGGGTCCATATGAGCTACTGAAGGGGTTGCATCTATAGAACTATCCCAATCTGAGCTTAGCTCCAGGTCTGTATTAGAACTGAAGGGGTTACATCAATGGACCTATGCTTATTCCGAGCTATTGAGCTCACACAGGTTACAGTGTGTTTTAGTGTGTTCTAAATTTGACTGACTCAGTTTTTCCTCATTTCATTTACCTGGAATGCTGACTCATTACAGCTGATCCAACTGTTTTTAATCAGAAAGGAAGGAAAGGGGCTCGGAGGGTGTAGGTTTCTGTAGTTGTACTTTGAGTTCCACGTCCAAATCATGGTTATGTATAGTGGTCTTAAAAATGGAGCCCACATTATTTGTACACTGAGAAATCAATTCCAAATGCTGTTTTTGACAAGAGAGGAGTTGGAAATTTGGAGTAGGTAGGAAGTCAGGTTATTTAGAGACTCCCATAAAGGAACCATGTACTCTTTCTGAGTTCAGTGGCATTTTATGTTACTCATTGGTGTTGCATTGCATGTAGATAAATGGAGAGTTGCAGCTATTGTATTTCAGAATACGGCCTCATCTACAGCAATCTTTTCCATGCAGCCGGCCGGCAGAGTATATACCGCTATCATAGTGTTTCCATTCCGCTATATTTCCATTTTCCTTGTTTCTGGCAAGAGGGAGGGGGAAGAGAAGCATAGAGATACCTATCCTTCGAATCTGCACTATTATTTCATTTTTTCCAAGTAGGGTGCACTGCCATGCCTTATTCTACACAAGGTAAACAGCTGGGAGGAGATAATTCCTAACCACTTACAATGAACCTTAATCAGCTGAGGGAGGGAACCCCCAGACGCTATGAGACTGTGCTACGTCAAAAAAAATGTTGACATTTTTCATTACACATAAAAACCAAGATTTAAAAAAAGCTGTTCTGTATGCTGGAGGCTCGTTCACTGCATAGTGGAGGTATGGTTTGCAAAGCGAAGGCTTGGTCTGCATAGTGGAGGCTCGGTCTGCCTAGCAAATCTGGGAGGCTCGTGTCTGCATAATGGCATCCAGGGGTTCCCTCCCTCATCAGCTAGCTTAAAAATTGGATTGGAGACGTGAATCAGACATGCCAATCTACAAATTGATAGTCAGGTGAAATTATGCTTGCAGTTCCTTTAAATCTTTAAATCTGAATTCTTAAAATTTATCCATCTATTCTGCCTGTAATTTAATTGCTGATCTATCCAGGTCATTCTTTCTGTCTTATTGCAGAAATCCTGAAGATAAAAAATTTAAAAACAATTTTATCATAGTATTCTTAACATTTTAGACAATATTTTAGCAGATTGGACACCTACAATTTTCACTGTAATCTTAATTTTCAGTCACAATTGTTGTATATAATGTACTGGCTCGACTTTACACTGGTGGGTAGGGCTGGGCACGTGCCAACTTTTTCAAGCCGTTTCGTTAAATGTTATAAGTTCCTACCGTTTTTAAATAAAATATCAGTTAGTCGTTAGTATTAGGGTAAGAATGAAACTATGTCTCATTAACGATATTTTCTGTTTTTTAAAAGTTACCGTTAGTTTCAATTTTATGAATGTCGTTAACGGAAAATTTTCAAATCTATTACAGAATTAACAATGTTAACGGTTATAAAAAAAGATACAAAACCGTTAACGACCAGTATTAACGGCGTTAACCGCTGAAAAAAACTTATTGCAATTTTAAGCAGAAAACAAAATAAATTCACTGTTTTTAACAAAAAAAAACGTTTCGTTTTCGTTTTCAACTGTTTCGTTAACGGAACTTTGCCCAGCCCTACTAGAGGGTAGTCCAGACTGGACGGTACAAACAAACGCATATACAGTTATACATGATGTATCTACCTGCTCGTATCATTAGGTGGATAGTTCTGGGGTAGCAGAACGGCTCGATAAACAAAAGATTTTAAGGGAAAACAAGTATTATAGAGAATAATTTTAGGATATATTTGAGTAAGCGTAAGTTTACTTGGATAAAACGACAAAACATGATGATCAAGGATTTTTTGTGTATCCGGCACTATCAAAATTACGAAATTACAATAATTTTAATATAATTATACTATTTGAAGAAAAGTGGCACGCTTCATATACAACATGTATTATGCATCACTCGACCTACGTACATCCGCTATACTACACTTCTGACCTACTCGTATTTGGTTTTACAGCTGCTAGTTAGACATACGTCACCGCAGCTTCCGACCTCTAGTCTGTGCTAGCCGCAGTGCTCAGTCCAGAAATTGTAAAATAATACTAAAGGAATTGAGTCTTTATCACAAACTTAAATTCTATAATCCCTATATCTTTGCAACCTGAAGGTGTAAAACTATGATATTTCAAACTTAGATTATTTATAGGAATATACCGATAAAGATAAGGAAAAGATAAAGGAATTAGAAAACCAGAGTTTGAGGCAAAGACTCAATTCCTTTACAACTGTCGTAAGTAGGACATAGCATGTCCCGTACAGACGAGTGAGATGATGTAAATATGGCAAGTTTTGAAATTTGAACGGGGTGGATATACCTTAGGATAATCTGATGGGATGAAAACGATCTTTGTCTAAACATAAAAAAAACATATTTATTTTTTCTCTTTAGTGTAAAAAAATTGTGAAGAAACTGTTAGCGAAAATTCTTTTTACATCATGACTCGTAGTTAAAAAATACCAAATTTTCATAATTCCATGAAATTTTAAAAATGTTATGCGATTCAACTCCATTCATTTGTTTTTATTTTTTACTAAAGGACTTACTCAAAGCTCAAGATTTTTAAATAAGAAAGAGAGGGTAACTTAATATAAAGTACTATATAAAATAAAATCCTATATATATATATAATATAAAGTACTATATAAAATAAAATCCTATATATATATAATATAAAGGCTTCGAAATTATGCTAAATCAACACAGCCATGAATGTACACCTAACACCCCTATCTCTTTTTTACATAAGGGACTGTAAACTTTGATGAACTGTTCAATAGATCAATTAACAATAACAGATAGGACATTATAGATGTCGTCTTTTCAAGATTTATGGGTTTTTCGTTCACAATAACCCTGAGACAGAAGCCCAAAGGAGTTTCGCGCAGCGTTGAATTGCTTAAGTTTTTTTCTGTTTGTTCACCATGAACATTGAACGTTCTAATGTGAAAGTCTTTTAGACGTATGCCAAGCATTCTTTTAAAACATTAAACAAACCAGGTCCGGTCTTAATAGTCGTTAGTTAAACTGTAATATGTTTGTTTCCTTTTGCTGATGAGCATATTCTACAAGTAGTGGATCCACCCAACCAGCCAGTACTATAGTTCCAATCTTATTCCAATACAATCTTAAACAAAGAAAATTTGAGTTTGTGACAAAAACGCAATTCTTTGGTCAGTTTTAAAAACAAATTTAAAATTTTTTAAATATAGTTAGGTTTTTTTTTGTTTAGCGCAAATATATAATTAAAATGCAGCTAATTTTAAGACAGTCATAATCAGAAAGACCCGGAATTTATTAACAGTTTACATATATATCTCTGGCAATCTTAAAAGTTAAAAAATGGTAGGACTAGGGCTATTTGTGATTATCGTTTCATCAATCATATTTGTAAAATCAAATTGTAAATTTGTCTGATTAATTGTAAATTTGTCTGATTAATTGTAAATTCGTCTGATTAAATGTAAATTTGTTTGATTAATTGTAAATTTGTCTGAATAATTGTAAATTTGTCTGATTAATTGTAAATTTGTCTGATTAATTGAAAATTTGTCTGATTAACTGTAAATTTGTCTGTTTAATTGTAAATTTGTCTGCTTAATTGTAAATTTGTCTGATTAATTGTAAATTTGTCTGATTAATTGAAAATTTGTCTGATTAACTGTAAATTTGTCTGATTAATTGTAAATTTGTCTGATTAATTGTAAATTTGTCTAATTAATTGTAAATTTGTCTGATTAATTGTAAATTTGTCTGATTAATTGTAAATTTGTCTGATTAATTGTAAGTTTGTCTGATTAATTGAAAATTTGTCTGATTAACTGTAAATTTGTCTGATTAATTGTAAGTTTGTCTGATTAATTGTAAATTTGTCTGATTAATTGTGAATTTGTCTGATTAATTGTAAATTAATCCCGAATCTTTCTGATTAGGACTGTAGTATGTAGGATACCAATGAAAAAATTAGCTACAAAGTATGAAAATTTTATGACGATCTGAAACTGTTTAAATATCAAACTAAAGATTTAGTTTTGGTTTCTGCCTCTAGATTTGAATCAGACTTGTAATGGCATAGAATTATATATGAAATTATATATGAAATCAAGATGATTAATTTACTAAACTTACTTTCTCCAGGTAGAGTTGTCGGTTTGAAGGAGAAATATGAATCCACTTTTAACCTCTGCAGCGTTAAAAGTAGCATTGTTTACGTACGTAACTTCAGAAGTAGCATTATCTTCTTCCGATAAGTCATCAGTAGCAATATCAACCTCAAACCCTGTAGATGTAGCAGTATAAATTTCTTTCCCATTTTGAAAATCTGCATTCTGATCAGATCTTTCCGACAATACACGGACTGCAGGAACAAAGAGTATTTTCTTCAAACATCATTCATTTGCAAATTTTTCTAATTGCTGCAGCTGTAACGAAAAAGAAATTCAAAATGAAAAGATTATTTTGAATTGGACCCATAAACTGTAAAATACACTATCAGACTCAAGTCATTACAGTGAAAAGACCAATAGACATGACTTACAGAAATTGCTTAAGGTCGTCATCTTAGTCCACAGTTTTAAACAGTAAAAGAACTAGGGGGGAGATGAACTATGTTCTTTGTAGGAGGAGGTTTGTGTAATTAACGATTTATTTTTTCTTAATTAGTCTTAACTACGTGAATGAGATTTATGAAGAAAGTAGTAAGTAGTAATTAACACGTAATTACTGTTCTCTCTTGGACCATATATGGTTTATTCCTCTCAAATAGGCTGATCATAACTAATCATATATTTATATACTTCATGTAAATTTTTGATCAGATTAAGTGAACTGTGAGCGTAATTTAAAGTGACTGATCATCGAGGCCTGTTTATTTCTGAAAAAGTGTTCGAATTTCTAATAAACGGGAGTACAGAGTGAACTCAAGACAGCTGTCCTTATACGCACACCAAAAGAACCGATTATTCCATGCCCCAGGCTATTTTCAGGAAAAGAATGTATATATCTTTAATTTCTACGATTTCTAGAAAGTTCAAATTTAATACGTCTTAAATATAAAACAGCTTGGTATATACATCAAGAGTTAACTATTACTGGCGTTTCTGTAGTAAGGAGTAAAAGTAAAAGGTTGCAATTTTTCAAGGCCAGCTCATTGAAAAAGTTAGACCTCTAATCTTACTGGCTTGGATGCTAGGAAGGCTTTTAAAAAATTCCCAAGAAAATAATAAGATATGACACATGTTTCTAAATCCATTTTTTTAGATCCGAAGTTTTTGTCGCAAAAAATGTCAAGGGATACCTTAGATTTTTGTTTTAAACAAACAGGATTTTCGACTGTCTTTTACCCTACCTCAGGCATTAATAAAGAAAAAACAACTTTTAATTACTTTTCCTTATAAGTCAAAAAATGTCAAGGTCGAAAATGAGAGTGCTAGGGCCAAAAAACTAGCAATAGTGGGCAGTGTCAAACGCCCCCCCCCCAAACCTGTTTGGGAAAATTTAAAAACAAGAACGTCCCTCATTACTTATATTAGGTAGATACCCTTTCATGATTATTGACATGAACCCAAGGTACTAATGCAAGGAAAGTTATTTCAGAGGTGTACGCATTTTTTGTACTGCAGTGTAAGCTGTCTTTGGTTGGAAAAGTAAACACAAGACGGATGTCAGAGCATGACATGGAATCAGTTTTCACAAAAATAATCTATGAAATATTCTGGTCTTAGGAAACTATTATGTGAATTATCAAAATTATCAAAATTAAATACTTTTAACCTCCTCGGAAACTAGACGAACACTGATGCATCTATTCTTGTTTACAAATTCCGCCCAGAGAAAACTGGTTTCAATATGTACACAGAGTATACACCTAACCAAAATACCCAACCAAAATTAGTCACGAAACTACAAAAAAATTCTCTTTTCCTAAAAGAAAAAAGAGTAATTTTGTATTCATGTTGAGCTTAGAGAGCAAATGAATCAGTAGGACTGCAAGGATCAATCATGGGTCTGCATTGGAATAAATATATAATAAACATGCTTTCAGAGATAAGATATTATCTGGTTCAACCAAAGAGAATAGATAAATATAGAGTGGAATTGAATCAAAAAAAGTGTAAACCCGCCATTTTGTTTTATTGTTTCTATACTACAGGTGTACTTTACACATTTGTACTAAATAACCGCCCTGGAATATCTTTTTATAGAAAAAATGTTCTTGAAATTATTTAATTTTCTCTAAACCATATCCATAGAGAATAGAATATATAGAGAGGAATTAAAAGAATCTCTCGGTATGAATTTTTTCAGTCCCTTTCAGCCTGAAAGGGAGTTCAAAGTGTACAAATCATTTAAATGTTCACAAATTATATGCAGTAGAGTACATTAATACAGTATGTTCCCTAGACTATCCATTTCAATTTCGAATTTTTTAAACTGTTAAATAAACTTTATAATGAATTAGGTGAATAAAAACATCATTTGATTTATAGTTATAGCGGAAAATCATCGTTTGTAAAGTGGAAGGCATAGAGTCTATGTGAAATGATCATTGGTCAATTATGAAACCAGCCTATTTCATAATTTGGTTTTCTTTTAACAATAATTTTAGATTTTCTATAAAATGATGTTCCAGGGCCCAACAGGTTATATAGCATAAATATGTGTATTATTGTGATGTACTGCGTATAATTTGTTAACATTTACATGAATTGAACACTTTGATCTCCTTTCAAAAGGACTGAACAAATTCATACGGAAGGATTTCTTATTTCCCTTCTATATTAATCTCTGTTCTGTGGGTTCAACTCTATTTATATACAGAAACAGGGTGTCACTGTCCGAGTTAACAAAATTAATCGTGAACCTTAAAAAATCCGAAAAAAATAATTGGGTTTCGGTTTCAATATTTATATATATATATATAGTCATAACCATACAACTTTGAAATAGGAAGACGACTTTCTATTCCACTGTTTTCTGGTTATCACTGTATACAAAGTAGGAATCTCAGTTTGTATGTCCGATCATGACTCATGAACCCCTTAACACTTTATAACTCGCCTCCCTTCAACCAGTAGGGTTCTAAAAAGTTAATATATCGTAAAAAAAAATTTTTTTTACCAAAGCTTTAAAAAATCTTCTTTGTTTATGTAGATGCTTTATCTCTAAAAAGTACTATTTATGAAGTATTCAATTAAATAAAAATTTTATATCAATTCTATTTTATTTATTTCAGAAATTTTAACAAAACCATCAACACAGTTATATGTAATTATTTACTGAATACACATTCAATGTAATGAGATCTAAATACAACAATATAAAATGCAACTTAAACGGCATTTTCGTCATAAATGCAAATCTAAACAATTCAATGACTAAAAAATAAAAAAGCTCAAGATTTTAGACAATTTCATTAAAAAGATGAAAAGTAAATATATTAATAACATATCTCATTATTTTTCAACGATTACATAAAAAGGAACAAAAAAGATTAATATTGTTTTATGTATCTAGTTATTTCTTCAGCTTAAAAAATAAATAAAAGTTGAATTCTAAACTAAATAGTTTAATAAATTTAATATAGAGTATTGACGGTTAAAGGGAATGTAAGGATAATTTGAACGGTACCCTTGCATCCCTTAATCTGATCCAAAATGTGGAAGAAAACGTCGTTTTTCTGACGCAACGAGTGTTCAGATATTTCACTCATGCTTTTTATAAGCAAGAAATGCGCAGTCACTTCCACAAAGAAACCGCAAATGAAATTAGACATTTTTTATGAACAAAAACCTGAATATCTAATTAAAAGTTGAAAATAAAAAGCTTTCAATGGTACAAACGTCTGGAATAGAACATTATTATCTTTGCATAGAGGGTCACTTTAAATTACGCTTACAGTCCCTTTAAATTTAGTATTACAAATTCACGGACAACGAATTAATTGCGCACAATTATAAAGAAAATACAAAATAAATATTATAAAAAGTTAAGACTAGGATGAGATTCTATGGCAATAAGATTAGTATAAATACAAAAAACATGAAAGAAGAAATATTTAATATCTAAAACAATAAGAATCTTGAAAACCATGGATTGTGAACATATACATAACATTTCATTTCATTTCATATTAAACTTAATTTCAGGCTCTTCCATCACGAAACAAAAATGTTAAATTTAGAAGTTTAATAAAGCTTTTCTACCTTTAAACTCTTATTGTTAATTCAGAGTTGACGGCGTACACAGGGATAACCAACAAGCAATCAAAATGATTGGAGTCTTCAATCCTTCTTTCAACCCGTGTCACAGCTGAGAATTTAGTTTTTTTTTAACTGTTTAAATGAAATATGTTTATCAGTAAAAACATAAAAACAAATTTAACAAATATTTCACGGCCAGAGCAAGTTATAAGAGAAATATAAATTAGGATTTACGAAAATTCTTTCACTGTTTGTTGGTTATCAAAATACAGTATTGACGAGTTTTTACTTATCAGACCTTCCCTCAGGATTGCGGGGCCGCTATAATTTCTAATTTCACATTTAATTACAGGTTTCGATAATTCCTTACTTGGATAATTGCCATCTAAATGAGGTTTACTGAATTTTATACGTTTAGATAGCGAATAAACTGAAACACATTTTTTCAGAGACATCCTGTACAATACATAAGTTTATATTTCCTGTTACCATTATCGCATCAAATGCCATCAAACATTAAAAAACTAAAAAACCAAAAATATTTTTCGTTTAATCACACAGTTCCTCTTGTTTGTGATTTTGCGTTGAATGACTGATTGAAACTTTATTTCTGCAACAAACAGCGGCATTCGAACGGAATGTTATGATTTATGAAAACTCGTCAATACCACACGCTTTTTTGGACTAAACTGCATTCTACCTTCAGTACATAACGACTAGAGAACCTATTTTCTGAGACGATTAATACAAACTTTAAATTGGGAAGACAAAACAAAATATCAATATTTAATTGATCTCGGTAAACTAAAAACCGAATTTGCAAATAGATGTCTAAATGCAATCAAAAACTGATCTTTATAGGTACCTGTAAACAAACTTTTTATAACGAATTTTGAATTATGAAACCCAATTTTTGATAGCGATAATGAATTGAAGTTGATTTAATTTCTATAATATGTTAACATTATTAATTCTTAACATATTCAGTCTTTAGATTTATCGAATGCTACCACACTCGGAACTAAATTTGTCTAGAACGTTTTTTTTCTTCAAAAGATATAGATCCAATTAAATTGTTGTTACAATTTATTTAGAAGTATTTTCCATTGTATATTTATTGCAAATTAAACTCATGAATGTAAATTTGCTAGATCAAAGTATTTCAAGGTTATCCAAAGTATTCGAGTGGAGTAACGACTTAACAGCAAAAAGCAATATATCTTTGAGTATCTTAGCTTTTGTATACTTTCAAAAATTGAAGCCTTCAATCCTTTTATACTACAGTACAAGAAAGCTTAAATACTTTGTAGAATTCAAGGATATCAACCGGCCCATCAGTCTAGAATGTATTCATAATTCTCTGGATATAGTTATCAGCAAGGGGGTGGTTTTGTAGATTACTGAAGTTCTAGAGTTCTCTAGATATAATTATCAGGAAGGGTGTGGTTTTGTAGATTGTAGATTACTGAAGTTCTGGAGTTCTCTAGATAGTTATCAGCAAGGGGGTGTTTTTTAGATTGTAGATTACTGAAGTTCTAGAGTTCTCTAGATACAGTTATCAGCAAGGGGGTGGTTTTGTAGATTACTGAAATTCTAGAGTTCTCTAGATATAGTTATCAGGAAGGGTGTGGTTTTGTGGATTGTAGATTACTGAAGTTCTAGAGTTCTCTAGATATAGTTATCAGGAAGGGTGTGGTTTTGTAGATTGTAGATTACTGAAGTTCTAGAGTTCTCTAGATATAGTTATCAGGAAGGGGGTGGTTTTAAGTATTGTAAATTACTGAAGTTCTAGAGTTTTCTTCATGGCTGGATCTACCGGGACCTCAACAGGGGTTAACGCCTCCAATACATGGATGATAAAACCAGCCAGGGTCGGATCCCTTAAAAAATCAATCAATCAATCAATCAATCAATCAATCAATCAATCAATCAGTCAATCAGTTAATATATCAACAATAAATCAATTAATATATTATAATTCAATCAACCAATACATCAATAAATCAACGAATCATTCAAACACTCGTATACAAACAAGTATTATATCAATCAATCAATAAATCAATCAATATATTAAATAATCAATCAATCAGTCTATCGGTCAATATATATTAATTAGTAGGTAATTAATCAATCAATCATAACATTTAGATAAAAAAGTAAAAGAGTAAACTTAACACTTTTCCTATAACTCAATTTACAAAAATGAAACCAAATTTTCTTAAATGATTTTAGTTTAAAGCAAATTTCTTTCAACCTAAGATTTTTCAAAATGGCAGAATTTGGTAAATTCTATTGACCGGTTTTCTTTATCCAAATTTACATCAGCTGGTCAAGAGACCTGGCCCAACTTGAATTCAGGATCCCTAAATGGAATCCTAGGCGACTCTTAAACACTTATTCAATCAATTAAAATAACGTTTATTTATATAATAACATTCGTATATATGTTCCCTCTGGCAGGGCTAACGGCTGGACCGAACGGGCTGAAATTTTTTGTGAACACTCATGTATAGCCTGGGGGTGTCATAGGCTAAAAAATCTTATTTTTCCCCCCACGGGCAACGCTGGGCCCTTCAGAATAGTATATTATAAAATTAATCAAAATTTTATCAATCTCAGCACAAACCTAAGTTTGAGGAATTCGCAAATTAGTTTTAATATCTCAAAGCTAAAACTAAAATTCAATTTGTTCATTTGTTTATTTTAGTGTACTTTATTTACCCTCACACCAGATAATTTACCCTCACACCAGATAATATACCTTCACACCAGATAATTTACTTTGACACCAGATAATTTACCCTCACATAAGAAAATTTTCCATTGAAACCAGATAACTTACCTTCTTTATAATAATTTACTTTTTATCTAGTTTATTTACCGTGATAATCAGAAAGAACCGGAATTTTTGTACATGTATTATGCATTAATGACTATATTTACCTTAGAGCAAAAGATAATTTACCAACTACCAAGATAAATTACCAAGGAAAAGTTCCGAGATTTCCTAACATTCTTTGTTATTATTAACAGTCCTGATATGCCTCAATAAAATGTTAACCCTCCGCCATATGTTGCCACAGAAAAAATCTCCTATGTTTTGACATTTCCCCTATTTTTGGTTAATTTCTTACAACTGAGCCTTTAAACTCTTTCCCCTCTTGTTCAAGAAAAAACGATGAGAGTTTTGCCAATTACTTCTTAAAAACCAAATGAAACAATATGTGCTTTATATTGCTAAAATGTACATGTATAGGGCTATAGAAAAGTAGAAATGAGTTAGAATGGTAAAATCTAAGCTCAAGTCGTTGCGACACTTCAAAGTCGACCTCATCTTAAAAATGTATGAGACTGTTTATAAGCAGGCTGAATCTATGTTCTACCTGAGAAAACTAAATTCATCGTAAAGTTGAATAGCTGCCACTGCTTTGGTTAGATCCGCTACTATCCTCTGTAGAAGACGATCATGAACTGCCAGACACACAAACAGCTGGAACTTATCATCCTTACCTACACAAGTACATAGTGATCACATACAGTAATGTAGTGATCTGTAGAAATAGTGAAGTAGTTGGTTTAAGTGAAGAGTAGACTGAGCAAAAGTGATAAATATAATCATTTTTATCTATCTATCTATCTATCTATCTATCTATCTATCTATCTATCTATCTATCTATCTATCTATCTATCTATCTATCTATCTATCTATCTATCTATCTATCTATCTATCTATCTATCTATCTATCTATCTATCTATCTATCTATCTATCTATCTATCTATCTATCTATCTATCTATCTATCTATCTATCTATCTATCTATCTATCTATCTATCTATCTATCTATCTATCTATCTATCTATCTATCTATCTATCTATCTATCTATCTATCTATCTATCTATCTATCTATCTATCTATCTATCTATCTATCTATCTATCTATCTATCTATCTATCTATCTATCTATCTATCTATCTATCTATCTATCTATCTATCTATCTATCTATCTATCTATCTATCTATCTATCTATCTATCNCTCTCATCTCTCTCATCTCTCTCATCTCTCTCATCTCTCTCATCTCTCTCATCCCTCTCATCCCTCTCATCTCTCTCATCTCTCTCATCCCTCTCATCTCTCTCATCTCTCTCATCTCTCTCAACTCTCTCATCTCCCTCATCTCTCTCATCTCTCTCATCTCTCTCTATCTCTCTATCTCTCTATCTCTCTATCTCTCTATCTCTCTATCTGGGGAAAAGGTTATATTGACAGTGTAAGTAAGAAATGATGTTTGTATAGATGTAATCTGCAGTGGGTAATTACTGGTTACAGAATAAGTCCTTTTTACTAGACCTCGGAATATATTCATTAGTCAACTTGAGAGTAGAAGAAATCCTATTATAGTGTTTGACCTATCACAAACGATTTTAGTATCTATGTATATAAGTTGTTATTTCTGTTTGTCTGTATGTTTGTTTTTCCGATCATAACTCAGGAACCCGTGACCGATTTGCCTCAAATTTTGATTGGGGAACTCGAGAGAACCACGGGAATCTTCTTAGCTTGGTTATGAGATTCTAAGTGGGTCCACTTATAAAGCAAAACATTAGTTCCCACGGCGGGAGTAACTATAAGTAGTAAGTACCCTGGGCAACACTTGGTTCCAAAGCTACAGTGATATCCAGAAAACCATCAAATAGGAAGACGACATTAAAGCAATATTGAAGTGTATTTGATGATGTTACAGTTCACAATTCCTGTGCCTCATGCACATTGGCCTATTAAAAGTTATAACTTCATTTAAAAGTTATTACTTCATTTAAAAGTCGTCTTAATCCTCCAGAGATTTCTGGTTATCACAGTACTGAAAACACAATGATAACATCAAATCATAAGTTGCAGGGATGGCCTAAGACTTCAGGAGCGGATTGAAGTTTCAATAATAAAACGATAAAAAATTCAGTTTTGTTTACAAATATTGTAATAGTAATTTCAAGCCCGGCCTATTATTTAATACTTACAGTATCAGATTTAACATACATTTTAATATTGTTGTTCTTCAATAGTTCAAGACTTTTTAATTGTTAATCTTTGTGTGTAACACTGTACTGTGCAGTACTGTACAAATTGTGTAGAAAAATGAAATTACCGAGTCGGGTACATGTAGTTTCAATCCTTGTAATAAGTCTCGTGTACATCCTTCTTAATTGTGTAGTACGTGGTACTGTACTTGTCTGCCTATCAGAGCTTTTCCTAAACAATACAACCTTTTTATGGGACTGTAAGCATAATTTCAATTGACCCTCTATGCAATACCCGGCCGATTTACAACGGTACCTTAAAAGCTTTGTCTGATCAGTGTTCTTGAATGAATTAGAAATCTATGTTTTTGTTTCTTAAACTGTTAATGTTCATTTGCGGTTTCTCTGTGTAAATGTCTTGCGCACTTTTTGCTTAAAATGAAGGATTAACAGAAATTAACCATGTCAGAAAACCGACGATCTCTTCCACTTTTTTGATCAGATGAAGGTTTCAAGGGTACCGTTGTAAGTCGGGCATTATTTCTTTTCATGGAGGGTCACTTTAAACTACACTTTCATTCCCTTTATAGAAGAATTTCATTTGAGATAAAATAAGAATTTTTCATAAAATTGTATTAAAGAATTAGACATATTAGAGTTTCCCAATATTCTTGAAAACCCTTAGCAAAAAAAATTTTCCTAAATTTGCCTGGGAGAAAGTTTACTCAAACCACAACATTTATAAACTAAATTAGAATCTATATAATCCATAATCCATTTTAATCTAGCACAGGGTTTATGTTTTAATAAAACTAATTATTCCTTCGCCACCACACTGAAAAGATATATTGATCCATTAGGGCAGTTCAATATCATGAATTTTTAGTTTAAAAATGTTCAAATTTTCGAACACAATGTTCGTGCAAGGTTGGTAGTTTGTTAGATTTAGGTTTGTTTTTTTCACACATTTTTCTTGCAAGATTTGAATTTAATTTCCGGAAAAACTGAAATCTCAAAGGTTTCCATTATATTTCCAATGTGTGTTTAAATGCATTTCTCTGTAAGATCCGAATACTGTAAAAGATTTTCTCAAAAAAAGGTTACTAAATTATCTAGTTTTGCAACTAATGTATCCTGTAATCCGTAACCAAGCAAAACCAAATCCAACCAAACCAAACCAAATCCAACCAAACCAAATCCAACCAAACCAAACCAAATCCAACCAAACCAAACCAAACCAAACCAAACGTTACTACACAAAACCAAACCAAATCCAACCCAATCAAGCACAACTAAACTGAACTAAACTAACCCAATCTTATTCTTGAAAACTAAAAAGAAGCTTTTCTTTGATTACTTGTAAACGTAAAGATAGAAAAAAGCTCGTTAACAATAAAAAATTTGAAAACAAAAGTCGTCTTTATTGTTGATATAAACAAATAAACCAAGCACAATTTACACATGATAAATTAAAACTGAACTGAACCAGACTAAACCAATCTTTACTATTCTATTTACTTACTATTACATGCTATTCTAAAACGAACTCAAAGGAACTGAAAAGAACTCAAACGAACTCAAAGGAACTCAAACGAACTCAAACAATTTAAAAACTATATAAAATGAACCAAACCAAGTCAAACCCAAACCAATCAAAGCTTAACAAACCAAACCAAATCAAACCAAAAACCAAACCAAGCCAAACCAAACCAGTTCAAACCAAACCAAACCTACCTGGGTGAGGCTTGAGGTGAAGAGTTGAGTGCAGAGGAGCCCTGTGATTGGTTGAAATCAAATGTTACCTAAAATAGATATTTCATAAATTGGAACATAAAAAAAAACATAATCTCATGAATAAATTTATGAACTAAAGACGTATTAATATATTCTATATCATGTATATACTATTAAATATGTTCTATAATAAAAGTTCTTTGAATGTTCTAAAATATATGCACTTTTACGGATATGTTCTGAAACTCTTGAAATCATTCAAAAAAATTAAGACTCTGAATCTATTCTAAGTTATGAAGCACTCATGAATATATTTCAAATTATTAATTTTGTATGACTTTAGAATAAATTCTTATGACTCTTAAATATGTTCTGAAAAGTAAAAAATCATGAATAAATTTTAAAATTCGTATTATTTATGACTCTTTTTAAAACGTATATTGCAGGGGACATAAGTTCCAAAACTAACACTTGGAAAATTTGGAATTCACTCTAAAATTATTTAACTCATGAAGATCTTTTAAAACGTATATTCAGGAGACATTTGTTCCAAAACTAAAACCTGGCCCATTTCTAACACTAAGTGTTAGAAAAGGGCACAAATTGAAAGACTGGGGTTTTAGGATTTAGAGAGTAAAAGTCGATAATAAAAACTATAAATTATAACCAACATTTTTATTAAGCATCACGAGATCAACAATTCCCAATTTAAAACTATTATCTGGAATCAAACTTATTGAAGAATTTCTTATAACTCTTAATTGTTTCAAGACAATGTCAGGTTTTCTTTTTTCGAACATATCCTGATTCATCGTTGCGTTTTCAAAACAAAACCCACTTTCCCGTTTTTGAGTATAATCCGCAATTGAAAACAAAACTCACTTTCATAACTTACAGAATAAATTACTGAAGGTAAAATTATCTTATGAAGACTAAATAAACTGCTAAAATAATTATAAAATCTTTGTTTTCCGATTTTATAAATAAGAGAATAAAGTGTTATCATTGATTAAATGCTATTTATAGATTCTTGATTATATTCTCCTTCTAATCCCGCGATTTAAAACATTTGCAAAAATAAGACTTAGGTCTAAGCTGTCATAGAGACTTATTTTAAGACTCAAGCTTTAGGACTTAAGTAAAAATAATTTTCCACAGAGTTGAGTTTATTGAACCGGTTTATTATTGTATTTGGTGGAGTTGTTATCATTTTCATAGGACCCAGGATAATAAGGCAAGGAAAGTTAATTGCGGTTGCGTATTCTCTACGTACATATTGAAACTAGTTCTTTCTGAGCGGTATTTGTAAACAAGAAAAGGTGCATCAGTTTTCCTCTAGTATCCGAGGAGGATTAGAGCATTTAATTTTGATAATTCACATAATAGTTTCTAGTGCTTAGGATCCATTTAATTTTATTGCGGATCCGTATCCTGGATGAATGAATCCGGATCCAGGTTATTTATTTAAAATTTTCTGAATCTTTTTAACAAAGCAGAATTTTCGATTTTTTTTGTCTTATTTTTATGAACTTGATGAACCATTCAGAAATCAGGAAATTTTTATAATCATTACAACAACGTTAACAATATTATTATTATTATTATTATTTTCAATATTAATTATAAAAATATTGATAATCAATTAAATTATCACCTTGAGAAAAAAGTCCCAAACCGTAAGGTTTCGTCCAAATAATCTGGCAGATTTGAATCCAAAGGAGAAAACCTAAAATTAGATACAAAAATATTAAAATTAATTAAATATGAAAGTGTGTAAAACATCTCCGTCTACCAGAGGATCTTATTGAAGGTAAAATTGAATTTCTAGAATTGCTTTACAGAGTAAAGAATTTAGGAGGCCTGCATAACTCCACTCAAGTTCAGCTTTTTATTACTTCAATCCAAGCTTCAGCCTCAGCTCAAGAAAGCTCTGGGAATTGTTTAAAATGAAAAGACAAAAGAAAGTTTCCAAATATATATATTTTACAACGATAAGCCTAAAACCAATGTAACTTGGCATGGGGGGGGAGGGGAGGTGACAACCCTTCAACTTAGATTTTAAATATAAAGAACAAAGGAAGAAGATGCTATTAGTAGTAAGTACATTTTTAATTTTCAATTCTTTTACTTCGCACACTGCACATTGCAACAGCCGTTTTCTAATCTTTGTTTTAATATGTTCCTGGAAATTTCAATGCAAAGCTAAAATCATCAAAATTATGGTTTGGACCTTCAATTTTTTTTTACATTTCATTGATTTTGAGTTATTAATTGAGATATTAATCTTTTTTCAGTGGGCTATTTACTTCTGAAGGGGAAATGAAGTGTACGCTTGTAATAAAATTGGACTACATTTAAGTGTTCCGTATCACTTATGGATGATATTGAAACAAAATGTCCCCCCCCCCCCTTAGTAGGGGCCGGGGGTCATGTTCTTGGAATAAACAAACCTGGATAAGTGCATGGACTAGGCCTAGTTCTCCACACATCAGCTGGGCCCAGGACACCTTCTCTTTCAAACTCTTGTGATGATGTTTTATTAATCTAAAAATAAAATGTAAAATTCGTCATGTCAAAACTAAAATGTTAAATTAAAAAAAATATGATAAAGGAGAGATATATTTATTCTAAGATATAAACCTATTAATAGCTTCCCCCAACGTTGTCTGTATCTCAACATCATCAGGACTGGAGCCTGTAGTCCGAAGGGAGAGTGCAGGAGAGGGGGTTGAAAGGGGCCCAGCACAATCCTAGCAACCAACTTTATCTATACTTTATAATAACAGTTTTCTCACATTTCCCCATAATCTAAATTTAAAACAAATTCTGGACATCTGCTCAAAAACGTCAAGAGGCTATATAAAAAGAGATAAAAATCAGATTCCAAATTAACAGAACCCTTTCAAGTTATAGGAACAATTTCAAGTTATAGGAACCCTTTCATGTTATAGGAACAATTTCAAGTTATAGGAACCCTTTCAAGTTATAGGAACCCTTTCAAGTTATAGGAACAATTTCAAGTTATAGGAACAATTTCAAGTTATAGGAACAATTTCAAGGTATAGGAACAATTTCAAGAGACCTGTATTCCTTTTATCTGTTTTAAAATTGTCTATATTCAATTGTGGTTCTCTATGCAGATTTATCTGCCTAATCATAATTGAATTTACATTCCCTTTCATGTTAAAACTTGGTTCTGAGCGAATTTGGTATATAAAACATCACGTCAAAATTGAAGATTGAAGATTATAGATTGCGTTCTCAGTCTTCAGTCTTCACCCTGGAGTAATCAAGTGTTCTGTTTGAATTCAATCGTGTTAAATTCAACAAACTTAAAATTTTAAGAGATTTTACTTTGTTTTTTTCCCCTTACTTTTTATTTAAAAGGCATGCTGTGACAAAAACGATAAATTAATATTTAATTGGGCATATCATCTTGGAATCGAATTAACGTGACAGCTTTCCTGAACCAAAGACCAATCTGTGGAATCAATCAGCTTTATTGAGTTTTAAAAGAGATTTTAAATATTTTGAATTTATGGCGCTCAGTCACTGTAAATAAATTGTCTATGGGTCTAGTACAGCGCAGGATAAAAATTCTATTTTATAGGTCTTACTTAAAAACAAAAATATTTCCTGAAAGAAGGATTGAGATTGTAGTGCTTCAGTGTTACCCACAAGAGGCGAGATTTCTGAGACGACTAATCATAGCTCGCTCAAGCTATAAACTTTTTTTTTTTAAAGAAGCATTTTGAAAAATGCTTCAACTCAGAATTGCTTTTGGAAAAGTTGGGAAAAGTTGGCAGCTGAAGCTTTCCTCCCCTCGAGCATCCTTGAAATTATCCCTGGATTTTACGGTAGATCGAAACATCTCATATCATTCCACAGAACTCATCAGCATTAAACTTTTTTAAAACTAAGGAGTTAAATTTGTTTCTTTCTTTGCCGCCCATTTGACTAGTGCACCTGTATAACATCTCATCCAATGTGGGTTTCCCGGCATAAACAGTTTTTTGATTTTTACTAAATATTAAAATCTTAAAAATATCTTTTCCCCTTTTATTAAAAATGAATGCGTCGTTTATGCAAACTCTGGGAAACATTTAATGAACTGGAAAATTGTGCTTTTTTTCTGTAAAGTATAAACTGTAAAGTATAAACTGTAAGGTATAAACTGTAAGGTATAAACTGTAAAGTATAAACTGTAAAGTATAAACTGCAAAGTATAAACTGTAAAGTATAAACTGTAAAGTATACACTGTAAAGTATAAACTGTAAAGTATAAACTGTATAGTATAAACTGTATAGTATAAACTGTAAAGTATAAACTGTATAGTATAAACTGTATAGTATAAACTGTATAGTATAAACTGTAAAGTATAAACTGCAAATATAAACTGTAAAGCATAAACTGTAAAGTATAAACTGTAAAGTATAAACTGTAAAGTATAAACTGTAAAGTATAAACTGTAAAGTATAAACTGTAAAGTATAAACTGTAAAGTATAAACTGTAAAGTATAAACTGTAAAGTATAAACTGTAAAGTATAAACTGTAAAGTATAAACTGTAAAGTATAAACTGTAAAGTATAAACTGTAAAGTATAAACTGTAAAGTATAAACTGTAAACTGCAAAGTATAAACTACAAAGTATAAACTGTAAAGTATAAAATGTTTAGTATAAACTGTTAAGTATAAAAAAAGGGAATATAGTTCGCCGTAAAAGTGATTTGCAGATATATCCAGTATATATAAGGAAGGAAAAATTATGTCCCTCAGACACTTTTGAAATGGATTGCCATTTAAAATTACGCCACCAGTCCCTTTAAACAACACGTTTTAAAAACAGTAGTGCTGAAATAAAAATATTCATAAATGGTTCTTTTTTTAATTGAAGGTAATATGCACTAGAAAAAAGTCTAGAAAAAGTTGACTCAAATTGTTTTTAAAATTAACCGAAAAAATTTCCAATTATGCAAAATGTTAGAAAAAAAACTTTGACTAAAAATATTATATCACTTCTATACTCTAGAAAGGAAGAGTAGACAAGTGGCCAAGTGGAATGCGTCTGCCCCATTCATTGCTGGGAAAGAATAATTAAAACCGTAATAATTTAACTCTTCGATAAATTGATATTAGGGTAATAACTTGGACATACAGGGTTACCTACAAAGGATGAGACTTCAGAGACGATTGTACGGAATTTATCTAGTCCATTTACTTACATTCAGGATTCCTTGTAGGCTAAAACTGGCTTATTTCTGTGCTTAATCATTTAGTAAACCATCAAAATACTCAATGGAGTACAGAAACCAAAAAAAACTTCAAATCGTCATATTTTTAGAGTTTTGAGTCGTCTTTACAGTCTCATCCTGTATTTAAGTTATACAAAAATAACCGGGGAATTATATGGTTAAAATGATATTGAAAATATAGATTTAAGTTCCTTGACGATTTCTCTCATTTCCATGCAGCTGGGAACTCCAGGGATCTAATATTTTAACTTAATTTTTTAACTTATTTCAATTTTTTGATTTATTGATTAATTCACACGTTTATTCGCCGCTCATTTATCCTTTTCATCCATTCTTTTCATTCTTTCATTCATCCATCTCATTATTTCATTAATCCTGTTCATTCTTTCTTTTCATTCTTTCATTCATCTTTTTTATTCTTTCGTTCATCCTTTTCACCCTTTCATCAATACTTTTCTTTCATTAATCCTTTTCCTTCTTTCATTCATCCTTTTCATTCTTTCTATCAATCAACCTTCATTCATCCTTTTATTTATCCTTTTCATTCTATCATTCGTCCTTTTCATGTTTGCATTAATCCTTTTCGTTCTTTCGTTTATCCTTTTCATTCTTTCATTCATCCTTTTCATTTTTTCTTTAGTTTAATCATTATAATAAATTCTAACCTCTGTTGATACCAGATATCTCTCAGTACTACCATCATCTATATTCTTACCCAGCCATCTTCCACAGGGGAACCTAATATAGTACAGTGTAGTACAGTGTAGTACAGTGCAGTGCAGTGCAGTGCAGTGCAGTGCAGTACAGTACAGTAGAGTACAGAACAGTACAGAACAGTACAGTACAGTGTAGTACAGTGCAGTGCAGTGCAGTGCAGTGCAGTGCAGTGCAGTGCAGTGCAGTACAGTACAGTAGAGTACAGAACAGTACAGAACAGTACAGTACAGTGTAGTACAGTACAGTACAGTACACATTACATTACAGTACAGTACAGTACAGTACAGTACAGTACAGTACAGTACAGTGCAGTACAGTATAGTACAGTACAGTATAGTTCAGTTCAGTTCAGTAGAATACAATACAATGCAGATACAATACAAACCCATACAATACAATACCATACAATACCATACAATACAATACCATACAATACAATACCGTACAATACAATACCATACAATACAATGCAGTACAAAACAATACAATACTGCTTAGTACGGTACAGTACAATGAGTATGTTTAACCATGGGTTGTTTTGTTAATAATTTACGGACAAAAATAGAAAATGCCTAAATATACTTGTGCTAAAATAAGATTAGGAGGATGGGCCTCAAATTGGAAAAAGAAAGTCAGTCAAAGGGTTCAGAATTTGGTTTGATCTTGTCAAAAAACTGTTAGATCACTAGAGAGTGAAACTGACACTTTAAAGTTTCCGTTAAGTAGTTTTCTCGGTGCAAATGAGAGAAAATCAGATAGTTGTTCTTACAGTTTTGTCCAGAGTAAACAGTAATGGGTTTACGTTTTAAGCATTTTTAAATATTTCTAGAAACCGGTGTTGTGCTGCATCTTGAGCCTTAGAAAATATACAATACGAAAGGCTTGCAAAAAAATAAATGAAATAAAAGAATGTATTTAAATAAATGGTCGACCATAATTCCGCCAAAACCCATCAGCCGCGGATCTAGAAGACCAGAATAATAAAAATTCCATTTCTCCCTTTTTCTTCTATGTTATGCTGCAATAAAAAAATCCATTTAACCCCGTCTTCCCACTTATTGCTAGTAAAAGTCCAATATACCTTCCCATTCAATCTTGCAAAGATTATAATAGCCTTGCACACCATTTTAAAAATCCTTTCTAAAAAACGATTTAAATTTCAATGAACTCTTCATGCAAAGATGTCAATGTCCTATTCACATTGGTACCCTTAAACTCAATGTTTTTAATTTAAAAAAATGATTTCTTTTTATTTAAGTGGTTTCTCTACAAAGTGACCTGAGCTGGGAACTTTAGAATGGATAACCTTTAATCCCAACTACTTAATCCGAATATCCACTGTGGAAACTTTTAATCTTAGTCCTTAATCCACTCTTTTTCTCTCTCTTTGGATATCCGTACATTGTTTTCTCCAATGAGAGTGCAGGAATATAAATTATAAATTGTAATGACCATTGACAGCCTTGAAAATAAATTCTATCGAATGAGAGACCTCCGCAATTTCTAACAAATAAAGAATTTGTTGTCATTTTGAAAATTAATCGGTAAAAAAAAAATATGTAATAATACGTTTGAGATTAAGTGAAGGCCCTTCCAGTCAAGAAAACGAACAAATCTGGCGTTCTTTGAATCAAATTTGTTGATCTAAATAATTAATCTCGAGACTAACATAATCTCGAGATTATGTTAGTCTCGAGATTAGCAAAAAGAGAGGATTAAGCATTAATCCTGATTCTAAAGTTAAAAGCTCTGAGCTGAAAACTTTAGAATGGTGGATATCGAAATCAATGCTTAATCTCCAGATTAAATGAGGCGTGTTCCTCTCTTCTTATTAATCTCCAGATTAATTAACTGATTGGGATTAAGGTTGTCCCATTCAAAAGTTTTCAGCTCTGAGCATTTTTGCTGCAGGAAAACATATGCACCCCTGAAACTGACGATGTTTTAAAGTTCTGTTGTTTTAGCTCTTAGGAGAAAATTGGATCATAATTAAGTAATAATTAAAACAGAATGATTAGATACTAACTTGCTGCTGTGTGCGGTGAATTTAAAACAGAATGATTAGATACTAACTTGTAGCTGTGTCTGGTGAATTTAAAACAGAATGATTAGATACTAACTTGTAGCTGTGTCCGGTGAATTTAAAACAGAATGATTAGATACTAACTTGTAGCTGTGTGCGGTGAATTTAAAACAGAATGATTAGATACTAACTTGTAGCTGTGTCCGGTGATTTTAAAACAGAATGTAGATACTAACTTGTAGCTGTGGGCGGTGAATTTAAAACAGAATGATTAGATACTAACTTGTAGCTGTGTCCGGTGATTTTAAAACAGAATGTAGATACTAACTTGTAGCTGTGTGCGGTGAATTAAAACAGAATTTTTAGATACTAAGTTGTAGCTGTGTCCGGTGAATTTAAAACAGAATGATTAGATACTAACTTGTAGCTGTGTGCGGTGAATTTAAAACAGAATGATTAGATACTAACTTGTAGCTGTGTCCGGTGATTTTAAAACAGAATGATTAGATACTAACTTGTAGCTGTGTCCGGTGAATTCGTTCTTGATCAAAACATGCTCCACCAGCCAGTTTGGGGTTAAACCTTCACAAATAGTTATATTATTTAAATGCGCACTTTCGCGAAAAAGTTTGCGAAATTCGAAAGAAAATTTTTGTGCAAAGGTTTTCGTTTGATGTCTTACTAAAGGTAAAGAATAACGTAACATTCGAGATCGAGACATTTAGTATTCTATTGAATTTACGTCAGAATGTTCTGAAGAACTAACAACTAAAATATTTTATTCAAGTGATATTTTAGAAAAAGTAAAAATATTGGATTTTCATTTTGCTTCTTTAAATTCTGAATAAAAATTTCTTCAAATACGTTTTGACATTTTGATAATTTTTGATAAATTATTTTCTGTTAAATAATGCTTCTGAGCTTCATTTTTAGAAGCAAACTACATGAAAAAGAATATTATTTCTTTAATGTAAAAGTTAAAATTTTCATGCTGTTATCACTGACACTTATGTAAAGAAAATACAGGGGTGTATAATTTCTACCCATTCTTATGGATGTTTAGGAATATACAGGGTGTCCTACGAACCATGACAATTGCTGAATAGTTTTAAATGTCTTCTTCCATAATTTGTTAAGTTCTTTGATACTATATTATAGTAAAATTGATTTCAAAGAAAAAATATTTTTCAATTTTTTTGTGAAATAAACTGCTAACGGTATTTTATGGCTAAAACAGTAATATAAGAACTGTAATGTTTTATGGGACACCCTGTATGACATATCTTAGTGAAAGTTTGTTCTCTATACTCTTGAGAATAGAATTAAATGGAAAAATATATTACTCTATAGAAACGTAAGTTGTTATTTCTTATAAATTTACATAGAAAGATATTTTTCTTATCATTAGAAAATTAGTTAACCAGAGGGGCCCTGCTAAGCCAGCCCTAGGCTTCTGAATCCGCCTGCTGCGGAACTTATTTTTTTTACATGTTGCATATTTTACTTGTTATTGTCAACTTTTTAATTAATTAATTGTTCCGCAGATTTTAATTAATTGATTTCATTACAGTGCAAAGCAGCACACATACCTAGCATCTAGAATAAAAATGATTTTAAAAGGGGGGGGGGGGGGGCGGAATGATTTATCAAAAATATACACACTCCTGTTACTACTACTTCAGTGAGAACCAGAGAACTCTGGAATAGACTTAAGTTTTGACTTTAAATTGTGCACTGAACATGAGACACCACAATTGCTATTGCCTTGTAATAGCATCAAATACACAAAATTTCTTTAATATCGTCTTCCTATTCCACAGCTTCCTGGTTCTTACTTTATGTAGTTTTTTCTATCAAATATTTAAACATAATCCCTTTATATTTGTCTATGTTAGAAAAATCCCATTGAATGAATCAAATGTAAGAAAAAATCCCTTTACATCAGTCAATTGTGTGAAAATTTCCATTAAATGAATCAAATGTATGAAAAATCCCATTAAATAAATCAAATGTGGAAAAATCACATCAAAAAAATCAAATGTGTGAAAAAATCCCATTAAATGAATCAAATGTATGAAAAAATCCCTTTAAATGAATTAAATGCATGAAAAAATCCCTTTACATCAGTCAATTGTGTGCAAATTTCCATTAAATGAATCAAATGTGTGAAAAAATCCCTTTAAATGAATCAAATGTGTGAAAAATCCCATTAAATGAATCAAATGTGTGAAAAATCCCATTAAATAAATCAAATGTGTGAAAAATCCCATTAAATAAATCAAATGTATGAAAAATCCCATTAAATAAATCAAATGTGTGAAAAATCCCATTAAATGAATCAAATGTGTGAAAAAATCCCTTTAAATGAATTAAATGTATGAAAAAATCCCTTTACATCAGTCAGATGTGTGAAAAAGTCCATTCAATGAATCAAATATGTAAAAAATTCCTTTAAATGAATCAAATGTGTGAAAAATTCATTTAAATAAATCAAATTTATGAAAAAATCTTTTTAAATGAATCAAATATATGAAAAAATCCCTTTATATATATGTCTATCCATATTTTTTAAACGTTTAAATAATCTCTTTAACCTGATTTTTTGCTCAACCTTCATATGGAATTTATCAATTTTAATATTATTCCATTAAATTTGTAAATTTTTTCAAATGTGTGAATAGTCCCTTTAATTTGGACAAATGTGTGAATAACTCCTTTAATATTTTCAAATGTGTGAATAGTCCCTTTAATTTTGTCAAATGTGTGAATAGTCCCTTTAATTTTGTCAAATGTGAGAATAGTCCCTTCAATTTTGTCAAATATGTGAATAGTCCCTTCAATTTTGTCAAATGTGTGAATAGTCCCTTTAATTTTGTCAAATGTGTGAATAGTCCCTTTAATTCTGTCAAATGTGTGAATAGTCCCTTTAATTCTGTCAAATGTGTGAATAGTCCCTTTAATTTTGTCAAATGTGTGAATAGTCCCTTCAATTTTGTCAAATATGTGAATAGTCCCTTTAACTTTGTCAAATGTGTGAATAGTCCCTTTAATTTTGTCAAATGTGTGAATAGTCCCTTCAATTTTGTCAAATGTGTGAATAGTCCCTTTAATTAAAGATCTAATAATAAAATACATATATTACTTCGTCCAATCAAAAAATATGATTGCCTGCCAAATATCTTCATGACTGACACAGCTATGGAATTCATAATTAGAACACGTCACGGGTCACGGGATGCAATAATAATTATTAACCAGCATACATTTATGGATAAAAATAAATTTGGCCACAAAAGAACAATCAATCTCTTTCACATTTTTAAACTTAAGAAAATGAGATTGTACCCAACATCCACTCTACAAACCAAAAACGAAAACAATTCAGAACTTTTGTGTTTTGAATCTGGAGATTAATCATTTATCTTCATGTTAGCCTAATCTCAAGATTAATTTTATTTCTGTTTTATATCTCACGAATTTATTTGAGATATCACATTGGATATCGAATTCAATTGTTCAAGATTAACTTAATATCCACACGATTGTCACTATCTTAAAGGGACTGTACGTGTAATTTCAAGTGACTAACTTCTAAAGATGTTAATGCCCGCTTTCCAATGGTACCCTTGAAAGCTTTGTCTGATCAAATATGAATTATAAATATCAATGGTGTTGTTTCTTTGAAATGTTTATTTTCATTTGTGGTTTCTCTCTAAAACTGATTTGCGCATTTCTTGAAATGGAGAAACTCGCAGAAAAAAACACTTTTAGAGTCAGAACAACGGTATCGGAAATTGCCGTCTTTTCATGAAGGGTTACTTGAAATTAAGCTTACAGTTGCTTAAGTTAAGAAAAAAGATGGTGAGCAAAGAGAAAAATTACCTGAATTATCGTGTCCTATCCTCAGAGATGTTAAAATTCCCAAGTTTTTAGTCCAGAACGAGAAATGAATGATTCCCCTGAAAAATGTATATTTAAAGTTTTTTCTCTGTCAATTTTTTCTCGTCAGTCAGTTTTAACCCTATCCCTGCTGAAAACCCCCTCTAAATTCAATGTTTGATGTCCAAATATAAAAAATGATAGATCATTGGAAAGCTCTTAGGCTCTACTTTTAGAATCTGCAAATAAAATATATTATTGAAAAATCCTTGACCATGCCATTTTAAATATGCAAAATGTTTAATTAGGAAAAATTAAAAATGTGCAAACTTCTTTTACAGTGGTAGGCAAATAGTTTGCAAAAATTTCTTGGCAAAACTTGTGCACTGTGTTTCCTTGTCATAAACTTTCCAAAAAACTAAAAATCGTCTGACAACTGAAAGAGGGTTCAATCAAAGATTTAGTTTGTTACAGAAAAAAGTAGTCATTCAGGCAGCGTGCCTGAGGACTCAGGCAGTTACAATAAAAAAGGCCGTTTTTAGAAGATCTACAGGGAGGACTAAGAGTATTTAGGAAAAGTCAGAAAATTTCAGCAGCCTCAAACCAATTCTTTTTGAGTTATGTATAAATAACTGCGGGAGGGAAGGGGGGGGGGGTCAAATTCCCCCCCCCCCTCCACAGGATTAAGTTTAATAAGCTGCAAAGTTTAAAAAATTTATAATTATTATCTACTAGATTCTTTTGTTCTTTAGATTCTGACTGACCATAAACAGGCCATGTGAAGTCCTACAAACACGGATACGATCTCGTCAGCTATTAATATCAACACAGACACAAGCTCTTTAGCTATCAATGCCGAAAACGGGAAAAATCTCGTCAGCTATCAATGTCAACACAGACACAAGCTTGTTAGCTATCAATGCCAAACACGAGAACGATCTCGTTAGCTATCAATGTCAATACGGACACAAGCTTGTAAACTATCAATTCCCCATCAAGTTCTACCTTTCAATAGAGAGGGATTCAGGACGCTTCTTGTTCACTAACCAAGAAGTAATTACTCTCACACAGTAATCAAAGCGGAGTCTATTCCAACTGACGTGTATTTAGACATCTATGTTACAGGTTAAGTTAATATATGTATTTACAAGATTTGCGCAGATATATATAATCATAGTAAAGCTTATCACAATCCGTAGCTAGTCTAATCGCATTACATGTTAAGGATAAGCGAATTTAGATTTACTGACAATGTACAATGTAATTTATCTAGGTATGTTTAAATGTATAACTATAGGATTGTACTGTATTTATTACAAATTGCGGAGGTAAATCCCAAGACAAAGGCAATTCGACACTTTAAAAGTCGAGGTTGTCTAAAAATTTGATGACTAGGTTTCAGTGTTGTCTTTTAATGTTATTTACTCGTGTTACTGAAATATGATATTTGGTTTGGAACTATGAAGGAAATGTCAATATCTCAGAGATGAGTGCAAATCTGCACCAAATCTAAGGTTAAGAATTATAACATGAAAAATGCATGTGCTGTTCACAAATCCTTACATTATTAATTACTTTTCAATGACTTTTTAATAAAAAATTCCACGTTTCCATTTTAGTCAGATTTAGTGCGACTTGGAACAGATTATTACTAATATTTTTCGCAGATTATTTTTTAATCAACCGATTTTTATGATTCGTGCAAACATTTTTAGTTTAAATAATAAAACAAGATATTCATATATATATTGCGTATAGACGGCCAAACGGCAGGACCAATTGGACTGAATTTTTTTGTGGACACTCATGGGTGGCCGGGGAGTGTTAAAGGCTATAAAAAATCGATTTATTTTTTCAATTTTTTTTTAAAAACATTTTTTTTCACGGCTAACGCCGGGCCCTTCAGCTAGTAACACTGATCCCTATATTTGATTTTGACCCTGGCATTTTAAAATACATATTTAAAAATTGTGCATTCCTATTTATATGGATATATAAATATATATATGAGAGAAAGATACCTGGGTATATGAAGGTACTCTGTTTCTGTATGTGATCCCACAACATGAACCCAAATATTAGCAGAGCTCAAGCTATTCCCAGACTTCTGGGACGGAAATATTAATACCTAAAAAGCAAAAAATAAAAAAATTTTCACATGAGTATTTTTCCCTCAGAATTTATTCCTTCTTATATAATTCAAAGTTCATTTGAAATCCCTAGAAAAGGTTTCAGACGGTGTAAATATGAACAAACCACTTTTTCCAACAATTTTTATCTACAATTTTAGAAAGTTGTTGTGATTCACAAAAAGCATTCTATATCAAACTGAAAATTAAAAAATTCCTAAACCCTCAAATTTCATTTCTTATTTATTAATATGTGTGTGTGTGGTGGGGAGTGGGGGGTAATGGGTTTTTGAAAATTCAGGTGAAAGTGAAAAATTGAAAATTTGTAATTTTTACGTAAAATTTATACTTAAAAAATTCATTCCCTTAGTGAAAAAAAACTTGCCATAAAATGAAAAAACTCCTCCAATTACCTGGTAAAGTATATACGAGTTAAAGTAAGCGTTGGTAAAACATGTAAAATCTACGGCGTTGAGATCCTGTAGATAGTACAGGGTCTGCTCCTGATAACAAGCAGCAACAACATTACATTTATACAAGCAAAATGTCGCGTTTATTAAAGGAACTGTGTATCAGCGTAATTGAATTCTACGGGGTAGTAAAGTACAAATAATTAGACAAAACAAGAGTATGGTGAAATAATGCCAAAGTGAAAAAGTGCAAAAAAAAGTTCCACGATTTTTTTCTGAAATAGCGAAATAATTAAATAAAAACAATTCCAAGAAACAACACATATCATAATAACAATCTGTTTGGAATTCAGCAATACTAAGAATAAAGACAGTTAAATGAAGGGTTTAGAAAAGAACATTGATACTTAATAATGCAAGAGAAACAGGGGTGAACATAAATTACCAAGAATTTTAAGACTGGGGTTCATAGCTTTATTTTTCTATACTTTTTTTCAGTAAAAAAAACTACAGGGGGGGGTCAAATTGACCCCCCCCCAGCAGGAATAGGGTTAACTTCACATAAATACTTTTCTACGAAAAATTTAGGTTTACATTAGTTTATGAATTCTTTTACAGATAAAAAGATAATATAATTCATGAGTCTCCCTACTACAGAATGTCTTAAGATTAAACTAAAATAGAAAAATATTTTGAATGTTAAGTATTTTTGGTTAAATTTCCTTGAGCATTGCGGAGAGATGGGAGGCAAGAACTTTCTGCTCCAGGGCCAACCTTATCCAGGCTCTGCTATAACCTACACAATATACTTCTATATCAGGGGGAGTTGGTTCAAAACCTCAAGCTCTTCTATATCCTACACGATATACTTCTATATCAGGGGGAGTTGGTTCAAAACCTCAAGCTCTGCTATATCCTACACGATATACTTCCATATCAGGGGGAGTTGGTTCAAAACCTCAAGCTTTAGATCTTAATTTATAATGTAAAATATTTGCCAAAACTGATTAAAATCTTTGTTATTTATGATGTAAAATGTTGATCATTACTTTAATAGACAACATATTTGATATTAATTGGATGATTTCAAGTTACATAAATTGCAGATTTGTGCAATGTTCAATGTAGAATGTAAAAAATAATTAATATGTTACATATGTATATGCGGGACAGAATTACCTATTTCAGTTTTTATTTCATGAATAGTTGTAACATTATGCATGATTGCAAGTATATTCATATCCATTCCCACTTCACCAGGCCTTGGGGGTAGGCATACTACCTAAAAACAAATAAAAACTAATTACATAAACGCCAATCTCTGCATTCAACATGTTTTTCATTCCCTTGTTTTTTCTAGTTCTTGGACTTTCTTTTACTACCTAAAAACAAACAATTGATACAAAAAAATGACAAAAGCGTCAAACGTCAAATGTTCTTCATTCCCTCGGACTTTCTTTATAGAGTCTAATTCTCCTGTTTCTTCCCAACCTCATTCATTCATATTGCATTAGGGTTTCCAGAAAAAATGCGCCATTACGCAAAAATTTTCTTTCGTATTTTTTTTCCGAACCAGATTAAAGCAAACATTTTTTCGTAGCATTGTTTTTTTTCGCTGGAAACCCTATTTTTTCATTCGATTTTTCTTCCAATTGGAAATCCGAATCAAACTCTCCTTTCTCAGCAGAATTAATGGCTGATTGTTTTAGTGGTAATAAGGTTAATTCCTTTTGTAGATATATTCTATAAGAAATAAAAATGTTGAGAAAAATATGCGCTACGACTATGAGGAAAATAAAGGATTTCTAGAACTAGAAAATTAAAAAAAAAAAACATTTGTCTTAATATTTTTACTTATTAAAAGTAAATAAAATAATAAATATTTGAGAATTCATTCAGCTATTGACGTAAATTGAGTTCTTAAAAACCCATCCCATGAGTTCCATATTCCCCAAATTCATATTTTCTTTTTTCATTTCTACAGAATTGAACTAAATCCTGTATGATGATGAATGCAGAATTAATGCAAAGTAACAGCAGATATAAATTTTAGAAATGCAATTTTTTTCTCTCTTTAAATATGGGTTCTTAAAATACATTTCGTAAAATAAAAAAATGTTTTAAAAATAAAATTCTATTAAAATGATTGGCAAGAAACGGACTTTTTAGTGACGTAATATGAAGATTTAGAGTGTCCCTTGCTATTAAGGTCGTCTTTACATACATTGGGGCGCATTCGGAGCATCAAACCTTATTACACAACCTTGGTTGGCCCTGGTATGATCAGGAAGGAATAGTTTACCTGTACAGGCCTGGTATGATCAGATCAGGAAGGAATAGTTTACCTGTACAGGTCTGGTAAGGTCTGGTATGATCAGGAAGGAATAGTTTACCTGTACAAGCCTGGTATGATCAGGAAGGAATAGTTTACCTGTATAGGCCTGGTATGATCAGGAAGGAATAGTTTACCTGTACAAGCCTGGTATGATCAGGAAGGAATAGTTTACCTGTACAGGCCTGGGGTGATCAGGAAGGAATAGATTACCTGTACAAGCCTGGTATGTTCAGGAAGGAACAGTTTACCTGTACAGGCCTGGTATGATCAGGAAGGAATAGTTTACCTGTATAGGCCTGGCATGATCAGGAAGGAATAGTTTACCTGTAACAGGCCTGGTATGATTAGAAAGGAATAGTTTACCTGTATAGGCCTGGTATGATCAGGAAGGAATAGTTTACCTGTAACAGGCCTGGTATGATCAGGAAGGAATAGTTTACCTGTATAGGCCTGGTATGATCAGGAAGGAATAGTTTACCTGTACAGGCCTGGTATGATTAGGAAGGAATAGTTTACCTGTACAGGCCTGGCATGATCAGGAAGGAGAAATGGTTTGCTTGTAATCAAAGGAACACAAAAAGCTTGTGTTCCCAGGGACCCTATAAATCAATCAATTTTAATAGAAAAAATTAAGAAATGCTTCAGCTTGGTGTTTCACACATGTTATGAAAGAAAAATTCTCTTTAACAACCTTTAAATATACACAGTCATAGTCTTATAAAACATTCAACGTTTAACCATGTGATATTTGTTCAAATTCCTGTGAATGAGAATGCAATATTTAGAAAACCAATGTTCTTTTGCTCATTAAAATTGCTGATTCCCTTTTATTTTCTGCATGTTTTCATTGTGATGAATAAACTTGAAGAGAAAGCACCAGAGAGCAGATTTTCTATGCCGCGCGTTCAATCCATGCGCCCAAATACGCTCTGAAAACAAATAAAATAGTTTAAATCTTTCATGGGGGGGG